TATATTTTGGTATAATGACGTCATGGCAACGTGTTCTCCCGTTCTTCAAAATGTGTCTGGCACTGACTCGTACGTTTGAGAATATCGGAGAGTCGTGTTTATTATTTAGTATCTTGTACCTTTTATTTTTAGTCATTAATTTACGAATTCAACGACACAAGACTGACAAGAGCATAGTGTTTTGGTCATAATGCTAGTCATACTTTACCACAACACACGTTTGCGTGCATTTCGATATCTCTGCAGACTGCGGCCCCTGCTTGTTTACGAACATTGTGCGCAGAAAATAAAAAAATAACCAGTAAAGCACCTACTACTTTGAATTAGAAATCAGAACATTACCTTTCGCTCTCAGTCATCTTTTAATAAACGATAACATTAACGGCGTGAATAATTCGGATGTCCAATGTGTTGAATATCGAATATTATTCGCGCGCTGATATGTGTTTAAAATTGCGAGCGTACAAGACTGTTGACCAATCGATATTCCTCGAATAAGAAGCCTCCAAATCTAGATTAACGCATGCGCAAATGTTCAAATTGAGCTCCGAAGGCAAGCGCGCTTGCCTTGGTTAATAAATAAGAAATTTTTAAGGTGTGTTTAATCCACTTGACCTATCTTACAAGTGCAGCAAAGTGAAACCGAAAACCACGACAGTAAATCGCGTATAAATAGCAAGCATTTCAACTGTAAAGACAATTTAGACAAAAGATTACATTGACATTGTTTAGAACAGAAAAATTTAAACTGATTTTGCTGAGAGATTGATCCAAAAAATTTTTGTTCGATAAAATGCTTAGGCAAGCGGCGCTTGCCTACGCTTGCATGACCGCACGCCACTTTTATGCCTAAAGCTGAGAATAACATTATAATTACAGTGTAAATGTTGTCACACACATGCCGCCTACTTTCCCTAATTTGCTTGCCACTTTCAAAACTATTGAAACATATGTGCTACATATGATACATATGTGATACATATTGATACATATGTGCTACTTAACTACACTAAAAGCAACTACAATCGAATATCATTTTCTTTCAAAATATACTGCATGACATACACAGTTCATGAACACAATGAACCGATTATCCTTTGCACTAGTTATAGAATTTGTTCTCCATGGTAATTTGCTTATTAGTAAGAAAAGTCAAAACTTTCCTAAAGTTTTCTTTCTAGATCAAGTCAAAAATACACTTTGAAACCTACAATTATAGAGTAATTGAGATAGTTAGGGCGCCATCTTTTGATGAACGCGAGTATTTACTTTTCAAAATGGCTTGGATACTCGCATAATCGCCTTCGTCTCTTTCTGTTTATAACGATTAAAAAATTAATATAGCTCCGGGTCTATAAGCAGTTATCGTCAAGCATTGTCGTTTTCTAACATTCCTTCGAATTAACATCTGCCTTGGCAATATTTCTTACCTTGTGCTCGATACATTTTGATGAGTTTACCTCATCCGTTGCTTTCAAAAGGAGCCCATCGCTTCTTACGATGATGTGCACTTGTTTTTCATTGAAAGTCTTTGACACAGTTTGATTTCTTGTAACCTACACTGTTCTGTTTTCCTGATTTTACTCGAACAAGATTGAGGACAACTAACCAAGCCAAGAACCTACAATAATGATGAGGAGAAAAAGGGATGGGCTGATTCCGATTGAGGCCTAGTAACTAATGCAAAACACGTCCCGAAATTTGATATGTTGTTTTCAGTACCCTGTCAATCATTACCATTACCAGCGGCATAACCACAGAATAGTGGCGTAACTGTATGAACAAAGTCAGTGGCTCAAGATGGTCAGAGCTACGGACATTCAAGCAATCAGGCTACAAGGGGGCTCCCTGAACGGTGTTAACAAAGGACATCGGGATTCAGATCACTGGTAATTCTAAAATTGATGGGCTCCTTGTATTTAGGAAAATAATAAAAAGTTATGTTTCATCTTCGCTGTTTTCTAAAGGTCTAAGTAAACTCTAATAGCTACGCAGCAACATTCAACTGTGCTGGTAATAACAGCAATACAGGTATGGCGCCTAAGGAGGGCTGGAGAGAGCCCCACTTTCTCCCCGCTACCTTTATATTAACCTTTATGTTTACCTTTCTGTCTACCTTCATGTATACTTTTGTGTTTAACTTTATGTCTTCCTTTATGTTTGGATTCGTTCATCTCCGGTTTTTGTGGGTTGTTGATGGTAGATATACGACCAATAATTTCACCTCAATCCCCTTCCAGTATATTGAAATTTAATAGAGACGACAAGAACCACATTTCAAAAAAACGACATGAACGACATTTCAAAAAGTTCTTGCCATACAACAATAACATGCGCAAAGTCTTGAAAGATCATGCATGATGGAAAGTTTATGCATGATCTTAGCAAGAAGTTTGTAGGATCATAGTAAGATCTTTGAACGATCATGAAAAAGTCTTCTAAGATCTGTTGTTAGCATTTATTTATTTTAGCTTAACTGAGGCAAAGTAAGACCCAGTAACTTTAGTAAATATAAGTCGTATGCGGACCCTCCTTCAGGGTCAATTTCGTTGCGCCGTCCCTGTAATAATTATTTTAATCTTCCCGCTCGTAAGTTACAGACCTTTGCGCTTGGATTATAATTACATGACCCATCTCAATTTCCAATTACAAAATGAATGAACCATTACCAGTAAGACAATGTCCAAAGTTACCTAGAATTCGTTTCTACGCAATTGACTGTAAAATGGAAATTTACTGCATGATACTACTTCACAAAGCTGCTTACACATTACTTCTAAGACTTACTTACACTGTGATATAAAATATAAATTTTTCATCCCTGCCGTCTCCTAATTGCATTGAAATAGGAAACTGTAAATTGTGAATGAGATACCATGCATCTGAAATTTCAAACCCTTCCCACAACAGACGTAAAATTCTATACACGCCTGTATGTTCTATCGGCCAATAGCATTGTCAAAATGATTTAAATCTCTTTTACATTTTTCTATTTAGTAGCCACACATTTTTGCCATTATAAAACATCAATTTTAGGTCATAAATTTGGTTATAGATAAAAAGAGATTGGTAGATGGAAACATAAACTGAAAGAAATTTCGGAGGTGGAACATCATTATATGCTATTGCCTTACTATAGTATAAAGACGACAAATTTGACCAAGAACAACATTTTCTAAAACTTCTTTGAATGTAAATGAGAAGAGCCAACTGGAATGTGGTACTCTTTTTATTGCTATTCAAAGTATGGTATTCGCTATTCAAAGCATGGTATACAGAATTGAGAAGACCATGAGCAGTCTATTGTCAAAGCCTATTCATTTTCAAAAGAAATCAGAAGGGCATTACTAAATATGATGTGGTCTAAAATCTTTAATTTTTTACTTTCATGAAAGACAGCTCCAACACATCGATGAAATTATAATCATGATATATCACTTACAAAAAAGCATTGAGGATTTAATTTTCGTTCATAACGATCAATCTATATGTATATATATATACATGCTATTCCCACTGATATTATAATATGGCTTAACATGCGTTTTTTAAACTTAATGTTTTGCAGTATTGTTTATGAGCACATTGAAATAAATTGACAAACATTGTATTTTTGGTTTGGGGCAGTGCATTATTTGCTTTTGTTTCCAAAGTTGTAAATGATGTTATTGTTCTTATCATTTTTTTGCTTTTTCTGGCTCTTGGCTAATTTTCCTGTATTCATGAACATGAATTTGTTGAAGAAAATTGAACACATTTGAACAAAAATTTCATTGATACATTCTGTTGACCCATACGAGATACCAAAAAACGACTGGGAAGATTGTGTGGAATTATGGCCGAATGTTTCTTACATAATGTTTCTTTGGTGTTCGTGGGCTTAAGTGCAACAGTCAGCAGCGATTTCCCACCGTGACGTAGGCTAAAAAACAATGAAATTCGTGACGTTTAGGTGGTTCACTCGGCCAAAGAGACTCGGGACTGTTGCACCAACTGGTGCACTTTTTCCCCACCGTGACGTAGTGATCACTATCTAGCCACCGTGACGTAGTAATACAAATTCAGCTCAGTGTAGCTGGATGATGAAACAAATTTTCGCTAAAAATTTCGACACATAAAAACGCCATATTTAGCGACGCATTTTTTAATAATGCGGCTGTAATCAAAATGATACTCACATGTAAACAATCGACGAAGGTTTTTAACAATATTTCTCAATCATCAATGTACATTTGTTGTCAATATATTGTCAGTGTTAAGGTATTTAAAGCATTTAGAAACTATAAACGTTCCAATCTGATATATTTCTTGCATTTTGCTCGTATTGATTGTAAGATATAATATGTTGTGAAAGATTAACTATTCAATTTTATGACTGATGCCCTCGCATCAGTTGCACCAGCCTGGATCCGCCCCTGGTGGCACAAAAAAATAAGTTGTAGAAAATCATCGACAAAATCGGATGACACGAATGCGCGTAATATAATCTTGCATATTTAAAGTGCTACTGAAGTGAAATTTTGGGTATCGATTTTTTTTCTATAATCAAATAGTTCTATCTTTCCTGATCACTTTGGTATAATTTTTATGCATATTGAAGCACGGGATCATCAGTAAATTTTTGCTCAAAGTTGGGTTACGCGTGCGAATTTTTACCACTGAAATATTATACGGATGTGACGTAATAAAAAGGACGGAAGTCGAAGTAGGAGCATTGATTTACTAGTATTTTGTTAGATTTTTAACACATATACACAATAAAATATGAGTTCTTCAAGCAGTGAAAGCGAACGCAGTTCGGATACTGAAAACTCAGATATGGCAAATGAAAATTTACTTTCAAATTCCGGCGATGAGGATACAATTGTGGCTAATTCAGTGGTAAATCCTTACGAAAATGAACCTCTTGCGAACGCATTCGGAGAGAATTTTGTGTCGGTCGAAGAAGACGCAGATGGCTTAGAACCTCGAACATTGGAAACGAGGTTCGAAGGAACCTTTCAGGTAGATAAGTGGTAAGTTGATAAATGTTACTAGAACTCTAGAAGAAATTAAACCATGAATTAAACATGTTATTTTGTCCTTATGTCGTGGTGCATAAATATGATAACAAACCACTTTTTTATAGGTGTGCATGTAGCTTGGGTCGTACTCAACTGCTGACAGATGCCATTGAATACCGTTGTTGTCAATAGGTTGGGCCTACTTTACATAAACTGGTATTCGATGTTAGCATTGAAAAAATTAGCTGTGTTACTCTTCACGAAGAGTACACGATTATGACACATGCTACAGTCTTGAAGAATGTTGGAAGAATGTTGGCTCACTTCTAAGAGACCAAGATGGAAGGTCATACAAGCGTATGACCAAGAATACATGAAAATGAGTTAGTACATTTTTGATTTCTAATTTTGTTTTGTAACGATGATTAATATCTTGCCATGTATCTCTACTTTTTACCTTTATGTGGTTCATTATTGTGCTGTGATGCTTCACAATTTTGTTGTGTGAAGTCAAAATAATTAATCAAATAAGAACATTTTTTGTAGCATAGTATATTATTTTATAACTAACTTTAAAATTGGCCTGCTAAGAATATTTGTCAAGTAATTCTTGTGGACAATGACCTTTTGGATGTCCTTTCATTGGCTGTCCACAATTTTTGCATAAGCGCATTTTTTTTGGATCTGAAGGACCTGTTGAAGCAGCTTGTTTTTCTTTGTCTAAACCTTTTGCTTGCAGTACATCTTGCTGTTGATCTATAAATAACAATTTAATTTGTTTACTTTTAGAATGCACTGGCCATACCTATTATACATGGTAGCATGAACAACTTACATGTGGGAAACAATGGTGTTGAAGATAGTTGTTTCCTATCCAAATGCCGTTGGATTGCCTCAGTTTTGGAAATTCGATCCGAGAAAGTTTTGTTTAAGGCTTCTGGGACTTTTTCCTTATACTTCTTAAATATGTTGTCCATGGATTCCTCACAACTAAGAACCATGACATTTTTAATTTCATTAACATAGTCTGGAAAAATGACAAGTGGTTAGATGTGTAAGTCAAGAGTACCAATGCATACATGCTAAACTTACAATATGATGGTGCTGAAGAAACAGTTCTTACCCCTGATTTAAATTTTGGGTATGTCACAGAATAATATGGTGTTCCATTTTTTGTTTTTTTTGGCTGTCTGTGAAGGTTTTCATTGAAATGAAGTACTGCCAGTACGTGCCTAAACAGAACAAACCATTTATTATGTAATTTTTTTTCTTGACTAGGAACAAGTAAAAAAGGCTTGGCAGATAGAGAACAGTGATTACAAGTTACCTGCAATATGTACCAAGCCAAGAAAAGTGGGTCATCTTTGGATGCCAACCATTTAATGTTGAATGAAAACCTTCAAGACAACTAGTTTGTGCTTCTGAAGATAGTTTTTTAACATCTTTGAGAACAGATTTTTTCAACAGAATGGAGGAAAGTCACTGATATGATTTAGTTCCTTAAAAAGAATACAATCCCATCTGAAAAGTGGTAAATAACATTTTAGACATTTTAACAATCTCAATTCTGTCTTGCTGCCTAAATGTGTGCATGCTCATACCAACTTGAAGCCATAGACGTTCATCTAGCTCTCCGTGAGCACATTTAGGAAACAACTCATCTGGATGGTTTTCATGCTTGTTTGTAATGTGCCTAGCAATGGATTTCCATTTCGCAATCGTCGTCTCATGTTTAGCGATTTTGCAACTGTTGCGTTCACGGTGAATGCAGAATCTGCGAAATGCATTGAACATAGCACAGAGTACTGCTGAGGAACGAATTTTGGCCTATGTCTCCTAACAAATTTCGTCCATTTATTCAGCCTCTCCTTGTCATTCATGGGGAAACGATGTACTGAGACACCCTCTGTGTGTTGACTGTTTGTACAACTTTTTCCGTTGGGCCAACCAGCAACACAATATTGTCCTCCTCGACGATTTATTGCAGAATTTTGCCTACTCGCCATATTTTAACTTGCGGTGTATCGTTACGTTTGACTAACTTAATAAAAAATTATTCTCCTTATATTATGTGCGTTGTGATAATATTGCATGGGTTTTAAAACCACAGACTACGTCAAGGATGCGACACCCATATGATAAGAATGATAAGTCTAATCCAGAAGTTTATAAAAGTAGTATACATTGGATGATTGGAAATAAGCGCGTTACAGTTAGTTTCTGATAACATTGCGTGTGTGTTAAAACCGCAGACTTCGTCAAGGATGCGACACCCATATGATAAGAATGAAAGTCTAATCCAGAAGTTTATAAAAGTAGTATACATTGGATGATTGGAAATAAGCGCATTACACTTAGTTTCTGATAACAATGCGTGTGTGTTAAAACCGCAGACTTCGTCAAGCATGCGGCACCCAGTTTATTGAGAAATATAAGTTAATTCAAGAAGTTTATAAAACTCTAATCGATTGTAAATGTTGCTTACCTATGCGTGTTGCTCATTTGTCACTAAATATACGCAATTTTTGCGAAGAGAAGTTATAAAATATGTAAAATTCCAGTTGGAAATATGCTTGTTCGTATATAATTTTTATATACTAAGAGCTTTAAAATTGAACTTCCGTCCTTTAAATGACGTCACGCACTCAAAGTCAAAATCGCATCAAAACAAGCAAATATGCCATGTTTGAACGCAAAGTTCGATGCGTTCCCATCGATTAAATTCAGTGGGCGATAGCTCAAAATGATCAGTAAAATACAGAGAAAACGTTTGTATCGAAAAACGAAATATGAAAATTTCACTTCAGTAGCACTTTAAGTAAGATAACAATTTGGCTGGTCGCCTAATGCCCGCTAGTCACCCACATTATAGATATCATATCTGAGCTTAATTAGCAAAGTTTTATCGTGCCTTTTGGCGCTGTTGCTCTACAAGTTCTTTGTGATGGAATCTATTCGAATTAACTGATATTTAGCAAAACTATTCTTGCCTATACACAACTTAAGATAAAAAAAGTTGAGATGTTTGAAATTGGGGCGTTTCTAAGAAGAAGTATTGCCAATTTTTTTTCAACAAAGCTATTTCTAATGTTTCATAACTTGAGGTTTAAAGTCTTGACATCTAAATTGACGTGACAATTATATTCTACAAAATTTTTGAGCAACAAAAACAACGTTATCTTATGTTAACAGCCGTTTCCTCATTAGACCTATCATGTCACCATTACAAAGTTTAACTCGTGCCGTCTGTCGGGGTAAGAAAATTTCCAAGGTGTTTGGGATTGTCAGATATCTTTGATAATTTTGTAATATGAGCATTTTTTCAAAGCGTAAAAAGCTATCGTTGCATGAGAGAGTTGTATTGAAAATGTGTAGTGTATTTGTAGGAGCATAATATGGAGGAAAATAAAAATGGACAAACTGAACGCAGTCGAACTAACGCAATTCATCAGGAAAAATGCTTTACTGGAGTATTTGCCGGTTGCCAGTCTCCCTTAAATTTGCGCGGTTATTGCAATGCATTCTGGGATCGCCAGGGGGCAAACATTGTGTATCTTTAATAAAAATATCTTTTCGTAAAGAGTTTATGTTCAAATTATAATGGGAAAAGAGGATCACTGTGCTGTTTATGGCTGTGATAACGATAGAAGATAACGATAAAATATATCGTTTTCGATCACGTTGGTATTCTTCGCTTTTTTTCTCCGAAAAACGCGAAAGACAAGAGTGCTTGGCAAAAGCTGATCAACAGGAAAAACTTCAAAGTGACTACTACGAAGGTTTGTTCTAATAATTTTCTTGCTGGTTATCGATCCAAAGGGCTGTCCCAATCCAACTTTGTATCTAAAAGGATACCAATCAAAAGAAAGCAGTAAACGATTACCGCCGAAAGATAGAAGCAAATCAAATATTCCAAAAAGAAAGAGACGAAAAATTCTGTGTGAAGGCAGTACTGAGAAAAGCTTTGAGCATCAGGATAAGGCATTTTTTGCTGCTGAAATCACTGGTCCTGAGCAGTGTACTGAGCCAGAGTCTGTGCACGAAGACAGTTCACAAATAAATTGTACAACAGACTTGGATGTTACAAGTTATGATTCTGATGATAGCTACAGCTTTGAAAGTGATAAACATGACCTCATTGACTGTTTTTGCCAGGGCGACGTTAAAACGTTGAAAAGAAACTTATTTATTGAACAAGCTATTTGCCAGAAGAATTGCTACCGCTACACTGGATTGTCACTAGAAAAGTTGAACTTAGTTTTCAGTTTGATTGAAGAGAAAGCAAAGAGTCTAAGGTATTGGAGAGGTTCTACTGATACAGCCACTGCCCAGTCTATTAAAAGAGGGCATGTCTCAAGAGTATTGACACATTGGGAAGAATTCATTCTTACTCTTGTCTTACTCTTGTGGTGAAGAAAGTTCACCTTATTTCTCCATCCTATTGTCGTGGACCAAGACTTTCCTCTCGTGGAACAACTCATACTCGGCGTGTGGCATCATTAAGATCTCATGTCGAAAGGAATATATTGAAACTAAAGCAATTTCAGATTTTATCAGGAGTTATTCCATTGACATTAAAACCAGTTTTGGACAACATTTTGTTTATGTGTGCCGCTTTATGTAATTTAGGAAAGCGTGGTATAAAGTAATCCTTACATAATCTAAAATAAATTATACTTAATATTTTTATTTTGAAAAACTATTATTTGTAAATATAAAATTTTATCATTGCACATATTTCAATAAAAGACTACTAATAATATAATTCTTATAGAAAAGAAACACAGTTTTAAATACATCACTCCAGAAGTCAGCATCAAATGGTATTTCTACAATATCAATTCCTTTTTCTGTAAATACAATAAAATCACATTTGTCGATTTGACTTATAGCCATACCCATTTGGACTTGAAAGTAATGTAAATGGTTCCTGTTCAACACTTTCTTTCCACTATCATTAGTTTTCCCACCAATAGCTGTTGAGAAAAATGCAGATTTGGGATCCATATTCTTGCATGTTAGAGGGCACTTAATTTCAAGTGTCCTTGAGCCACAACATTCACAATGGCAAATTCCATCCAAACTCACTCCCATCCATAAATTTTTGGGATCAACAAGCAACCCAGGTTCTTCTATTTTAACTTTTTCATGCTTCTTTGTACGCAGTCTCTTGTAAAGATACAGAGCCTCTTTTTCTTTGTCTAGTCCATATTGCATAGCATTTGAGTTTATCAAATTGTTCTTGTCTTCCAAAAAATTAGCAACAGTTTTTGATATATCAGCCGAAGGGGTGCGCTCTTTTGTTTTTTGTCTAGTGTAAATAGCTTTGACTTTTTGCCTGTTACCATGGCATGTCTCATTTTATGCCATTCTTCATTTTTGGATTGTCCTTTTGTTGCAGCTGAAATGAACAATTGTTCTTCTTCAGTGCATTTTAATGTGCTAATGAAGATATCACAGGCTTTCTTAACTCTTTTTTTAATCAAATGTTGATTTTCCCTTGCAAATATTTTAGCTTTTGTTTCTATGTTAAGACTATTAAGTTTAAAAACAGTTTTCATTTTTTTTACTTTGTCTGAATGTGGGCACTCAGGAAGGAAATCCAAAATACCAGAATTTTCATCAATGTCTCTCAACTTCCTGGCAAATTCTACTTTGTCTACTTCACTTATTGTGGTTCTCATACGATTTGGCATTGGGTCAAATGAGTCAACCCAAGAGTCGTCGAGAGATACATGTTTCCTTTTTCGTTTGGGTTTCACCAAGTGACAAATTTTCATTTCCAGCAATGGTAAGGGCTTATTTCTTGGTGTTGGTTTTGGTTGCCAGTATGCTGGAAGTGAAGTCACTGAAGTTCTTTCACCTGACAAAAAACTCTTCAAGTTCAAACATACAAGCACCCAAGTGCTTGCATCCCTGATCTGAACCACCTTTACATTCACAAAATGCAGAAAACACAGAGCCATTTGGCGAAAGTATGAACTAGGATCTGTATTCTTTCATGCCTTCTGGTGTTTTGTCCCTTTGTGTGGGTAAAACACTGCCAATGACAATGTGAAACTTGCTATCATCGTTGTCATAGACAAACCTTCGTATTAGTAGTCACTTTGAAGTTTTTCCTGTTGATCAGCTTTTGCCAAGCATTCTTCTCTTTCGCGTTTTCGGAGAAAAAGCGAAGAATACCAACGTGATCGGAAACGATATATTTTTCAGGATATCTTCTATCGTTATCACAGCCATAAACAGCACAGTGATCCCCTTTTCCCATTATAATTTGAATATAAACTCTTTACGAAAAGATATTTTATGAAGATACACAATGTTTGCCCCTGGCGATCCCAGAATGCATTGCAAAATTGTGATGGAATCTATTCGAATTAACTGATATTTAGCAAAACTATTCTTGCCTATACACAACTTAAGACAAAAAGTTGAAATGTTTGAAATTGGGGCGTTTCTAAGAAGAAGTATTGCCAATTTTTTTCGACTAAGCTGAAACATAACGCAATTTATCATGAAAATGCTTTACTAATTCTTAGATGTGCATGCAAATAAGGATAAACCAGAAAATAGATCTTATTTTTGCCAACTTAAAAAATGATATAATCATTAAGTTTTATCTTTACGCTGTTGACAGCTCCTGTATGTTTGTTTGTCAAAGCGAAAACGTTGATTGCTATTAAAGAAGAAATATTCTATAAAAGTCACGAAAACGTCTGAAACTTTAACTCCCTGTCTCACAAATGAAAGTATCAAGTGTAAAGTAAATATTGACTTTCATAATTTATCAGTACTTGTGTAGCTATAAAAAAGCATGTCGAATCTTTGTTGCCATTATTTGGAAACAAGATCTTGGAGGAGTTACCGAAAGTAGAAAGTAAGGTCTCTTTTTCTTTGTATTTTAATTAAAACATGTTTTATCAATTTCGCCGCGTTTTGCTTAGTTTGAGCTGCATAGTCTTTTATCAAACTATCTTTGATACGATATAGCTGTTCAGTTGGCCTTGACTTGTCTGAATTATTTTCAGTAAGTTCTACAACCTTGAAATTGTAGTTTTTGAGTTGTTGTCACTAAAACATTTGTTAATCTTTTGTTTTTTTCTGTGCGCTTAGTGTTATAATACTGTTTTTAAAGCCTAGTTTGCATAGTTACTTATAATTTAAATTTGCAACTACTCTTTTGTCTGCCCACATAAATTTTTATATGCACAACTTGCATATACGGCAAAAACTACAAATCTTAAACAAACAGCAGATAAAGTGACGAATTTTCACCGAAAGCTTTCGTTGTATTACAACTGTAGAATACTGATGCATACCGAGTGCTAGCCGCTAAGAGAAATAGTCAAACGTTTGAGTTGTATTTTGTGCACAGTTTTACGGGAAGCTCTTGCTATGAAATTTGAGCATACGTCATTTGGGTGACATTCACTGCATTACATGTACTTGTATTAAAAAAGGTGAAAGGTCAACAATTGCAAAAATATTTGTCAACCGCATTTTTACTCATTTCACGTAACACGTTACAAGGTATTTTAGTCCATACAAGTATTTTCACAACCAGGACTTTTACATAGCATTACTGCAAGCATTTTATCTGTTTCTAGAATAAAAGAAAAAGCATACACATATCACAATTCCTGTTATAATGATCAAGGCATGACATAAAGTAACTGTAGATTTACAATTAAATCTTTTCTGAACATAAATATTTCCTGATATTATGTGCTATGCACAACGTCAATTTCAGATCGTTTTCAAAAAGTTATTTTTAAACAGCGTCAAAGTTTATCACCATATGCATTTCTTTTAGTATCATATCTTTGAAAAGAAAACTTTCTATGTGATAAGTATAAAACGGACAATGTTGTCCAAAATACGAATGATGCGATGCCAATATAAATTAAATTCCATGAAAGTTAAGTTTGCTTGAAGAAGCTAACTATAAAACATCAAGAGTTGTTTGCTTGTGTCACTATAGATTTCCCTATTGAAGAATAATCAATTCTCAGTAAACTTTTACCACATTATAAGAGGAGATTATTAGAACCAATTCATAAATTCACAAACCAGGCAAGTAACTGCTTTTCATTGATACATTATTTTAACATTTCTCGCAGCCAAATATTTACAAAAAACTCGACAAAAGAGTACTAAACCAAGGAAGATTATTTCCAACATATTTTCTGTAAGCATTTTGCACAGTTAAATCGCTATATCTGTTTATAGTTTCTTAGTTTATCAGAAGAATGTTATATTTTTCATAATATATAAGTTTAATTGTATATTTTACATCCAAGGAATGTTTGAAACACTCGGGACTCTAATGTAATAAACTATGAAAACGCGCAATGTTGGTGAGAAATAATCTAAAATTAAAATATAGAGTGCTTATAATTCCAAAGCTTTGGCAAAAGTAAATTAATTAAGAAGTGTAAGAATTTTAGAGGTGACGAGGCAACAGTTTCAAAGTGTGCAGTTTGGGAAAGATAAACGCATGCTGTGCAGGATGTATACCTGACCTTCTTCCAATTCATAAAGATAACCCCACTTATCTGGATCCCAATAAACAGACTAAGGAAAATCTAAATTGTTTTTGATTAGATTAACTCATATGTGGCTTAAACCTAGTAGTTAAGATTGTAGGCAAAAAAAACCTCTTGTAAAATGTCTACACTCGAAAACAAAACAATGGTATTGTAGCTAATGAGTAATAATAGTAATGTCTGCAATTATGTCCAGAATTATTCAAATCAAATAAGATGTTTAACACAAAACCATTCAAGCAATATAGACCGTTAGAGCCTTCAATCATGGCAGTATTTGATTTAACTTTAAACTATTAAGCTAGTTTCGTTTGATTGTTATACAAAAAGTTTTTTTTAAAAGATACTTAAAATGCTGCATATAATTTTGAGCAAAAACTATTTCGTTTTAGGAAGAACAATGAAAGCTGCATCTGGAATTGTTTTTTTTAAAATTTTTATTTCTGTTTGCAAAGGTATTATAACTCATATAATTTTAATTTTTTTGAATCTTCAATGACTTCTGATGCAAAAATACTCTTCTATTTACAGGAAATATAGCAGTCGAAAATCAGAGCAAAACATTTTTATTTCGACCAGGAGCCAATATAAACATTACTTGGACGTATAAAGTTTCTTCCCCCTTTATATATCGGAGATGGATGTTCACTGCCTATGGCTCCTCCTCCAGTATATTACTTGCAGACATTTATGATAACAGCGGAATTTCATATTATCATCATCAAATAAATCTGAAAATTCATGTTTATAAACCACTAACCTTAGAATTAAAAAATATGGACAGCAGTTATAATGGGGAATATACACTAATCATTCATAGCTCAATGGGACACTATTCGAGGAGTATCAATGTGTATATCGTTGGTAAGCTTTGATTTTATTCATTAGGTTCATTGTTTTGTGGCTAGGTACTTCTTCATGCATAGACATTATCTTTATTATACATGTTGCCGTTTTAATGATCTTTAAATGTAAATTATTGGGGCAAAAAGTTATGATATACCAAATGCCGAGAGCATTGTCAACTATAAAGCTATCCAGAAATTCTACTTCTAGAAATAGTAACTTTCTAATGTTTTTTCAGCGTTGTTCACCGTTAAACTGTGCATTTTTGGTTGTGCTTGCAATGTATATGATTGTTTTAGGTAATAAATTTCGTGAAAAAAGGTTTTCGTAAACATTGCTTTAAGAACTTTTTAAAATAATATGCGAATATCACCAGCTCATTAGTTTAAGCACCAAAAACAAATGAAAAAATTAAGTTGTCAAATTTTCTTAATTCTTCAATATGAAATTCATAACTAACTAACAGTTTCTTGAGCTTGCTTGAAGTATCGTGTCATTGTGAGAACTGTCACAAAACTCAATTTTTTGTCCTTGCATGTGATGGCAACAGGATGTATTTTTATATTAAAAATAATTAGAGGAAACAGTTATAAAAAGTATGCATAAAGTTCCCAAAGCAAAAAGAATTGCAAAAATAAATCTTATTATGTTTACCTACGCTTTTGTTTTAGTTCCCACATCATGTTTATCGATGAAAACGTTCAACATATCTTCTACTAAAACGGTATCTTTATCAATTCTTTGAATTATTCCGTTTTGCAGTGTCGAATTGTAGTGTGCATTCTTTTTTGCTTGCTACTTGCAGTGAAAATTATTGCTTAAAGTAATTATAAGTCCGTAAGTTAAAAAGTTTTCTAGAACATTTTCTAAAGAATTTTACCAAATCAGAATATCGTCAACATTGGCTTTCTTCCGTAGTCCGTGTGGTTTTCTGATATTTAAAATGTAGCTACATTACATGATAATGTGTGTAAAGTTGCTTATTAAAAATAAATTATTTCAATCTAAAAGAGGAGAGAATAAGCTAATTCAAATTTTGATTAGTTAAAGTTAACAAAAATATGATGTTCATTTGAAGGCAATCATGATGTATTATGCAAACAATAGAGGCCGGTTGCACGAAGGCTGAATAGCTTTGCATTGATAGCATTTTTGAACTTTCAAAAATCTCTTATGAATAAAATTATACGATTTCAACTGTGCAATCACTGAAATAAAATATTGTTTCGAAGATTACAAAATTTCTTTGTTGCAAGAAAAATACAAACACCATTTCTACAAGTTTGAAAATTTTGCTATCCAATGAATAACGCTATGCAGGCTTTGTAAACCAGCCCCTGAATTAGAATAATTCTAGAATGAATTTTATGTAAGCAAATTCTGTTATTCCAGGTTCCACTCAGCTTCTTTCACCGACAACATTGTCAACTATTGCGAAATCAAGTGTCTTTGCCTCTACAAACGGTAACTAAGTTTTTCAAGTTTACTTTTTTGCGTTTTGCAAATGTTCAGCCCATAGTTTAAAGTTTAACATGCTTATAATGCAAAAAACATATTGCGAAGAAAAAAGAACTGTTGATGAGTTGTTGTTGTTTTAGTTTCCAGTTGTGCTTGAATTGAATATTACTGTTATTTTAAATAAAGTTGAAGGGTGAAGAGCTTGTCAATGAGTTCATAAAAGATGTTTGGAGTATAGCATGGTTATAAAAATATTGCAGAACCAAAATTAATTCATTAAATTTTGACGTTCAAGTGATTTTAGAGGCACTTGTACGACTAGCCTAATAGAAATGCTAGGACAGTGTACTTACGTTTTTTTGTGTATACTTTATCTGCTTGTGTTAAAAACAATGGCAGACAAAGCATTAATAAATTTCCAAAGTTGCTTCCTTAATCTAGAGCAGAACAAAGAATATTTTTTACATATTAGAAATGTTTTATTTTGAGTTTCAATTGTTTTACATTATTTGTTGGTCTGGTATTCGAATTATTTCTTCTTTAAATGTAGTGGAGCTACCAAAAACTGTTCTTTAAAAACTAATTTGACACCTGTTTCTTGAAGGTTCCTCACTAAATACCAAAAATTATACAACAATCATCGGTTTTATTACTGGCACTGTTGTGGGCGTGGTTTTTCTTGTCACCATTTTTTCTGTCATCTTTTATTGTTATTTAAAGCAAAGTAAGTTCTAGCGTTCAACTTTTTATGTTCACCAAATTTGAATGAGACTTAAGATTCTTTTGTGTTATTTTTTTATAGAAAATGAACAACGATAAGTGATTTATTCATTATAATTGCCTTTGTATGATCTTTGATATTTAAACTTTACCTCAACAAACAAATACAACATCTTGACACTATCTGCGACCTTTAAATAACAATTATGACTTATCATTTTTGTCTATTTTCTATATAGGTTTTTTCTTTTCTTTTATAAAACCTAACACAAACATTATGTATTATCTTAATCAACTGTAAATAATTATTCATAACTATTTGACACTTCCGCTTTATCACTATATACTTATTATCGTGTTAACTTCCTATATTGATTCACTTCGCACTGAAGATGGCATAAGTATGCCAAGACATGTTTTCTCTAAATAAATTTGTCGTGTATTGTGAATGTGTAATGACTATTGTGCTCTTACGAAGTTAAAGAATCATTGCCAACCACAATGCAACGCGCACCTATTGTTTAATTATATTCGTGCTAAATGTAATAAATTATTCCATCACACGATGATCTTTCTCTTAGACTCTTCGTACAACTTCGACAATAGGTAAGAATATCTGACTCCAAATACCAAGTATTTATTCAAGTATTAACTTTTGCATGGTCTTCCTCTTTTAACCGTTGAGCTTGTTATAATTTATTCACATACGACGTTGAATATAAACATTTTCCATTTTTTTAGTAGAATGTTAGAATATGCTTGATCTTCAGCTGACTGCTCATCTAGACCCCTGTTCAAAAAGCTTTCTTTCATTTCATCAAAATCGACATTACTTTGTTTCTTGCCTCTTTTATCAATGGTATCCAAGGATCAGTTTCCTCCTTTCTGTTGTATGAAACCAAATTATATGCGGTCCAAACGTCATTATATGTTGTCGAAACTTCATTATATGCTGTCCAAACTTCATTATATAGAATTTCGTGATGTGCAAACTTCATTGTATGAAACTTTGTAGGGTCTAGAAAATGTCAGAATTGCAGACCACGTGTTTGAAAAGAGGAAGCAATAGAGGAAATGTAATTACATGTCGAAGTACACATAACCAAGGGATCGAGTGACCTTGGAGAGATGTGTTTCAGGGAGTTCTTAGATTTTTCTACTATTTGTTTTATTTTATGGAGGATCAAGGTCTCCGTGATCTACTAAACAGCAAACACTGAAACACATCGTTGCATTGCACCACACATACATGAATAACATAAATAAAAAACTTAAAATTTGAGGTCTAACCATCACGAGAACCACGAAGACAAGTCCACGAAGCTTATGGATGGCCGGTTAAGTGCAAAATCCAACAGGCCTTGATATACTGCTTGATGATGTGCAACAATACGGCACTGAAGGAGAAATTGATGGTACTAATAATGATGAAAATGAAGAGGGTAGGCCTATTTTTTCTCCACCAACATTAGACCTTACTGTAGACCTTGTTGAACTTCAGAAAGTCCCATGAAATGCTGAGAACTATGGAATTGAACAGTATAAACTTAATTTGGAAGTTATCGAAAGAAATTCGGAAAACTAAGCAAATAATTTTATCACTCTCTAATGTAAACAGTTATGATTATAACTTATAATATAAAAACTTGATAATGCCTCCCACAACCGATATGTATCTTTTGCAGTTCCTTCACTTATAATGCAGGGTTTGTTTTGAAAATCTAAATATTTCCAAAATGTTCACACGAAAAAGCTTCATCGTATAAACCAAACAAGACAAATCATCAGCTGGCAATCGCTTAGAACTGTTTGAAGCATACTGAAGTGTCATTACATTGATACATGTGTTTGCAACCGGCAAAAATGAGTTGGTAACTTCACAAAATCGTATTTTAGAAGACAACTTAAAACCCAATAAAGGTTCTTCATCTGTCGCAGTTGCAAACTGCAATTTGCTTTCAAGTTTTACATCTCCACGGCGACCAGCTGCAAGAAAGAAAGGGCAGTGTCAATAGTTATTTATAAATCTAATAAAAAATGCGCACAATCAAAGAACCTACCAGCAACTTCTCTCATATATCTGCAATAAAGAGCACAAATATTTGCTTCGTAGCTTCGTTGATTGTAGTCCATAAGAAGAAAATCCGGCACAAGAAGTGAACTTAGTTTTCTCAGTGTCATGACAGTAAAAGGATTTGACCTGAAAATCTCCCGCAATGATGAAATTTTACAACACATCTAGGATAAAAACATGTCGTAGAGTCTTAATTTTGTTTTAATAACTCACAAGGAAATATATTTTATTGCAAAATATACCAAGTTTCTCTAATCGTCTAATAAGGTTTTGAAACATTCCCTATATTTTCATTTACAAACATTTCATGGATGACATCCTCCGACAATATTTGCGGCAGCTTTCCATTAATATACTCAGCCCTGAAAGGCAAAACATGAGTCTTTTGTCCCCAGTATCATCTTTTTGACAGTATGCTTTTACAGAAAAATCTATTTGAATAATGACACATAATATGAGATTACCTCTCCATAAAACTTGACATCAAGTGTAAGAAACATATCTTCAATACCATTAATTTCATCCATACCTGTTCTGAGAATGTTTGCAACGGTCGACTAAAATGTAGTTTGCTGCACCCTCTAGACATGAGTCCCCTTGTTCAATTTCCAGGTTTCTCATTCTAACAATTTTTGACTGTATTAGACGCACAACTTCTTAAATAGTAGAAATAGCATGTTCCTTGTAGTATTCAAAAATGTTCTCAATAATTGAATTGATGTCAGTTTCTTCTTGACTTTGAGTCACTGCTCTTAGAGGTTCAGTAATTCTGACAATTTCAAGAAGTTTAGGAGTGTTGCTTTCGGTCATCACAACCACAGGGGCATTTTGTAGTAGTGTGTCTGTGGCAATGTTAGCTGAAGTGAATAGGGAAGTAGTATCTGTTAAAATGACTTCATCAGCATTGTGTTGCTCATCATTTGCTGCAATGGCGACGGATGGATCTTCATTAGTCTCGTGAGATAATGGAGTAGCACTATGAACAGCATTTTGTTGCAAAAAGCTGTCACCATTCAAGTCGGAGTCGAAACTTGAATCTAATATTCCTGCTATACGTGTGTTTAAAATGGCTCCGTAACTGATTCATGCGGAATTCTTGATGGCGCCTGTTGCAAGTTTCTGTCACTTGAACTTTCTTTTCCGCCTTAATTGGCTTTGTGGAGAGGTTTGCTTGAATAGGCCTGGCATATATTTTCGACTGCGTTCCGATATTGGCTTTCAGGTCTTTTACAGCCCAACGGCAGCTACTGATGGCTAGTTGTCGACAGTTTAATTGACACTGCAAAAGCTCAAACCCACCACATTCTTTAAGCTGTGAGGAGCCTGGAGTCTCACCGTTGGCCACTTCATCAGTAAAATCTGCTTAACATATGCATTCGCAATATTGTTTTGCTGGAGATTAACCAGGCAGAACACTACTAGAACGCTGAGATGCTTTTCGTCTTAATGTTGAATGTCGAGGATTAAACAGCCTAGCACGTTCAAATGCTACTGAGGCTGGTGTAGAAATGGACGCACCAGAACAAGATTCATTTTCCGATGGTTTCCAGCTGTTTTGATTTGGCATACTATTTATTTTTCTGCACGCTGAACGCCATAGTCCGGACATAAGCCCATCAGTCCCCACAGTCATCAACATCAAATATTTTCATAAACAACAAGGTAGATTGAAGCTTACTTAAACATTTTGTATGTGTGCATACCTACAGTTGACATGGTTTTGATGATCTAAGTTATGTTGTACTTTATGACAGCATTCTCGAAAAATATTACTGCACCATTCTGTGTTGCCCCAAAAACATCATCGCAACTATGCTAAAGCAGAGATATCTCTGAAGAAATATCAAATCAAAGCAAATTTGAATAGAAATAGTGCCTGTTTTTTAATGTAATTCATGTATAGGACAAATTATTTTTAGGATATATCCTTCCTATTAATTAAAATTCTCATTCATTTTTTATCTATAGCATTTATTGTGAAGACAGATTCAATTAAATGGACATTTAAACAAACTATAAACAAATCTCATGTTCAAATCATGTTGGCATCAACTCCAGCACAATATAAAACATCGCTAAACTGATTTGCAGATGTTTTCTCCAATGAATGCAAAGTACATTGTTTACCACCAACCCTAACCTGCAGTTGATCATCCAATTTTATAGTTTGTTTGACTTATGATAGCAGTTTCACTAACTTAAGTTTGAAACTATTAAAATATTCGATACTCCAAACATCAATAGCCCCGGTTTACGATCGTTAAACTTCATTGTCATAAAGTATTGGTATGCCAAAGAACTTCCAGAAGTTCAAAAAGACAATTAAACAATCGTCATAGCTAGTATTAAAGGACACATGCAACATAAAATTCGGATTGTTATTTTTGTACTTTACATAAAGGTATAGCTCCAACTAATACTTCACCAAAGTTTGAGACTCAAAGGATAAATATTTTTGAAGATATGGAGGTTTAAAGTTGATACAAAACACCGCAAATACAAAAATTGACAATAATGTATTACAACCCTATTGTCATAAGAAGCACCATTTATGTTGACTGTTGACAGACTTCCCAGTCTCAAAATGACAACGTCTTTAAAATTTGATGACATTGTGTCAACATGGATTTTAATGTCGTGCAGCGCACTCGTTTATAAAGTAAAGATCAAAAAAGATTAAGATTGAAAACTGTTTTCAATTTATGTTGTAGTAATCAATAAAGAAGTTTTTTGTATATCGTTTGAAAAAGTGATGTGCAATTGTTTTTATTTTAGCTAAAACGATGTGTAAATTGCAGATTGCACACCGTTAATTCGCACACTGATTTGTGTGTTAATATGCATATTTATGCAATTGGATTTTGGCTTTTGATGTACTTGCTAATTATATGTTCTTATTATTGGAGTCAAACAGCTTTACATTTCATCTTTCTTTCATCTAAGTTTCACAAACTAATTTTCTTTATTCCTAGAATGTGTAAGCCAGTTTCTTGTAATCTCAACAGTTACACTCATTTCCCCTCTCTCAACCTTATTTCATAAAACATGGAAAAATTTAAACTTCTTCAAAATATGCAGAATTCGTGATAGACATCTTTACATTTACTACTGCGAATGGTAGAATTGGTTCAAAACTTGGCAGTTATATATGGGCAATGATTGCAATTGTCATTAGATATTCTTTTAAGGTTAAATGTTCTATGATTTTTATCCCATAATCATGCATTTTCCAACTATACACCTCGTAAAAAGAAGTCTCACATAAGAATTTGAAATTTCCGTATATGCAAAAGGTGAATCCCAAACAGCTTATAAAATGCCAATTGCAATTGCCCTGTTCTGACACAGCAATGTAGGAATCTTCCTATACGTTTATTTATAAAACATGACTAACGTCATTCACCAAATGGCAGTTAGAAAATTACTGCAGGTCTAATGGCAGCTGCGCCTCATTCATCTCCTCAGAATTTATGACAAAATTTGTCAGAGTGGACTTCCTTTTTATGTTGTGTTTATTTACTTCTTTTAAGGTGGAATATTTTCTAATGAAACAAGATTGCGTAATTGCTTAAACACGTTTAATTCTTAATAACACAAACAAAAGGAACAGTAACTAAGCCAAAGATTAAACAAGTATTCATACGGCTACATAGAAATAGAATATGAACTGACTAAATTTTTATAAGTACTTTACACATATATACATGATTAAATGTATGAAAAATATATACAGTTCGGCAAATTATCGTAAACTACTAATGATTTACTGCTATTTACATTTTGTGTAAGCAGGTGTTAACATACACGCAGGATTTTTACATGAGAACTGTTGGTATTTTGGTACTAGCATGCGAATCAATAATATCATCATTTAATTTCATTTAAAAAGACAATTTCCACCCGTAATACTTTACATAAGTCTACCAACTACAACAAATATTTCCCATGAACGGTAATCGCCAGAGCACACAAAAAGTAACAATTAATGTTTTTGTTACTTTAATAATATTTTAATCTAAATAGAAGTTGTGATCAAAAATTTGACCAAATTTACTTCGTATTTTCACTTGTCGATGCAACATTACTGAAATGAATTGTGTGTATGGTGCATCTGCAAATCTAAAAATACGCTGCTCAAAAAAAATTCGTAGGGAACTTCTTCACATCTGTACAGTTTCAGCAATGAAAGACTAAGTCTTGTGAGATGTAGCTTAAATGGTGAACACACGGCATCTTTGAACCGCCTTAAAAATCATTTCTAATTCTCATTTACAGATCAACAGGTTCGGGATCTTTAGCAAAAGGTTCCTATGAATGAAACAGACTCAAATTACTTTGATGAAATTCATTACTAATCATCTAATTATAAGTTAAACTCGACAGTCAATAAAGTTAGGAGCATTTAGGGTAGCCGTTTATTGGATGTTACAGCATTCCAAAATCTAAAATTTACTTTGGGATAGGATGGTAAAAAATCAGGTAGTCAAAATAATTGAGCAGCAGGTTGCAACGTTACTCAATTGCAATGTTCCACAAACCTGCAAAACCTGCGGTGATTTTCTGAATCTGAATGGTAACAGACTTCCTACGCTTGTGCCAGAGTCTATAACTTCAGTGGTTTGTGTATAAACAGGATTTTCGAATCGTAAGGAGTCCCCTCGAGAATGGCTAGATAAAACGTTACATAAGTACAATTATTATACAATTATTCTGATTGGTTATTTAAAGGTAAAACAAGTCAACATATGTAGTTAATTGCAAATGCAAGTCAAATGAACGCAGTATCTATAAGAATCAAAACCAATATATCATTACAAACTTCACACCAACCTGTATCGTTTCTGAATCTTTTTATGACATACAAGCACTATGATGCCACAGGAAATGAAAATGAACATCACCAAACCAACACTTATACCGATAGTAATAGCTAAATTTTTCAAAAACAACTACCGATTACAATATCCGTTGGAATTTAATGCCTTATTCAAAACTTTCAGATGTCAAATTTTGAAAAGAAAAGGTGTGACATGTATACAGTATGAGAAAACGAGACACAATTGGCTGTTGTTCTTACCATTTTCACGAGCAATATTCGCGCTAGCCATATCATGTTCATCTTTTTTCAACTCGCAACGCTCACCAGTGTAACCATCATGGCACCTAGATAAAAGCAAAACATTCAACTTGAACATGAAATGGTCAAATGGCTTATTTTGTTTTTAAATAAAAACTGCACAATGAAAAAAAACGCAGGATTGAGCATTAGTAGTATAGTATTCAACTAAAAATAAAGTTTATTATGTTATTGTTATAAGTGAATAATCAAGTTTTCAAAGATACAAGTTTTACAAGCACCAAAATCTAACAATAAATTAAATTGCTTACGAACAAATAGGGCCACGTATCTCATTTCCAGGTAAACATGTTCCATTGTTGCATCTTCCTTTCTCGCAAAATAAAGCTTCTAAATGTATTAAAATATACCAAACTTATTACAAGCGCAGAATAAACAACAAAGCATATATGCAGTCAATAGCACTATTTTCTTCCGTATACTAGATAGTTCATGGGGCTTTCGGCGACATAAATTTTCACACTAACACAACTCGTCATACAAAGAAAGCACAGTATAAACCCCGATCCACAAGATACGATCTGGGAGTTAATAACTACTATCTACTTTACATGATAAGAAATGGTCGATATACACCCACGGCTAAAACTAACAGCCGTTCAACGAACAATGACCGTTTCAATGATCATTTCTTCTCTAGAAGCAACATGGTACGACAATGCATGGTGATTGTTATGTCTGGAGCACTTATAAACACGAGAATCTGCAATCTCAAAAAAGTATTTTTCGCGTTATTGTGCTTTACTTTTTTACATTGGTGAGCAGTCAAAAACCGACTTAGGCCGAGCTAAAAAGCATTAAGTTGAATGGCGACCATACACGTGGCGGCGGTTATTTAGATCCCCATGATTATGACATTGTATAAAAAATGTACAAGTAATGTATAACAAAACGTGCAGGGTAGATACATCAGCTATCTAACAAAAAAATGTCGAAAAAAGAATTTTTATCAATTGAGCATCAAAGGTTACGTCCAATAGAAATAACATAAACATACCAGAAAGATTACAGGTCTTTTTGTCAGGCAACAGTTGAACGCCATCAGGGCAAGCACATGAATATTGATCAAACCTTTTCCACTTTTTGGTTTTATTCTTTTGAGAAAGCAAACAAAGATGACTGCAGTCGCCATTGTATTTAAGACAAAAGTTGAAAGCTAAAACAAATATTCAAAATAAATATTCAGACGGCATGTCTGAATAATCCCTCAATATCGTTGATTAATCCCTCAATATCGTTGATTGTCAGATAAGTGCAAGACTTATTAATACATGCAATTTTATAAAATCTGTGGGTTTACGAACAGAATTAAGTCTCAAAGGAAACTATAACACGGTCAATGCCATGACAAATATATTATTTAGGAATACACGATTTCAACACTTGTTCATCACTTGGTCAACTTACCTCCAGGTTGTCGTTGATGATGTATCATATTTATTCCAAGTGTGTTGACTAATCTTTTCTTAAGAACTGTCACGTTCTTTCCAGTAAATTTATTTGCTTTATAAATTGCAAATTTACTCCAATCACTCCAGTAAATGTGATCTTCAAACAAGGATATCGAGAACGGATGGAAAATCGTATCACTAGTTAAGATTACACGACGCTTCTTGCCATTTAAATCACAATATTCGATCAGATCGAGTTTAGCATCCACCCACCAAATGCGATCTATTGTATAATCGATAGTAAGAGAATTTGGCCAAATGATTCTAGTCGTAATGATTGCTTTACGGCTGCTCGGTTCACCATCCATACCAGCCTTCTCGATTTTGGGTTCAACACCCCAATCTGTCCAAAACATCTCCCTATGCACAGTAAAAAAAAGTTTGAGAATAATTCTGCGATGATTTTCGCAACGCTAAGAAAGACACAAAACACAAGTATATTCGGAAAATAAAATAGATCTAGGGCCGGTTGAATAAAGCCCTTAACTACTTTTTAACTACACTTTTTGCAGTTAAAAAGTAGTTAAATTTAACCACGCGGTTAAGTCGGTTGTATAAAAAAGTAGTTAGCGCTAAATGCAGTTAATGCAATGACTCAACGGGATCCCGTTGAGTCACCTGATTTTTTCAGGTCCTGAGACGATTGCTTAAATTGTCCAACAAAGTGCGAAGATCGTATCTTCATTTAATTTCAAATACCGCACTGCATAAAACATTCAATGTCCTTTAAAGTTAACTATGCTGTGGAGCATAGTTAACTTTTCAAAACACAGTTAAATATGGCGGCTTTTAATACGTCTTATAGATATTTTTGAGCGAAATGTAATCGATCGGCAACGTTTACCTCGAGTTTTTAATCGACATCTTCCATGGCAAGGTTTTTCCGACAATGACCTCCGAAAACGGTACAGATTTGGCCGAGAATCGTTGCAGCATATCTCACGATTAATTGCAAATGATGTACGGCCAACAACAAACCGTAACAAAGCCTTGTCAACCGAAGAGCAATTGGTCATTGCTCTTCGTTTCTTTGCGTCCTGGAGCTTTTTGCAAGTCATTGGCGATACTCACGGTTATGATAAAGCCACTGTTTCGAGAGTAGTGCGTAAAGTCGCACTTGCATTGGCTTCTAAGCACGCAGACTACATCAATTTCCCATCAACAAATGAGGGAAAAAATGCTATTTGTACTGGGATGTATCAAATTGCGTGTTTTCCCTGCGCCATTGGCTGCGTTGATGGCACACATATACGTATAATTGCTCCTTCCAAAACGAGCCAAATTATGTAAATAGAAAAGGATACCACAGCATAAATGTTCAAGTCATTTGTGATGACAAAGGTAAATATGAACATATTAAACATGTTTAATTAATATTCAAAACCATAATGTACTAGACTTCAAGAACCATATAATACACTTCAATAATCATAATATAATACATAATCATAACAATAGAATTTTACAAAGTTATCCACTTAATTTATCCTACAAGTATTAATACAACCTACTTAAAAAAAAATTTCCAAAAATTAATTTTATGCAGGCAAATTTATCAATGTGGTAGCACGATGGCCAGGATCATGTCATTATTCATTCATCTTCCGGTCCTCTACCATTGGTAGAAGGTTGGAAGAAATGGATCATGCAGCAAATAATGATGTGCTGTTGGGGGACAGTGGATATGCCTTACGGTCATTTTTGATGACTCCATACTTCCATCCAGTGCATCCATGCCAGAAAAAATTTAACAAGGCACATAAAAAAACAAGGTGTTTGGTTGAAAGAACCATTGGCATTTGAAAAAGAAGGTTTCATGTTTTGCATTCAGAAATAAGGTATCAGTGAGTCTTTATGAGCCTTAATACAACATCAAATCATAGCAAGCATGTTTACTCTATTTAGGATGAAACCAGATAGAGTCTGCACCATTATAATGGCTTGTGCAGTATTGTATAACATTTGCATTCTAAGGCAAGAGCCTGAAGTTGAAGAAGATGAGTTTGGAGAAGATGCACTGGAAGAAGAAAATGAAGATGTTTTGCTGGATGCAGGAGAAACAGATGGAATAGCAGCAAGGGAGCATATGGCACAAACATATTTCAGTTGACTAGTTTATTAAAAGAAAAAATGAAGGGGGTTGTTCACTGATTTCAACTATCCTCTCAAGTAACTGTACTTGTAGTTCGAGTTTTCTTTTCTTCAACTCTAGGTTGTGCTTCTCAAACAACATTTTTTCTTTTCCAGTTGAAGAACCTCAACATGAAGTTGCTGAACATCATTTTTCATCTCTCCTTGAGTCTTTGGTCGTTTCCTTTTGAATGTTCTTGATTCTTCGCCTGTGAATTAAGTTCAATACAATGCACAAATACACTTTATAAGCTATGAATACAACAATGGATATAAACATAATTAAATGCTCACATTGTGATAGTGTGGATGTTGTTGGTATTGGAGTCTTGCTTAATTCCATGTCCTCACCACCCTCATCTTCTTCGTCGGTTTCGACCAAAGTGCTCAAGTGAAATGAATTACTCTCTTTCTCTGCAAAACGTTAAAAAAACATAGCACAATGAAAAGATGAAAACGTATTACCTTTTTTGTTTTACTGTATATTTTTCCATTATGCAAATAAATAATCAAAACTTAAATCAATACAATTGTCTCATTCAGCATATAGAAATCATATTTCGTACTTTGTATTTATAGCATCGAATTCTTCGTAAAACAACTTTGGCAATACTCCATCCTGAAGACATATTCGGTTATTTCAAGCCGGCCATTTTATTTCGGGATGGGTTGGTTGGTATAAATTATTTTGTTATGTTTAGCGTAATGGCGGGAAAATTTAAAATCCCTTGTGTTGTATTAAAACGTAAGCAAAGACAATAACAAAGTAGCATTTTGCTTCTGCTTATTCATTTACGCAGAATTCTTCTATGCATTTTAAAGAATGAGATTTTAAAGATCATAATTACCTACAAATGTACCACCAGACTCGAAGCCTCCTTGAATACCTGAGAATGAAGTTTCATCTCCCAAAATATTTATGATTTTCTCCGTTGTTAAAGGTGGTGGTTTTGTCGCAGGACCTCCCCCTGTTTTTCTTTGCGAACTCATTATTCCAGCATTGGTTTTTAGCAATCTGTGCCAGGTTTCTCCATTTTCACGCACTTCTTTTGGCGTGCGATTTTCAAACCCCAAGCTGTTTATTTGCGAGGTTATCTTCTCCCACAACTCTTGTTTTTTTGCATTTGTTATGCTACTTGAAAATTGCCCTCGTATTGCATCCAAATTTTTCTCCACAAGCTCAACAAGAAGAGAGCATTCTACAGGGCTAAAATTGTTTTCTTTTTACTTTTATTTGAGGACTCAGCTGTGATTGATAGGGAAGACATCTTGGATTGAAATGATATAATACATCTACCAATGATAACAGTTACACAACGAATGCATGATTATGATGTAACAGAGAAGAGATGTGAGTCATTTGAAAACAACTACAGAGTAATCACCAATGAATTTTATAAAAACTTCATTATGCAATATCAATATCACAATGCAAGACAATATATTGTCTTTAAATGTACATTAAGCAATTTTCAAGAGTCAGATAGCTGAACCATGAGAATTAAATAGTCGAAAAGAAAAAGGTTAAATATTTTTGAGAATAGATTTTAAATTAAATAAGTTAAGAGGAAATATTCTATGTACCTGGGGACACTCAAAATCTATAATAAACAAAATGGCATGAGTTTAACAGGATAGAAATGACAATGAAGACGAAATGAATACAATATTTATTCTATATCCCTATGTTACGTTTTAATGACAGAGGAAAGATATGTCATAACAGTCGTGAAATTATATTGTAACTATGATGACCTTTAAGAAATGTTTGCTAACAAGTCTATCAATAAAAGTCTATGACTGTCTTCTTTTGCTCATACAGTCATACCTGTGACTAAATGTCTTGTCATAAAACCATGATTAATTTTTTGATAACAAGATTTCTTTCAATGATTAGCAAAACAATATCTTTCTTTTATACACTATTTCTGATAGTGTCAATGGCTGTTTAAAGCTATTCAAATCCTTACCAAGATGCAAAAGTAGGAAACAAATAGAACTCCCAAGCTTTAGACAAAAATAGGCTAATAAATCACAAAGGCATGAATAAAAGTTCCATAGCTAAGGCTCATTAACAAATATACCCAATAGTTTTATAACACAGTTTTGAAAGGTAGAATTAAGAACAAATAAGTATTTTGTGTATAGCTGTGAAAATAACATGTCACAAGCCGATAAAACACAGTTGCTGGATTACATGGCTACTAACTATGACAACTCAAAGAAATGTTTTCTAATAATAAAAAAGTCCATCACTGTCATCTTTTACAAATATGTGTGACTTATGGCTGTACAAACACATTTCTTTCAAGCATTTTACTCAGCTGTTATAAAGAGAAACGAAACGACCCTTTTCCTTTGTTACCCTCAATCTCTCAATTTTAAATTCTGTAAAAGCGAGGCCATTCAATTATTTAAATCCTTGCACATAGAACACAAAATGAATCAATTTGAGAAGAGTTCATTGTTTCGTTTGCCCAAGTCCGTTATATATAATTGGTACATGAAAGAAAGCAGTCCTTACCAAGACTCATATCATTCGTCAACATCGTACTGTATTACACAGAAGATAAATGTCCATTTTCTTGAGAAAAGTCCAAAGTATATGCTACAATTTAATCCGGATACCATGTCATCGTGAATCTTTTATTAAATTTTCTTTTCGCTTCATCAACATCCATAAAAACGACAATAGTTTGCCATATTTTAAGATTTTTACATAAGCCAAGAGATTTTTCATGATTTTAAAGTCATTTTATAGTTCACTTGCCCGCCATTACAAAGCATAAATTGATTAAACTTGTATGACTTATTTGAATTCGACCTTCGGAAATCGTCAATGTCATGAATTCAGAAGACCATATCTCATAAAATATAAAACATTGGACTTTCAAATTTGGCGAATAGGCTAATCATTAGCTAAGCTTTCATATGAAGCAAAGTTATATCAAGCATTTCAGGTGACCTTTAATCATAGCATTCCAATTTCTATCCAATCGGCATGCACAAACGACGCACAGTTCACCTTATATGGAGGTGAGTGCTTCAATGCTCAATCGATTCTCATCAGTCATACGTTTTCATCATAAAATTAAAAGATAAATTCCTTGCCATTTTGAATGAAAACATTTTTTTGATTCTTTTAAATGTCTTGATTGTTTTGATTCTTTTGAGTTTTTAAAATGCTTTTTGATTAAAAGTATGATACGTTGTTTACTCAACCGAACAATCGTCCGCATGTTTACAAACGTAGAAACGGACTATATTATAAAACTGTAGTTTTGTTTCCATTATTTCCTTTATAACATTTTGATAGAACCTTTTTTCCGATGATTCTGTGCGACTGCGATAAAATGATGTATAGTTATCGCAAAGAGCAAACGTTTCATCATATTCATAATTCATATTTCATGGTTGAACTCGCACCATGCGTTTAAATTATTTTTGACGTTTTGTTAAATCCACACCGATATTTCAAGTAATAATAAAAGCTCGAACGAAAATAAATACATGCTTACACTATATTTTGCTCACCGTCTGACCATAGAGCGCAAGATAAAAAATGTGAACCGAGCTGGCTAAATACGGCACGGTGAATCGATTTCATGTGTTTTTCGCCAAACGAGATACGTGTAATTGATGTCGGTAATCACTCGATTTTGGTATCTACTGTATAACGTTGTTTAGGCCGCATATCTATTCGGATTCCAGACATTTAAAATCAAAGAGAAACTGACAGGAGTTCCGAAAGGTTCTACCTTATTGTGATTGTTCTTCCCCCCTCATTCCGTAAAATTCCCCCCCAGAAATGTTAACAGACAGACAGACACAAATCGAGATTTTACCTCTATATAGGTCGAGTAGAGGAATGGGCCGAAACATGTCAAGATTAGTGTGCTGCCACGCATCAGCGTGGCAGCAACAAACACAAAAATGCCAGATCGATGTGTAGTTTTTGGTTGTTCTAGCGTAGCCAGTTTGGAGAAAGGCATTTCACTTCATCGCATACCATTTTTTAACGACGAAAGAAGCGAAGCTAAGCGTAGGAGAAAGCGATGGGTCAACTTTGTGAAAGCTACTCGCGATAAGTGGGTCCCCACAAAGAATTCCAAAGTTTGCTCGGAACACTTCACAAAAGATTCGTTTTCTCGGCAATTCGGCTCGCTTTCTGGATCAGAAAGTAATTTTGCACCTCGACTCATTCGAGATGAATTCGGAATCGTTGCTTACCCGAGCATTTATCCTCGAAAAGATGACAATGAACTTACAACAAGAGATCGCAGAATGGTGAGTACGTTAAAATTATACATATGCATATCTACATTTTACCTGGAATCTGTGTGAGAGTAAATGTGCTCATGATTCCAACATAAACCACGCAAATGGCTAAATGAAGGTAAAAAATCTAAAAAAATTCTTGTTGCTATTAAAAAGAAATATTATGTGTTTAACAATCTCTTATTCATTGCCTTGTCTTTAGATTCTATATCATACAATAAGATGTATGCAACTTTAACTAAACCAAGGTTGATTGCTGGAATCGTTAAAGCTTCTCCAATGTCTCAAACAAGTGCATTGGAGGGATTTCACTCAGTTCTTAACCAGTTTGCACCCAAAATGATAAGCTACTCTTTTCCTGGGATGTTCTGCAGGTATTCTATGAAACATGTGTGATGAAACACCAATGTGTCATTACAGTTTTTATTCCCTTGTTCCAATTTAAACTTTTTCAAGAAATTGAATGCAATTTTATATTTCATGAAGGCATATCCTTGCTGTAACTCACTTCAACAGCAATTTGGACAGGGATAATCAAGAGGTTAATGGAGTTCCCCAGGTTAAAGTGCATTATCCAAAATTTAAAAATGGTGAAGCTGTTGTAAGAAATGTAAAAGATGCTCAGGATTTTGGTAAGGTTATTTAATACATTTCTCCTACTGCCAGATATTATGTGTTTAATGCCATAATAATGAAAGCCTTAATAAGAAATGATTACCATAAAATAAAATTTTGAATAATTTGCACATTGCTCCTCCAGGGTATGTTGAAGATATTTATCAAGTGTTGTGCTCTGCACTCATTGATGAGGAAACATTGAGAAAAGCCAAAGGTGATCTTTTGAATGACTCCATTGCCAATGAATTCCATGTTGGACAAGCAATCAAAAAGTGAAGCTATCTCAAAAAAAGCAAGAAGAAAAAGCATGCCAGCTGTACATTTCCCCCCAACTAAGCCAGGTTTTACAAAAGGCATTACTTGCTTTGAGTTAATTTGAATCTTATTTTTGGAACTGACTCACTTTATTGTTTGATATAGCTGAAGTATCACCTGTCAAAGAAATAATCACTAATCAGAGAAATGAGAGAGCAGCACCTCGATGCACTGTGTGCAAGAATTGGATGAAAGGCCATAAAAATATAATGAACTGTCCAAAAAACGGAAAGTAACCAGTTTTTTAGGACCTGGTGGTATGAGCCCAGTTAGTTGGGATTCAGTGAAGTGTGAATTGACTGCATGGACAGAATAAAGAGAAAGGAATTGTAATTTTGTATGTTTTGTATAACAAGTATAAGTGTGAATCAAAGATGCAATAAATCAAGAGTGGCTTAAATCATTCCACACTTCACTGAATCCCTACTAGCTGGGCTCATGCAAACACCTAAAATAATATATAATGTTATGTTATTTTACAAATTGTCCTCTTCATACCCTGCAAAGTGTTCATTTTTTTTAAATTAGAAGTTTTTCGAATAACATGGTAAGCACAATCTGGAATTGAAATTCTTTTGTCTCGATGCAACAACTCGATGAAACCTGAAAAGGCATAATACACAAGGTCCATTAAAACAGGTAGGAGTCCATAAAATACAAATTTTGCAAGTGTGCATTCATAGATAACCCAGACAGAAACATTTAACTAATAATTCTAACAAACCTTTGCTCCAAGAATCCTTTATGATATCTAACTCCATCTTGTCTTTGGTAAAGATTGGCAGCTAAATTTAATGCCCAGCGATTGAGGCAAATGGCATCAAATCCTGGATGCTCTGTTATGCATTTTGGCTGCCTTCCTAATTCGGATACCACCATATGATCTTGCATTCCAATCATGCAATTGGCAATTTCGTGGCAGCATCTACATTCTTTTGGATTAACCAAGAGAGGAACACGGCAGTTACCACAATGGCACCTACGAAAGTTATCTGTCAAAAGCTTCGGCAACAATAAATAAACAAATTTTCCAACTTTTCTTACCAAGAATCAAGAGGAACTTCATTTTGCATTCTGCGTTTGAGCTCTTCTGTTTGGCGTCTTTCTTCTTCTGTTTCTCTAATATACTTTTCTAACCACTCTTCATCTGCAAGTGGTTCGTTTTCATACGCTTCAGCTTGGCCATACTCAAAATCGCCATCGGTGTTTCGGAGCGCATTTGATGACGATTGATCTTCGTCTTCTAAATCGAATTCCCGACTGTTCAATTCAATATTTTCCACTTTTGTTGCTGTACTCGATTCAGAATCAGATGTGGACATGTTTCGTACAATTTTTATATTAATTTCAAAGCAATATATAAAGAATTGTTATTTCACACTGTGTTGTTTTGTATGCAGCGCATTCATACGTTCCTTAAATGACGTCACAAACCTCTCGTTTTAAGTCCCCTCAGCGGCGCGGAAATTTCTCAAAAGCAAGCTAATTCAAACCCCCAAAACTTTGTTTTTCTTTTTTACGAAATTTTTTTCGAAATCATATTTTCCACAGTCTAAACTTTAAAATTTCAACGAATTTGGAAATAACTGTATGTGCACTTTAAAGGTCACCTGAAATGCAAAATTCGTATTTCTGTTTATTTGACATATAAAATGTATATATTGCGTAGACTATTCAAAGAAAATTTGAAAACAATCCCATGATTATTTTAAGAGATATCAACGTGTGAATTTGTGTTTTTTTTTGAATAGAAGTAAAAAATATTCCGTCGGTTTATCGTCGGAAAGTACTCGGCGTGACGTAATAGTTGCCATTAACATTTCGCGAGAGAAAGCGGCAAATATGAATTCATAAATAAAGTTTGATTTTGATCGGCTATTTTAAGATGGTTTACTGTGTCGCATTTAACTGCAAAACGGTTCTTCTAAGAACCAATCTAACCTTTAAAGAACCAACCTTTAAAGTGGTTCTATGACGAAAACTTTACGTTAAAATCATCGATTTTAGCATTCAATAGTTTAAACACATATCAATTATTGCTTTCGTAAAATGTAAGCAAAATAATAATATAACGAGGAAGTTATGAACATTTGAAATGTCTAATTTTTTTGTGACGGCAAATTCTAACGAATCTAATTCGGAAATTTTGCCATTTGTCGATAATACTGAGCCGCTTGCTTCGCCTGATGAAATTGCTGAGTACGAAGCTACAGTCGCAGAAGAACGGCGGGTTGAAGGCATGCTGCAAGATCGTTTTGATGCCCGTGTTGACGTTACTTCATGGTAAGATGTCATTCTTAGTGTGTTACTTTGATCTAAATCGTCTGCCGTTAGCTATGATAAGTTTATGGAAACATACAATTTAGCCAATATTAAAGGTGTGAATGTGGCCATTGTTCGTTGGATCTTGTTGTCAACCCTCAAGAGTGCCGATGCTGCATGGAAATAGAGCCATGCCGTGGTAAAATGTATCAGTTCGAAATCGATGAAAGGAAATGCATTTTGGATCACCCTGGCTTTAACGAAGTTTGCCTGAACGAATTTGTTCTTCAAGCAGCTTCGTCAGGTTTAAAGACCAAAGGTCATCGCATGATACAGACACTTCATTTTGTATTTCCTTTAAAACCTTAGTATAAATGTATATTATATATTGAAAGTTTGCTTGGATGTATTATTGGTTCTCTCAAATTGTGAAAATTTATCATCTGCAATATGTGTAAGTATATAATAATTGCAACTTGTGCAAACCTGACGCCGCTCTCTTGACGTTGTTGGTGTTTGTGATTTCTTCCAAATAGTAGGTACGGCACCAGGTTTCATACCAGCCAAATGGAATAAACGCTCAAAACAATCATCCGAGAAGTGATTCGAACAAATCATAAATCGAATTTTGCGCGAACTCGGATTAAAGTTTGCGCGCTTCGTCTGAACAAATTTAACCCAAATTCTTCTCAAAGACTCGTCGTTTGGGCTTTTATGTAATGAAATGCCTGTACTTCTATCAGACTTATAACTGCAATCTTGCACGACACAGCGTGTTGAAGGCATGTTAAAAAAATTGAGTTTTACAACCTTTTATATCTCTATTTGTATATAGTGTTATATTGTAAACAGCCGCGAGTTAAGACTATGACGTCACAAGCACCTTCCTTCTCGAAAATTCAAATATGGCGCATTTTAATGGCGGCTTTTAAAGTTCAAGTTTTATCGCTACGTAACTTGAGCAGCATGAAATACATTGCGCTAAAATTTCGCCAGAAGAGCTTTTTTTACATACACTATTAATCTATGAAAAAAAAAACGAGAGGCAAAATTTTCGTCATAGTACCACTTCAACTATCCGACAAAATACGTTTTTTGCAACACAGTTAAGTTAAGGAGTTAACTATGGTAGTTAGCGTTAACTATAATTAAAGTTAACTACGTTTTATACAACCGGCCCCTGACAATTTTCAAAAGCAAATGTTTTGTAAAATGCATCAAAACAAATTTTAAAGTTTAGTAACCACAAATACAATTAATAGCTTTTTTTTTCTTGAAAAAATATTTACGACGCTTTACAACGATGTGTAAATATCGAGTTTGAATTATCCGCTACAGTGTAGGGGTCTCCAAACTACGGCCCGCGGGCCAGATGCGGCCCGTTGGGCCTCTCAATCCGGCCCGCAGAGACACTTAACGAAAAAAATAATATTATTAAACAAAATAAACTTCGTGCAGAAAGTTCACCTTATGACGCAAGCCAACTAGCAAGAGTGGCTTACGTCAATTTTTGTCCGAACTTCCTACTTCCGTTTCAAGCACATTGCGAAATTTAAAAAGCTGAAGGTAACGTGGAAATTTGTTATATTTCAATGCTCCATAATGAAAGTTCATGTGGCCCTCTGGCTGTAAAGTTTGGAGACCCCTGCGCTACACGTACAGTGGGTTATCAAAAAAAGTGTTCCCCCATAAAAAATAGGTTTAGGTACATAAAATTCAGTAATTACAGTTTAAAAATATTATGATACTCTAACAAGATATATATGTAGCAAAGAACAATACTCAAGCAGTACTTTACGCACTATGAAAATGCGAAAAGCTAACTATCGTTGAATTATGTAAAAATATGCATTTTCCATTAGTAATTTGAGACAATAATCAAGGTAACAGACAAACTCACAAAACGTACATATGCCAAAATGTCAGCCCAGCAACAATGAAATAATTCGGTTGATTAATACATATTGCAACAAAACGTAACACTAACATCAGGCAATTTTCAAAATACACGGAAAAAGGCTGAGATGTCAATTCCCAACAGCATGTGTGGCGAACAAATAGATTTTGCAAAGTTTATGAACTAACAACCCCATATTTAATGGAGGGCCAATTTTTGGTCACACACTGTACTTTGCTTTGCAACTGAAATAGAAGGCTAGACTTTATCCAAACTTGTTTCATAAATAAATTGCACATTAGTGCATTAATATATCAGTATAAATCTCAATAAATTCCCTAAACACGAATTGCCACTTCAATGTTATAAATTTTCAAATCAAAAGTCGTTCCTTTTACAATTCCCTTCTCGTGAAAACTGGGAAACCGTACAACGAAACTAAGAAAATATTTACTTGTTTAATGTAAACGAAACTACAGAAATTTCTGAAAAATCGACGTTTGCAAATATATCGTGAGAATTTTTGTAAATCATCACAATCACGGCAATTTCTACACTTACATATAGACCGTGATTAGAGACGCAAGAAATAATCAATTCCTTAAATTCAGATCACGTTACGTTCACAATATTCTTTTAGTAGCAAATGCTTTAACAATAACATATTGATACTAGGAAAAGAAAATTTGAAATTTACCTACCCATAGTAGGGATGAAGTACAATATCGCGTGGCATATCCAAGTTAGTATCGATTAAAGTAGAACGATATCGACCATCTAATTCAGAAACTTCAATTCGTTTTCTTCCAGCATCTGTCCAATACAACTTTCCTGTGACCCAATCTACTGCAAGACCATCTGGGGAAGCAACAATTTTAACAATAATTTTTTTATCATGTTCTATTTTGCTACTCAGGTTAGTCTGTTGAATTGAATTGCTTTTAATGCCAGTCCAAAACATCAAGGCCTTGCCAAAATGATAGTCTACTGCGATGATTCCTGCGAAATGAGGAACTATGCCAAAGAAGTCGGACTGTTTCTTGTGTAAAGTGAGTTTTCTGATGGAATAATGATCAGAAAATACGAGGTACGGGTGTCTATCTAAAAATAAGAAAACAACAAGTAAAAATAAAATTTGAGAACAAATGGGAGCATTCCATAGATCAAGTATCAAACAAACAGAAATATATCAAAGGAAACACGAGGAAGACACTAAACATAAATAAATACATGTCCTTATAAATATTTGCAATAATTATAAACACCTATAGCTTTGCAAGTTCGATGGTCCTTATCCAAGCGATAGCCAGCAACACAACTGCATCTTAATGGCTGGGCAGTCTTGTTAAACACCTCACAGATCTGACTACACTGCTGAAATTCATCACATTCGTCAATTTCTAAATAAGCAAAAAAACCATTAAGAAATTGCAAAGAATACAATTCGAAGTTAACAATGTTTACTTCTACAAGTCTTTTCATCTTCTTCAAGTTTATATCCTGGACGACAAGAGCAAAAATGACCAAATTTTAATTTGTTACATTTATGGTCACATCCACCATTGTCATTAGAGCATTGTGGTTCACCTAGAATAGACACCAAAACACAAGTTTCTAGTGCATTCATTTAAGCATTTATAAACTCTAAATTGTTACATACATTGTGACACATCAAATTTGCTAAAATGCATGAACATTATATCACTATATAAATATATGTTTGAGGACATTTTACTAAGAGATGCCAATTAATCAGCCTATAGCTCACTTTTTAGCAATTATGTGCAATGTAGGTTGTGACAAACTCATTCCAAGGTTGTAATTCTTATTGATTGGTGCTGTTTTTGTTAAGGGTTGTTTTGATAATAGTTTAAAATCCTGTTTAAATAATTTGAACCAAATTTACTGTCTATTCATTTAGCTAACTGTAAAAAAAACATTAACTTTTCTTTTAACATCTACAAGAGCCAGATACAACCTGTGTTAGTTAAATTTGACAAATTAGTTACAAAATTCTAGCTGTGCTAAGTTATGTAAAAACAAATTGTTTTCAGGTTTATATGGGCAAAGGTCCGTTGTCAATAGAAATATTTATATTTTCAAACAATTAAAACTATTGAGAAGAAATCTGTCAATTTTTCTACAAAACTCAGCTTACCACAATTGTACTTTTCATCTGTACCATTGGGACAATCATTGTCACCATTACACAGCATCGATCTTTTAATGCACTTTTTAGAAATGGGACACATAAACTCATCTTTTTCACATTCTACAAAACCCATAATCACTGACTTAAAACCTGTTTGACTGTTAACCTAAAGTTCATCATTTATGATAATCAACATGTAAAATATCAAAAGCATTTGCTTTAGCAATATTTTAAATAATAATTATCTCTTATGGATTTTAAGCAAAACACTTATATTTCAATATATTAATTAATTATACTTCAGATGGATTTGTTTAAAGTAAAATTCCACAAACAAAACAGATCTTCTCAATATAGTGTAAAAGATATTTAAGATGAGAATATATGATATTCATATTAAAGAATAGGAAATCAAGAGTATGTAACCAATGTGACAACTGTTATACACTAGTTTCATCCTAACAAATTGTTTTACACTAGTTTTAATGGTACCATAGTTAAATTGACTAAATTTTGTACCTTTACTACAGTGCTTTTCATCATCACCAGATGTGCAATCACAGTCACCATCACAAACCCACTTATAAGGAATACAACTTCCATCCTTACAGTCAAATCGATCAACATTACATTTTTTCTATGTTTATGAGTTGAATTACAATTAGGTGGTTCATCAGATTGATCTTCACAATCGTAGTGACCATCACAGTATGCTTCTTTCAAGATGCAACGCTTCTTTATTGTACACTGGAACTCCAAATCATGCTTACACTCTGTATAAGCTGCAATTGGCAGAAAATTTAGTTTACTAATCCCATGTACTTCACTCATATGTGGGAATAAATGAAAAGCTTAAAGGACAAAGTGTACAAACAATGGCACAGGTCAGCAAAGTTTTGCTGATCTAATTTTGATAAGTAATGTTTTTAGGTAAGACTGCTGAATGCTGATTTGAGTTTCAAAGACTGAATACTTATGTGTTTTTCAAAACAGTACATTCTAATCAGTAGCAAATCCAGGGTAGTCAAAATACATTACTGAAATTTATTTCCATTTAATTTAAAATACTTTGAAGTGAATCTTATTGGGAGTATTTTAGTGTTAAATATACTTTGGAAAATTTTAACCAACAAGATTGTTAAAAAATACTGTTGAATTAAAAACGAGCTTCCATAATTTATTTTGATGTACCCTAGATTTACCACTGGCTCTAAAAATTTGGGTTCTGGGTGCATAATTTATAAAACTGTAACAGTGACTTGTTTCAAGATACATTGTACCTAGTCCCAGTTGACAAGATGAATGAGCCAAACTTACTGCAATTTTCTTCATCAGAATGGTCATCACAGTCATCATTATGATCACACTTCCAATTTATATCAATACACTGGTTATTATTGCATTGAAATGATAATTTAGGACAAGGACGCACACCTATTATATGTACAAATAAAACCACAATAAATATTCTTAGTGAGTTTTATATGAAAATGAACATGAAAAAGATGAAATCTGTTATCATAAACAAATTCACCACAGTCAAATTCATCACTTCCATCATCACAATCTTTATAATTATCACATTTCCAAGATTCAATGATACATTTTTTACTGTCTTGGCACTTGAACTTGTTGTCAGAACAAGATATATTTGCTACAATAAAGGGACTGGTTACAAAATTATCCGTCACAACAGAGACACCAAACAAAATGACTATACCACAATGTGAAGGTGATTCATCAGATCCATCTTTACAATCTTTGTAACCATCACAAATCATATATTTAAATTTACACTCTTTACCACAAGAAAACTTCTCTTGTGGACAAGAACCTAGAAAAGATATATCACAAATGCTACATAAAACACACGTATTTAGTCAACTCCAATGATTGCTTGGTGAAGAAACACCACAAAGATAAAATTAGTGCAAAAGTAAATTTCAAAGTAAAATATAACATCAAGATGTGCAAAGGAGGAACACCTACTCACACACACAATACTGAAGTTTCATGTTTTAAAGATTGAAAATGTCAACAATCATTAATTAATTGGAACGCCTAGTATCAAGCCAAAATGAAAGAAACTTAAAGTAATCACAAAGGTTCAAAATATGCCATAAAATTTTCGTTGTCAATATCCTTTAAGCGTCGATTTCCAGTCAGCTATCTTATCTGCACACACTGTTGACACACAAAATTACAAACTGTACAGTTGATTACCACAATTCATTTCATCGGAATGGTCAGAACAATCGTTTACACCGTCACACTCCCAATCTTTGGGCATGCACTTTCCATCGCTCTTACATTTAAACTGTACTTCGTCCGGTTTGCATGAGAAGTCTATATAAAGAACAAGTAACAATACTGTAATACAATATTTCGCATTCTATCAAAATACTACATTTGCCATAACAGCAGTAAAATAAAAGAATCTAGTAGAAAGATTTCGTTCATTTGTAGTTATTAGGATTTAATCCCATTTACAACTACTTAACACGACAACAAAATAACAAATCGGTTATAACAAAACAACAGTATATGTGAACTTATTCAACAACGTCAACGCTGAATCTTTGTTTTGTTACGTTGTACACGCACCGTTTGCCTTTGACTTTAAAAAATAAACAGAAATGGCTAAATACACCAATAAATAGATTCCTTTGCTCTTTCTGTTTATCACCACCATATTAATAATTTTCAAGTGAATGCAATCTGTTCAATTAAAATAAAGAAATCCATGTTTTAGATTTTCGTCAGCAATCTAGTCCTATTATATCTATGTTACAAACGCTCCGGATACCTGGAATCAATATTGCAAGTGCCCAATGCGCATCTTTTAACCATAATCCTGATCGTAAACTTAGAGTACAAACACTAACAGTCAACTCGACTTAAAATATTTGTTTGTCCTAATTTCTTGCTTTTATGTCATGTGTCGTGACATAAGCATGTCATGTCACATTTCGTTCGTTTGTAGTTATTAGGATTTAATACCATTTACAACTACTTAACACGACAACAAAATAACAAATCGGTTATAACAAAACAACAGTATAAGCACGTCATAAGCATGTGTTCATGACATTGCGTTTGTAATTTTCAATACAATATGGCGCGAAACAATAAAACGATAGGAAATCAATTATACTTTTATACCATATATGGTACAACAAAAGCACGTGAATCAAATTAGGACTTTTGATTGGGCGCTGGCCGGCAAGAACAGCTGTTACGTTTTCATTCATGCTTCGTGCAATATGAGTGATTGTGAGAAGTTAGCATTTGATTGGGTGATCAGTAAACGTTGGTCTACAATTTGAAATTTTGCACTAGGATGGGATGAAAAAAAGCCCTTTTAATTACAAGCAAATGATACAACTTTGTAACGAGCATTTGAAGCGGGCGTTTTTACGGATAAAATTGATACAATTAGATCTAAACTAACGTGCGTGGTATAAAATAAGGTGATTATTCACACTCCTTTTGGATTAAGATTGCATATTGCCATTGTCGAATACATCGGTTTTAAGGGAAAATTGTAAATAAACCGAAGTTTTATAAAACTGAAATGTTATGAACAAGTTGTGGTATGTTTATGGCTATATAATGTCTTTGGAATTAAACTTTACCGTGCATACCGCATGGTAAGACGGCATGTTTAAATATTGATCACAAGACGGGAAATGATGAGGTTTTAATGTATATTTTGACAACTTTTGTTCCATAGAACAAAGTGCAACACTCAAAAATCTTATAATTACAACAAAGATTATCATTTCTATATTTCGCTTGCTGAGTATCAAGGTTTTTCAGCGAAGTGTTTAAGTTGAATGTCGATCACCTACCTATTGTGGTATTGTTTTAAATATGTGGATGAAAATATCAAATTTCCCTGCATGTTGTCAATAAGATATTGATTTTTCATTAATATAGTTATTAATGTTTCAATAAAACGTGAAGGTTTATTCGTTATCTCGCACTACGTACACTTATACTATAATGAACAAACACACGAATGAAAGATCAAATCGAAAGTTGGTGATGTTGTTTTTACACGGATAGCCTATTACAACTTTGCGTAGTTTTACTGGCCGATAGCTGTCGTCCATACTAGAAATGAATGAGATGAATTATTAATTATTAATTATTAATTATTAATTATTAATTACTAATTATTTTCATTATTTTATAACACGAGTAGGTTTTTTTCACAAGAAAAGCTCAGAAATGGAAACTTAATTGGTAGCTACATTGTTTTGCTTATCAAAAGGAATCTTGTGTCAAAACTTTAGACTTTGTATGTATGGAAAACATTTCTTGGAGCTTGTTTGTCGATAGTAATTTGAAATTTAATGTTCAATTCCTATATTACGCATATAAAATAGGCAAACTGTGCTAAATATAGGATGAAGCACTCTTCTCTAGCGTGTTTATCAACCTGTAATTAAAGTAAGAGCCGTACATTATTCTAGTTGAGTGTTTGGATGAAATTAATAAGTATTCGAATTCCCATTTCGATCTAATACTCTTATGAAGTTGCAATACCTGTATGTTGCTGTCGGATCATCGTCTGTTTCAAGCCATTTTCCTATCTGAAAGGAAAAACATAATGTATTGAACATAATGTCTTTAGTCAAGCTCTCAACCCATATACGAAACTAAAACGCTAATTGGGGAGGTATGTGTATTTATATAATTAGTTATGCCCTGCTGATTGCTTTAGAAAGCTAATTTTCTTTCAATTACTTTCAATATATCAATATACACTCCTTTAATTAACGTTATAATTTCGCCCCTGCTCAAACCACGATGTTACTCACGTCATTAGCATTAGGTATGGTGGCTGATACGGCCAGGAATCTTATATTTGTTCCGAAAATTTCTTTTCGATGACAGATTCGACTTTCTGTAGTCTTGACCGTTTTCATTCTGCTTATTACTGCTTCCATTGTTGGTCCACGTGACTCGTCGTTCAGTAAATGCACCTGGTTATTTTTTTATATAAAAAAGATTGCAAGTTATTTGTTTGATGTACATGTACTGGTATACCATGTTTAGTAGCTACCATTATTATAAAGTTAGTCACAGCTAGTGAGCTAGATACCTCGTCAACGAGAAATAATCGTACAGCTTGCACCAGAGCTTTGTTATTTTTCCATTTCCTTGTCATACTGTCCCATTTTTCCTGGAAAAAAATTTCATCATACCCAGGTCTAGCAATCTATAGAGAAACGGGCACTCATGACTTACAAACATGCACTACCTTTTTGGTTTCGCTACGTAGATGACACAATCACAGCACTACATGCAGACGAGATTGATGACTTCCATACTCACATCAACAAACAGAACAGCCACATACAATTTACCAAAGATGTCGAAGAAAACGGAACTCTTCCTTTTCTCGACTGTTTGGTAAAACATGACAATCAAAAAACTAGGAACAACAGTTTATCGCAAGCTAACACATACTGACCGACTACTAGACCAATCACCTTACAACCCTACATCACACAAAGCCACCACAATCAGAACATTAACAAGACGTGCACAAATCATATGTGATTTACCGGACGCTCTACAAAACGAAAACAACTATCTCAAACGTGTTTTTGACAAAAAACAACTATAACTCTGACTTTATCAAACGCAACACTTACAAACCCAACGAACCCAACGAAACGAACAACTCAGTGACAACAGCAACGATACCTTACATCAAAGGTACGTCTGAGACTATCTCGCGTATCTTACGACCATACAACATACGTGTCGCACATAAACCAATCACAACATTACGACAAGTACTAACGAACATAAAGGACAAAGAACAACCCAACGAACGACAAGGTGCAGTTTACAAAATAAACTGCTCCGACTGCCACGCCTCCTATATCGGGGAAACTGGCAGGAACTTAAACATAAGACTTACTGAGCACAAACGAGCTACTAAGAAACAAGACAAAACTAATCACATTGCCGAACATCACCGAATCACAAAGCACAACATTGACTGGGACTCGGCAAAATGCATCACTTACAGTACTGACTATAGACAACGGCTTACATTAGAAAGTTGGTATACCAACTTGGAACAAACCCCCCTGAACAGATCACAGCAATTACCGGCACCTTACAAACGACTTATTCACAATACAAACAAACGATCAACTAAAAACATTACACTTCAAACTAATTCACAATGACAATACACAATTGACACCCACACACTACAACTAAAAACGTCAAAACACAACACAACTGAAAATAAAATATTTCACTTCACACTAATCCACAATGACAATACACATTTCCTGCACATTTCCTGTACACACAATACAATGACGTAAGAACCAGACAACAAATACGGCTAGCCTGACGATGACTCTGAAGATGACTACCGCTAAGGTTGTCGAAACGTCAGTCAACAACAACAAAAACAGTCCTTCTCAGGACTTTATTAACCTGGACGATCATCATTTACAAACATACTCAGGTCTAGTTGTGGTGGGTCAAGATTATGTTTCAGTACTACTTAAATGAATTATGTTACTAAAAGCATTCGTTTGAAAGCTGACCGGCGTCATCATGACAATAGGGAGTCTTAGCAGAGCCTACGAGTACGACTCAGTGAACTCCATATATATATATATCTGGAATGATAACGACAATACATTTTATAGATATAAAATTGAAGCCAAAGTCCTAGTCTCTTGCGTGGTTTGTACGTCAGTTCCAGTCCTTCAAAGTTGAATACTCACGCGGTTTGTACGTCAGTTTCATTCCCCTGAGTGCCAAACATACACGGCCAATATAAATTTGAATACAAATTGCAAAAGCATAAACATATAAACAACATCACGACAAACAACACACGAGGCCAACTCTATGCAAAAAGTTATTTTTTACAGCTGAAACTTAACTACAGTGAGTTCGTTGTAACTTACAACTTGTAACGAGGAAAAGACAACTGAAAATTACACTGTATGCTAATTGCACTGTATGCTAATTACACTGTATTTGTCTTTTTTGTCATTTCAGTGGATTTAAAGATCTGTTTTTCCGAATGAAAAGAAACTTGAATATCCAGTTTCATAAAAAATATGGAGTCCATAACTCGCATTTTTACTTTTTACAGAGCGATTGTATTTTTCATCGATTTTGATAGTGCTTGAAACTTTAAATACTAAATGGTTGTCATCTCGATATCAATAATTGAATATCCTTAAAGACTTTTATATGTTTTAAAGGAAAACGGCAGCGTAAGAGCAGATCGACTAAGTTCACCTCATCTTGCTTCTCGATTTATCACTTCGATTCACTTTCCGTGAACCTTTTCATTCCAAAAATTTCGTTATTTTTACGCTCTGATCAAGATCCGAACTCTACCATTACCAAGGAACAAATGATTTAAAAAAATTAAAATGAACACGCGAGAGACTAGAGCCTGACGTGTGATGACGAATGATGACAACAAATATTTTTTGGCTTCAATTTTTGGCTAAGGTTATCATCATTGAGTTCTATAATAACTGGAGCGGCTAACTTTACTGGGGCGAGGTCGCCAAAAAAATGGCGGCCAACGGACGTATTTCCGCTGAAATGATCGCTTTGCAGAAAAATAATATTCTCGACCTCCCCCTGTTGTCTATAGTAAATTATAAAGAATTTTTCATAAACAAACACGATATCACAGAATATGGATATCGTTAGTTACATATTCTGTGACTATTCTTTTTTGGCATTTCTTTTATAATGTCAACACTTCAATCGTTCAATTGTTGGATGTCGTAGTTTCCACAAAAAGGTACATATCGCTTCCCACAGGTGAGGTAGTTGTTTGTTTTGTTAGTCCGTCAACGATTGAAAAGCAATTATACATGCACTTGAAAAGCCATAAAATACATATTAAAGATCGTATTTTTTAAGACTGACTTGAACGCCAAATATACTGATGTTTTCCTGTTTTTGTCTATAAAATTCTGCATACTTTTCTGTCATTTGTTAATGCATGAAATCGTAAATTTACCTATCTATTTGCAAAATAGTTCCCTAAAGCAAAAAGACCCTGCACACATTTTGCTCTGTGAAACGTATCAAAAAGAAATGATCAGCCCCAACAGTACCCATGATTTGGAGCAGAGCTTGTTATGTTCTATTTGCTGACAACATGCAGGGAAGACCAAGGAGTAAAGATGACTGGAAGATGTTATTGACCAGCCAGAGTCTTAAAAAAATGATAATGCTGTAAAGATATTCAGAGTTATTTGCCTTATCCAGAGTTATTTAATTTGATCATGGTCAAATTCTATGGATGGAGACAATGGATTCACTAATGATGCCCCTGATGCTTTGAAGTTAAAGTTCACAGTGTGTCATATGAAGTTTAGCAGTGTGTCATATGAATCTCAATTTTTTGAACAAGAAAATGAATTTGGGGATTTGGTAAGTTTACATATATTGTAAAACTATGTAGATATAAAAATACGCTATGTTTATGGTTTTTTTTCATTTATATGTAGAATGAACAAAGTGAAGATATTGCTGAAAATTATGACAAGCACCAAGAGTTAACCACCAAAACACAGGTTTTTAATGTACATATTGATATTGTTTCTCATGAAAAGTCATTGGAAATGGTTATATGTAGGACTGCTTTCACTAGAAAAACTAAAAATTTTGAAGTAATTTAAAGAAGGCAAGCATTATTTCAACACTTATTAAAAGTATGTACACATTTTAAATTAAATAATGGTCTTTATTTGTAGGATTCTGAAGATATCTTTACCAAGCAATCTATCTCTATTATTACAGAGGAATCTAAACAACCATGTCAACGTAGTCAAGTAGTTCTCACTTATACAGTTATACTTTATACTGTTTACCACTAGTCATGTTTTTAATGTGTTATAAATTGACAATATGCTTGTTGATTGCTTATGCATGAGACACTGTGTAGCAAAACTTTATTAACATCTCAGAAATGTGCTCAACAAACATAAAAATATATTACAATAGGTATTTTGAAACAGTGAACATTAATAATTACTGTATACTTGCTCTTTCAGAGTCATTTGTCACCCACTGGCCACTATACTGGGTTATTGTTACAGTTTGACTTTGCATCAAATGTATCACGTCAGCAATCCTTTGTTGTTCATGATTATAATGCAAACAAAAGAACAATTATGGTGATGTCAAATTTTATTTCCATAATTTCAATGTTGGGTATATACCCAACTAAATGATATTACTCAATACTCTTTTTTTAGTGCTATAATCTGCATGTATTTTTTTCTTCAGCATAATTCATTTGTAATTGTTCTTCGATATCCCCACCTATTGCTTGATGGCTATGGTTGGATATTGTGCTGCTCATGTGATGCAAATAGAAAGCAATTTGTTGAATCCCTACCTAATAATATACAATTAGATCCTCAAAAAGGTATGTAAAATAGATGTTACTGAAATGAAATTATTAAAACAGGCCAAACAACATTTTTATACTTGTCAGATATACCATATCCCAGTTGCATACACGTATTAGCAATGGAAAATTATCTGGTTGTGTATGATAGAAAGTTTGGTATTGAAGCCAAAGATTTTATTGAAAAAAGTAAGTGTTGTGTGTTACTCTTTCAGGATATAAGGTGTCTGAACAGCTTCACCAAATTTTGACTTACACTTACATACTATTTGTTTGAAGACCCTTGTCAAAGATGTGAGAACTTGTTACATATTAATCTGACATTGCATGAAGTGAATGTCTCAAATTTGTATTTAGCTTATTTTTTCAATGTAAAGTTCTTCATGTGGTATGGGAGGAAATGTCTTCATCCTTAAATATCAGTTTATTGTACATTTCAAACCCTTGTGAAGTCATCCTTCTGTGTTTTTACAAGACCCTTGTTCGACATTGTTCTTATTACATGTGGACGTTAACCAGCACAGCTTTTACAAGCAAAAATATTGTTAAAACTTGTGAATGATTATTTACACAACATATTTATCTCATCCAATTTCTTTTATGAATGCAGAATCCACATCCATGATGCAGTCTGTTTTCAGTGATCATTCCTACCATGAGATGCGACCTGAAGAAGTATATTTTGTTATGTGAAAATAACTTTTTTGTACAAATACACATATAGTTTCTCAACCTTCTAATACCCCACAATTTGTTACCATACATCCTGTGCCTAAGTTCAGGAGCTTCTATATAGCTATTAGGGTGATAGCCAACAGGGCAAATTGAATTTATTTATGACTATTGAGGTATACACATTCATACTCAAATACATACATAGCCACATACCTACAGTACATACATTAAGTAGTATAAACTAAATGTATGATAAAAATAGTAAAGTCATATTCACCATTTGCTTTACGTGCCTGATATATATATTAAAGTGCACATACAGCCTTTCCAAATTCGTTGAACTTTTAAGGTTTAGACTGTGGAAAATATGATTTCGAAGAAAATTTCGTAAAAAAAATAAAAACAAAGTTTTTTTGGCGGTTTGAATTAGCTTGCTTTTGAGAAATTTCCGCGCCTCTGAGGGGACTTAAGACGAGAGGTTTGTGACGTCATTTTAGGAACGTATGAATGCGCTGCATACAAAACAACACAGTGTGAAATAACAATTCTTTATATATTGCTTTGAAATTAATATAAAAATTGTACGAAACATGTCGACATCCGCTTCTGAGTCGAGTACAACAACAACAGCGGAAAATATTGAATTGAACAGTCGGGAATTCGATTTAGAAGACGAAGATCAATCGTCATCAAATGCACTCCTAAAACCGATGGCGATTTTGAGTACGGCCAAGCTGCAGCATATGAAAACGAACCACTTGCTGATGATGAGTGGTTAGAAAACTATAATAGAGAGACAGAAGAACAAAGACGCCAACAGAAGAGCGCGAACGCAGAATGCAAAATGAAGTTCCTCTTGATTCTTGGTAAGAAAAGTTGGAAAATTTGTTTATTTATTGTTGCCGAAGATTTGGACAGATAACTTTCTTTGGTGCAATTGTGGTAACTGCCGTGTTCCTCTCTTGGTTAATCCAAAAGAATGTAGATGTTGCCACGAAATTATCAATTGCAAGATTGAAATGCAAGATCATTTGGTGGTATCCAAATTAGGAAGGCAGCCAAAATGCATCACAGAGCATCCAGCAGGTTCAGTGGATTGCTGTAAAACCAGTGAATAGTCCATGGGGGGTTTGTACTTTTGTGTATTCAAAAGTAACGCCGCCCCAGCCCGAGTTAAAATGTTGCAGCTGCTCGTCATATCATTGCATTCATGTGACAACCCTTGCAATAGCCATGCAAATCGTTAAAGAGGATGAAATGGATTCTCCATTGGCACTTTTTAAGTTTTCCTTTGGAATTACACCAGAGATGTGAGACTATTTTGAATTGGCTACACTTAGCAAAGAAAAGGTTTCTTTATTTGAAACAGGTATGCAAGATAATCTGCAATGGTGAACATCCTTTTAGCTTTACATATACTATTTCCTTTATCGGTATGGTATTTAGCACTTTTTATCATTTTGTAAATATTACAATTTAATTATTTTAGGCAATGAGAATGATGCAAGCGATTTTACTGATCTTCCTGAAAAAAATGGTCATAAAATTTTGGCGCCATCTGAAAGTGGTATTTGTTCTTGTGGTGCAGAGTAGGATAAACGTTCTATTCAAGATGAATGGTTGTACGTAGGCGTGTGTTCAGTTGCGTACTTTTATTCAATCCATGATGTGAAGGGTAAGTTCTGATTTGTTATAGGTTTGCTTTGCTTCATAATTATTTGACTTAAATAAATTATTTAGTGTATTGTAGACCTTGCTCCTCTTGTGCTACGAAAAAGCATTATGATGGCATTGAAAACAGGATTGTATGGTTTGGATCATATGCAATATCTCATGCCGTTCTAAAAGATTACATTCGGCTTTTCATAACGTCGAGGTACTTTTTAATGAAAATTTGCCAAAGCATTAGTAGCTACGTTTGTCCATTATTTAATTTTCTCGCCCTATCTCTTTTGAATGTTTTTTCTTTTTTATTCTTGTCAGTTTACCTATGTACAAATATTATGTTATGTATGTACAAAGGCAAGTGTCTTCGGGTAATTTTAATTTCCCAAAGGAAACAACTTACTAAGTTTTGTCTCGCTATCATTGCCATGATACGGTAAGCATCATTTCATTTTCAGCTGTAAAATATGAATATTCCATTGAGATAGTGATCGCTTGTTTTATTAAGTTATTGAATTTTCTCTTGTTAAGGTTGCTTAATATTGATTTTGACAATGGGTTTTGTGAATTATGTGGAAGAATTCCCCAAAAGGTGGTGATGGATGGAACAACTCTTGGAATACAGAAAACTTTCTTACCAAATAATTTAAGAGAGTCTGATACTGGATTGCTAGATGGAAGATAAGTATTTTTGAAGTTTATCTGTAATATATAGTATATACAGGTCTGCTAATTAGTAAATACGAGTGTTCATCTACGTATCAGAAAGCATTTTATACATGATGGTGACTTCTCTCACTTTGTTTTTGTACACAGCTTATAGTTATAAAAATAACAACCTGTTTTCTTTTGTCCAATACTAGGTTTGAAATGCGCAATTTCATCAACAGGCGAGAGATCACGAATCACCAAACATCCCATTTACCATTTTACGAACACGTTTTCCTGATGGTAAGTTACGTATGTGTGTACCTTTTATGGTGCTACAAACAGAGTATTATCAGTGAATCGGACAGATTGCGTGACGGTTTAGTCGCCTGACAGAGTTGTAACATAACCGAATGTGCAGTAACATAACCGAATGTGCCTGATGATATGCTTATGTATTTTTATTTCTTTAGCGCCAGAGTTGGTCATTTACGATAATGCCTGCAGATTGCACTAGTATTGTTTGAACCGAGATCCAGCATTTTTTAAGAAAACAAAATTTGTTGTTGATAAGTTTCATTGGAAAAATCATTCAGGTAAACTGCCATACTCTTCCTATTTTACTTGAAGCGAACTTATTGATCCAAAAATGGCCGTTTTTATGTTTTCACAAAATTTGTTGATTTATAACCGTCCTTTATGTGTAGGATGCTGCGAAGGATATAACATGAAATTGTACCCCATGCTCAATATGTACAATAGCCAAGCTGCTGAACAGTGCAATTCGTGTATTAAGCCTCTTGCCTCCATGGTTTCTTACATGGAATACGATAACTTTTTTCTTTTCACAAAACTCCATATTTGGCACAGGAATATGTTACGCATTGTTAAATACAATCCTGAGAGAGAAATAGCCTACAAAGACTATTTTCTCACTCTTAGTCGCGTTATTCATTAGTAACGCGTTATAGTTTCGTTTTCGAAAAATTTAAACTTGTTTTTATGAATAGTTTTATCTGTACAAAATATTACTTCATAGTTACCCATATAGTTTCTGCAAAAGTAACAATTATATGTAACGTCGTTACTTGTAAAAAAATTATTTACATCACTTGTTATAAATATAAGAATGTTATTTATACGCACCAGCTTTAAACTTAAATTCTGCTTCATTACAAATTGCTTCGCTAAATGGCAAAGCTTCGAATCAGTTTTTTAAGGTATGGTCTTTTACTATTTACATGGATATCGACAGTATCCAGGACCAATTTCTCCCTATCAAAAACAACACTATCTTTATATGAACAGAGTAAACAAAGTGATTAAGAATCATGATATCTTTTCTCAACTTTACCCCCTCTGTTATTCTTCTCGCAAATTCTGTCACGAATATGCCACAGTCATAACCATTTGCTTGTTGTATCACCTGTCGTCAATAGTTAAGTTATCCCTTTGTGACAATTTAAGCGTGATCTGTTGCCATTGTAAATGATAAGTACTTACGTCGGCATATATAGGTTGGGAAATTTGAGCAATGACTTCTGGCCATCTTTGCTCTTGCCTCACATGCTGAAAATATCTTTTTCACAAGAAAAATGATTACGTGCTAGAAACATTCACTTTGTCAACATTTTAGATACATGATACACTTCATTCTTCAAGTAAATTGTTATGTACGTCATATACCTTCGTATACTGGATGCAACTTCACTTTTTTGCCACCCCATACTGCATAACACATAGAGTCTGCCTGCTCTAATATTGTATGCAATGAGCCACCAATGCAGCCTATATTTTTTAAATGAACATGGAGTTGGCTCATGTTGGCCTTTGCATCATGAAGCAGTAAAAATTTAGTGCTTCCACCCTTACATGTCACATATTGGCACTAGCACACATTCATATTTATTCATTGCTTCAGGTGTGTACATCCCCACTCTTGAAATGAAACATCCTGATAATCTCAGCGGTCTTTCTCCTCTAAAAAGTAGGAAATACAGCGATATTTATTTACACGATTTGTGAGTAGTTTGATAATGTTGAAAGTTGTGAATATTTTACCAAAATTTGCTACTTAAAATACGTACGGAGGTCCATCTATTAACAGTTTCTGTTGAAAAAAATTGCTAAATGCAAAATATTTTGCATTTCTTTTTTCTGCTAATTTACAGTAGTACCTATAAATAAGAATGTAAATGTTTTGACACATTAGCCATGCATTTAGAGTGACTTTCGTCCTTTATTTCAGCTACACCTAGATTTTTGGGTAGTACCTTAACAGAACGTCTACGATGGTGTCGCATACCCAACTGTTATCATTTAGTGTATTCAAATCTCTTTTGTAAATGCTTATACCATCGAAACAAGCAACTCTGGAATCAAAATGAAAACGTGTCAAGAATGAAAGGAGTCATTCTTATTTTCTTTATACGTGTCTAAAATATGTTTTAAAACAAAAAACCTCTCATTTTCTCCATTCCAAGTTCTCCTAGAGAAAAAATAAAAAAATACAAACATCTTAATATACGTATGGCACAAAAGTTTAGAATCACTCAGATTTTTATTTGGTAAGAAATGTTGGGAAAAAACCCTGTAATTTAAACTTTTATGCTGCGTTGGGTGTCGAGTTTGTCGTTTTTCCCATTTTGGCTCCAAGAATGCAAACAGGTCCTTCTTTATTTTACAAAGAGTAAAAGCCACACTGCCTACTACTTGCATAGCTTGGCAAACACACGGTAGATATATTTGAAAAACCTCGTACTTAGGACACCACACCTCCAACGATGCACTAAGTGCCCCAGCAATACACATGAAGTGTGTATCTTTCAAGTCAACATCTATGAAAAGTTAATTGAGCTTTTATCAGAAAGGCATGTTGTATGAAAATTAAGCTTATGATCACTTTATTCAATTTAAAACCGTAGAATTAAATGGTGTGTACGGCGATTAATTAGGTTATTCGATAATACCTTCTTCCAGGAAATTATGAATTTCAGACACAATTTTCTTGCCTGCAGTTTCCGTATTCGTTTGTCTGGTGCGCTATAATAATAATCAAATCTCAGTTTATTTGAATTATTAAGGATAAATCCATATGTGAAATAATGTATTATTAAGTAAATCTTTTAGGTAGAGGAAAAGTCACCTCTAGTGCTAAATGATGTTGATGGGAAATTCCGTACAGGAAGGCATCAAGTTTCAACCTGTCAGGATCCGTACTAAGCGCCTCAAAGATATTTCCTGGCTCACTGGCATCATAGCCTTGAGGCAAACCCATCGCTTCCATCTTACTCGATCTATACAATAAATACGTAATCACAAGTAAAATGTTTTAAAAATAATTAAGTATAAACTTTAAATGTGAACCTTAATACATGAGTTACAGGTTGATGATGACTTTTGGCGGATTGCAACAACTCCTGAGAAATTTCACAATTGTAGCTCATTTTTGCCATCCTGAATCCAGAAACTATACCACATATTTCCCCCTAAAAAGATCCACTGTCGTATGAAAATACTTTGCAAAGGTCTTCCAGAGAAGTAAGAATTACTATATTAATTGCGTATTGTTTATCTTGATACATATAGATCTTAACTTTCGTCATGTGAAAATTCAAATTTACCTTTTCATACATATCTTTGATATTTAGGTCTGCGCTTTCCGTCTAAATTCAGAAATTGCACATAAGATTTGATGGTGAAGAAAAAGATATCTAAATATTAATCTCATTCCTTTTCTTGCATTTTCTTATCGTTGTTGCCATCTGGAAGAATTCCAATCAATTTTAAACATGGTTTAGAAAACATAAATAAATAGACATAAAATAAAAGACATAAATAAATCATTAAGTAAACCTAGTGGAATCTCTTTTCTTGTTGATGGTGAACAAAACGGTATGTGTAACGGCCAAAAAGATGCTTGTTCTGCTTTGGACCAAAAATTTTTAATTCGGGCTACAGGCCATTTGTTTCCTCCCTTAGACCCATACTGGCATACTTTATATTTCTACCACATTCTTCTAAGCACTCTAACACTGTTAGCCATCTCACCACTCGTTTAAACTCAAACAGTGTCTCTAATAAAACGTTTTTACGATCATGGTTATATATGCCAAAAACTGTCATACTTTATATTTCTACCACATTCTTCTAAGCACTCTAACACTGTTAGCCATCTCACCACTCGTTTAAACTCAAACTAACAGTGTCTCTAATAAAACGTTTTTACGACCATGGTTATATATGCCAAACGTTTTTACGACCATGGTTATATATGCCGAAAACTGGCATACTTTATATTTCTACCACATTTTTCTAAACACTTTAACACTGTTAGCCATCTCATCACTCGTTTAAACTTAAACTAACAATATCTCTCTAATAAAACGTTTTTACGACCATGGTTATATATGCCGAAAACTGGCATACTTTATTTTTCTACCACATTTTTCTAAACACTTTAACACTGTTAGCCATCTCATCACTCGTTTAAACTTAAACTAACAATATCTCTCTAATAAAACGTTTTTACGACCATGGTTATATATGCCGAAAACTGGCATACTTTATTTTTCTACCACATTTTTCTAAACACTTTAACACTGTTAGCCATCTCATCACTCGTTTAAACTCAAACTAACAATATCTCTCTAATAAAACGTTTTTACGACCATGGTTATATATGCCAAAAACTGGCATACTTTATATTTCTACCACATTTTTCTAAACACTTTAACACTGTTAGCCATCTCATCACTCGTTTTAACTCAAACTAACAAGGTCTCTCTAAATAAAACGTTTTTACGACCATGGTTATATATGCCAAAAACTGGAATACTTTATATTTCTACCACATTTTTCTAAACACTTTAACACTGTTAGCCATCTCATCACTCGTTTAAACTCAAACTAACAAGGTCTCTGTAATAAAACGTTTTTACGACCATGGTTATATATGCCAAAAACTGGCATACTTTATATTTCTACCACATTTTTCTAAACACTTTAACACTGTTAACATTCTTGTCACTCGTTTAAACTTAAACTATTAATGTCTCTCTAATAAAACTTTTTTACGAGCATGGTTATATATTATTATAATAAGTACACAGAACGCCACTTTTTTCATGTGTCACCAATGCGCAATATCTAGCTAGGAGTATTTCTACTGATTAGTCCAGTTGTCGTTAGGTCAGAGGTAGGCACGTTTTTGGTCAGCGGAGACCCTCATTTTGATGGTTGTATTTGTGGTTGTATATGCCAGAAAATGGATGCGATACATATATCAACTTCATTAGAGCAAGAAGCATTGAAACGGCGAGAAAAGTTAAAAGCATTGAGGGAGAAGAGTGCTGCTGCTGAGGTATACTATTGTCTTAATTGTTTATTTCAACCGTCAGGTTCATCGTATCATTTTTTTGTCAAAGCCAGTTACTGCACTCGCAAAATGACAATCATCAATGTATCTACTTAGCCTATATTCTCAGTATTCTGAAAAGTATGCCTTTTTTTGACGAGATCTTCAGTTTTTTATGATGGCATTATAGTAAATTGCTTTATACTGCGCAGATACACACAATGCAATCAATAGTACTGATCCATCAGTAATCATGAAATTCAATATAAAATTATAAATGTTGGTTTGGTTACGCAATGAATGAATGAATGAAAATCTTTATTTTGACACGCTGGCCTTGTCATTACAAAACGTGTGTTTGCAAGGTTTGCAGAAGCACGGAGGTGATCCGGTTTTGACATTTTGGAAAGCATTTGAAATACTGATGGAAGGTTTGTTGTTAAAAATGTAGAGTATTGTCGTTCTCATTCTGCAGTTGTTGCGTTGCATAGTCCATGGCAACAGGTTTTCTCTAGATTTTCTTGTAATTGATTGTCCCATTTTTACTAGTACTTTGTCATTTGATGCATTCTGACTGTTTTAAAACTGTCTGTGTATACTGCACCCTTCAAATAAGAAAATTTTCACTTTATTTTGTCTCCTGTCATTTCACATATGAAGCTTTACATTCTGCCAGCAGAATTTATGTCAATTTATAGTGGTTGGTCTCTTATCCATCACTAAACTAGCTTGTGCTTGCTTAAAAGCTCTATTTCTTTGTATTTAAAATGATCCAATGATATTTATTAAAATATACTGTATTGTCAATACTTCATAATGGTTGTTACATTGACTTGCAGATCGTCTGTCAGAAGCCATTAGAGAATTTGAATCCATCCATGAAAGTGAAGAAGTTGTCCTGTGTTGTTTGATGGCATTAATTTATGCACATAAAAAAGGCACAATTAATTGACAAGGAAAGTGTACATGAATTGGAAACAAGATTGAAAAAGATTCGAACAAGTGTTGGTGAGAATGCGCTATACTTTGGTGCAATGTTTTTATGGCACACAGGGCATCATGAAAAAGCAAGAGAATATGTTGACAGAATGTTGAAAATGTCCGAAAGAGGTTTTCTTAACATGCCTTTCACATCATAACCACAATTTAACCTGCCTTCTTTCATATGTACATACAGGGAACTATTTTACGTGGATGTATTGATCTTACAAGTACATGAGATTCTGCCATTAAGAAATCCATAAAATATTTTGATGAGGCTTTACAGGGGTATGTTAATGTTTTCTCATAAAGACTTTACAATTTTCAATATTTCAATATAATATTTTCCAACTTCAGAGAATATTGATGCACTGTTTGGTAAGGTATGTAACATACACAAAGTACATAGAAAACATCCATGCCATTTTGTCATGTCATGTTTTTCATTTCTCTTTCAAGGCTACATATCTTGTAAAGAAAAGTAATTTCACTTTGGCGCTGGAATTTTTTAATGAAGTAAGTTGTTTATTGGGAAATATCGATGGAAGTGGAGTCAATAATTCAACCAAGACCTGGTATGATTGTGCAAGGACAAACAATGCAATTGCAAGTGAAGGCATCCACCAGCCCTGTTGCATATGAGAAACTTAAGAATATTCTTCTCAAAGAGTAAGTTTTGCATTGAGAGAAGAGCATTTTTGTGTAATTTTCATTTGTTTTTTTATCATATCAAAATGTACAACAAGTAAATCTCCACGAATGCTTTCATACGAACTAACCATGTATCAGATCTTTTTGTTAACATTATGATACTGAAGCGGAATGCAATAGTTAATTTATACCTGTAAAATTGGCCTGTGTTTTTTACATAGGCGTCGTCAAACGTGTCGCAGCGATTTAGAAGTAAGCACAAAGTTGAATACTGCGTGATATAAAGCGCTCTCAAAGACCAGCGGAGAGTTTTTAAAAATAACTTGCACTTCTAACTTGATTTTGTATCTACGAAAAAGTTATTTCTGTTACCTACTGTCTATGTTTTCCTCACTTTCCTTCCCTACGCTCCTGCATATTATTGTCTACGTATATATTAGCGTATATTTCTATTGAGAAAGCAGTTATCTTATATTTATCTCCATTAACCATGCATTTTCTTTTAAGAAAAGTGCTGGTAATTGAAAAATAGATTGATTGCAAACTATGTAGGTTAATATCATACTGTAGCTACGTACTTTTTGCAATTAAAAAAAAAACAGGTCTTTTTTCCTCATCAACGTTTTCGTTCATGGTGGCTAGATTAGTCTACTGTATGGTAATACTAAAGATGAATATGTTCAGTTGCGTAGCCAGCCTACAGATTAACTTTTATGTGTAAATTTCAGAAGTTTACCATTATTCAATTCTTTGAAATTTGTTGTTCTCACGGTCCCGTGCATAATTGCATAGTGGCAATATTTTATGTTATATATTTCTTTCGTCCGACAAACATTACTGACTATCTAGTTAGATTATTCCATCCATTTGATATATTCATTTGTGTGTTTTAGTGAAGATATCGTTCATGCCTTTCGGAAACAGGAGGAAATTGTCAATGCTGCATCTGCAGAAGTGATCGAGTTCTGAGGAGCAACGAAAGACTCTTTGAGGTTCATAAATTTGTTCGGACTTGGAATAATACCGTGTTAAATTCATGGCGTGGAAGGCCGACGGAAGTTATTGAGGTACGTTCATATCATGTTAGGACATGTTGAACATGATTGTGACAAGATTTCTTTGCATGATATAAGGTGTATAACAATACGTATATTAAATGAAGATATGATCTTCGCATGAGACAATTGCTTAAATTGTCCAACAAAGTGCGAAGATCATATCTTCATTTAATTTCAAACACCGCACTGCATAAAACATTCATATGACATTCATTTCACGAGAAAACATGAGCCCAACAAAATTGACCTGCTCACCACTGTGTGACTTCATAGCTCAGTTGGTCAGATTACTGCACTGGCACCGCAGAGGTCATGGGTTCGATTCCCGTTGAGTCACCTGATTTTTTCAGGTTTATGAGACAATTGCTTAAATTGTCCAACAAAGTGCGAAGATCATATCTTCATTTAATTTCAAACACCGCACTGCATAAAAACATTCAAATACGTATATTACTCACAAATATTAAACCAAAAGTCTTATTATACCTCGAGCATATACCTCAACCTCAGCACACCACCATTTTTGTACCGCGTAAAATTTCAACTTTACTGGATGACGAAAAGTTAAATAGGAAACAGAAAGGAGAAAATGAAATTGTACATAATTATACAGTCCAGCTTCATACAGCCGTTGTCACTGTGACGCTCTTGTCACATCGGCTTTGTCATCTCAGTTTTTGGTCAAGAATATTCGTGTGAAAGCTCAATCCGATCCTCGTCATCTTGTCCAGTGGAGATTATTCGTTATCCACTACAACCTCCCTCCCCTCCCTCACCGCACTGTATTTCAAGTATGCAAGATGTAATATAAATGCCATGTATCATCAATTGAAAATAAGTCTCCAGGGAAGTGTTTTCATCAATATGCTATTAATATGCTTTTAAAAATGATCCAAAATTCATTCAGCAGCCTGTTTGACTGAGAAGCCTGAAGAAACATGGAAATTAACTGACATTTTTCTATGTACATTTTTTAGAAACAACTTAGACAGATTAATACCTGGATGGTAGAATTAGAACTGTTCACGAAGTCATTCTGCACAACTAATGGTTTATTAATGGTTGATTGCCGAAATATCAGAGATAGCATCGTTCCGAAACTTGGTTCCATTTTTCGACAACTTTCCAAGATGGTTGCAAAGGATCTTATGAGGATGTCGAAGAAGTTCATTGACGAGGCTCAACAGCTTGTTAGGGTAATACGTTTTATCAACATGCCATTTTTTCACTGCGGAAGTACTGTTTGCAGTGTAATATTTGATAAAGTTTCCGTTACTCAACATTCAGCAACATTGTAGCAACTTAGCTATAACATCGTGTAAGCCCGTTATCGGAAACATCACAAAAACTTACAATATCACTTATGTAACCCAACGTAGAGCAACATTACATTATACAACATTACGTAACCCAACATACAGCAATATCATAACATCTTAAAATATTACATAACCCAACATTACGCAAAATAGCAGCTTGCAACATCACGTAACTACGCATTTGGCAAAAACTAAGTAATATTAGTAATATTAGAACATTACTCACTAAACAGATCACAACAATTACCGACACCTTACAAACGACTTATTCACAACCTCAAACGAACGAGCAATTTATTTACTTGAGCCTATTCTACGATGACAATACACAATTGATGCCCACACACCGACACATTTCCTCTACACGCAATGACACATGAACTCTGAAGATGACTACCGCTCAGGTTGTTAAAACGTCAGTCAACATCAACACCAGCAGTCCTACTAACCTGGATGATCTACAACTAAAAACACGTAACTAAATAACATTGATAACTAAATAACAAGTTATGACATGCGTAGATGTTCCATGATTCGTTAGTCGCGGAAATTACGTAGCATTTTTAGTAGTTGCGTTGTTAGCCCGCAATGTTTGGTCCTGCTATGTAAATGTTAGATCATTAGCGTTATTTATTTGTTTAGAAATTTATTGTTTTATGCTGAGGAAACATCGAATAAAATATTTTGGTATATTTACACTATTTTAAAACGAAAACGATAAAACAGTATATGTGATGTGATAAGTTTGTCAATACATAGTTATTCCATACAGAGGAGTAACTAGAACGTTAATTGAGGTGTGTGGGGAGGGCATATTCTTATAAAATCCGTTGTGCCTTACTGATTTCTTTTGAACGTGAATTGAATTTCAAAAGAAATCAGTAGAGCACAACTGAATATATGAATATACACCTCCCCCAATTAACATTCTAGTTACACCTCTGATTCCATGACGTGACGTGGTGATGTGAAGGGATACGATAATTTTCTAAGTCTAGGTTAACAAATTTTTTTTTGTTTTAAACTATGTGTATTATATTCGATTGTATAAAGTTTTGTCATTTCATTTAACTTATTGCCCAGTAATATCTCACATCATATTGTGCATAGAAACAAACTGTAATAATAACATAGAAAAAGGATTTAATAATCATAAATAATTCACAAACTTACATAATGTTCAATAACAATACCGTCTATGTATCAGGAGAGGACATCTTGCTCATCTCTGTTTATTGAATGTGTTCTTTTAGTCTGTTGAGCATCAAGCTCGTGTTGTTGGTAAAGGGCAACAAGCGGAGAGTTCTTGATTTCTGAGCACAATTCCTCGTTGATGATATCAAGTTTAATGAAGGTAAAGATTGCCGATTTTCATGTCTACTGAACTCACGAACTGTTTTCACGGATCTCTCGAATTCTCGCGAGAGAAAAGAATTCACAATTATGGCACAGTGAAAGTGTTTTCGGAGAATTCTTTCCGGAAGAAAAGAATTCACAATTTCAGCTTAGTTTTATCGTAGATTTCTTGCTAGGGGAGAGAATTCAGAATATGGTTCTGTAGACTGTTTTACCAAAGTCAACTATTGTTTGTATATTACATATGGTATTCTTAAATTTGTAAGCAATGTACGACTCAAAATTTAAAATGTGATTTTACGTAAGATAGAGGGAAATGAAAAGTAGATAGATAGTGGTTGCAGTATGGTCTTATCAGCTCGTAATATAGATGGTATTTGTCTGAGATGAGTTTTAAAGGTATTAATTGATAGTTTTTTTTAATTTTTTATCTTCAACTATACATACGTTTTGAACACTGTAATATTGTGAGATTTCTCCTTTTTTATTGCTTTGTCATATTACTTTTATACAGGAGGGAGAGAGATACAAATCGATGAACACTTGACGTATTATCCAGAAGCATGTGCATTTTAGAGATTTTTTATTTTCTGCCGTCTTTCCTCTTATTGAACACCATTAAAGCCTCGTTTGTTAGAATACACGTTACTAAATCGACATTGTACTTGCTGTATATGTCTCGCAGTAAAAGGTCTGATTTTTTCTTGGCTTTGTTTTAACACCAGGGCAACACTAACGTATTAGTGAACACTATGCTAGTCTGCTAATCGGTGCGGTGCAAGGAAATCCAGTTGATTGATGTGAACTTATTTTGTCAAGTGGGCTGCGCAAGTATTCAGTCATACATTATAGGTATGTTGTTGTCTTCTTCAGCGTTTTTCCGCAAATATATTTTGAAAATCGTTACCTCAATGACCGTTATTTGCTTGACGTGCCTCCCATCATACGTAAAAGCAAAGTAGCCAACTATAGATTTTGCGCAATGAAAATTTCTTACTAATACCTTGGACAACAAGTGTTTATGTAGACTATAACTTTTGATAGGTTTTATTAAAATGTTTTTGTTTGCCTTTAAGTCAATGGATGTTTCGCCAAAATTAAATGGTAGTTGTTGGAGAAATTAAATGAGTTAAAAGGCAGTGTTTGCGTCATCCATGAATCCCTACAGTTCGTAGTCATGAAATGAATTCTATCACCAACTAGGTGGTATTTTTATGATATTATAGTTACTATGTACGATGCTATATAATTTATTTTTTTACTTTGTATCATCATGCAATTATATTATATTTATTTATGTACGATGCTATATAATTATATTGCATAAAGATCAATCCGGCCAGACTTGGGAAAGACGAGAATGCGGTTGGTAATTTGACATCGTTGATAGAATTTCTTGACGAAGCTTTAGATTCGATCGTAAACTCAACAGATAAATGTCCAATGTAAGTGATGTATATTTTGCTAGATGATAAGATTTTTTTATTTATGACGTTCAATATCTTCTTTTTAACAGGTTATTACGTTATCTTTTTGGATGTTTACAACGAACCGTGCTTGAAAAATGGCCAGAACATGAAACATTAAAAACAAGAGTTGTCAGGTTGGTGAATTGTGCAAAAAGTAAGAGTGACAAACTTAAGTTACGTAAGTGTATTGTCTTGTTTCATTTACAGTGCGTTTTTATTTTTACGTTGTTTCTGCCCGGCCATCATGAATCCAAGAATATGTAATATGATGTCAGGTAGGTGACGTATTCATTTCCATATTTCATTTGATGGATTTGTGTTGATACTTTTTTACTACGTTTGTAGATACACCTTCGCCCATGGCCAGCCGGACTTTAACGATGGTTGCCAAGTGTTTACAGAATTTAGCCAATTTAATAGAATTTGGGGCCAAAGTAATTACGTCATGATTTATTATTTTTGTTGTGCGATATGACATCACTAGTTTTATTCACTTTTAGGAACCATATATGATTCCTCTTAATCCATTTATACAAAAGAACAAGCCAAGATTGATAAAGTTCATCGATGATCTTTCGGTAGGATTCTTTGATTAGAAGATGACCACCGATAACTTTTTCGTAGCTTGCCAGTCATTCACATAGAATTGTAATGTCGCCAAAAAGAAAAATGTGTATTATTGAGCAGTTTTTGACAGTTTCTCCAATTTTCTCCTAAAATGTTAAAGTACTCAACAACGTCAACACTATGTTTTAGCTCTCGATGGCTGTGATCATTTGGTCAATATATCTTGATCATTAAACTGAATATATCTTGAAACCTTGTTCCTACGGGAAAGTTAAATGTTGCAATTTCTACTTTTTTTTGTTTTTTCATTTCTTTTTCCCCATAGTGCATGTGAAAAGCATACGATATAGACGCCGAAGAAATAGTGCGACAAACACACGAAAATTTCGACCCAAAATCGCAACAACGCAATGAAATAAAATTAATACATTTTAAAAAACAAAATAATATTCCTAACCAAGATGTCCTTCTCGTCGCAGTTTGTGTTTTAGTTATATTCATTTCAATGATTTTGAATGTGAGAAGAAACTTTGAGAAAAAATGTTTGAAAACAATGTAGTTCATTGATTTTATTTTCCTACGTTACTAATGCAAAATTTTGTTTATAATTAACTTTCAACAGATACGTCATTCAACAATGCAAGCAATCCTTTGCGATCTTCTGGTCTCCCAGGCAGTAATGGTAGGAAACACTCAAAGTTCAATAATAATTCCCAGAACTCTGAAGTGGTGTTCACGTCTCGGGAAGGTAACTGGTTATGTAGTCACTATAAAAGACATTGTTTTGTTAAATTTGATTGTTGTGAGCAGTTTTATCCATGTCATCGTTGTCATAACAATCAAAGTGCGTGTGGCAACAAGAAGCTTAAATCACGTGATGCAGTAGATGTGAAATGTGCTTATTGTAGCAACGTACAAAAGGTAATATATTTTCATGCTGTAAAATAACACAAAACTACTCTAAACATACGAGAATAGTTAAATGAAATTTGTTTGTTATGGTCGTAAAACATTTCATTTAATTTTCCTATTCTCATTTGAAATTCGCTAGTTTGGTGAAAAGTGCACGAATTGTGGTGTTAAATTTGCCAAATATTTCTGCGCTTTAAGTAAACACCTTACTGGCAAAGACGACCATCCTTATCATTGCGAGAAATGTGGAATTTGCAGGTACTCAAATGTACCCAAATAAAACACGTTTCCAATCATAACCGATTGATCTCATTTGTTAGATAATCATAAATATTAAGCACTAAACTGATTTTTGACACGTTTGTATTTCATTAGAGTTCACAGAGATCGTTCTTTTCATTGCGATGTTTGTAAACTTTACAACTGCGTGGTAATCATAAATGTAGAAAACTCCGCACATGATGGTTGTATATGTTTAGAGGTAAACATTTCCTGCTGATTTATTTTGGCACAATGAATAGAATAAAACAAATTATTCTTGACTTTTCAGTGTTATATACACGAGTTGCTGTTGTGTGTATGGCACTTTCACCATTGTTAGGTAAATTTTATCGACCTTTAAATGATATATCTCTCTTCAAGTCAACTGTCACCATAACGGATAACGGATGCCTTTTTTTCGACTTTTTTACTATCAACTTTATTATTTTCTCACAATACTTCACACTATCATTATTCAATAATTCTTTTCTCGAAACTAAAACTGCTTCTGACTTTTTTTGACTCTGAAGATGACTACCTCTAAGGTCGTCGAATCGTCAGTCAACAACAACAAAAACAATCCTTTTCAGGGCTATACCAACCTGGACGATCTACATTTTCAAACATGTAAAACTGCTTTTGCTTACGACACAATCCGTCTCATTTTATCTCTACCCCGCTACAAATGGTAAATATTCATTATAGTTGCTGCTCGTCTTTCATTTTGTAATATTTAGTCAAATTCATATCCAAATCTTTAAAATATTTTCAATATTTTATTGTAGGATGCTTTCACAGGTTGTCAAATATTACCATGTTCTCATAAAGTTCATAAAGAATGCGCCAATGAAATGATTCGAAGAGGAATGTAAGTTGAACGAAAATCCAAAAATTAATCCAACTTTATGTATTACTGACGTTAAACCAAACGTCATTTATGCGCTACTGACGTTATACCGAACGTCATCTCCTGACATTGTCCAACAGTCAATTTTATGATTATGAGAAATATTTTTTCTGTCCTTTAGAACACGCTGTCCCATTTGTCGTGAAAGTTTTGCTCATAAACTTGAAAAGAAAACTCCATCGAAGAGACGTCATGGTGGAAGACATAAATGACAAGCAGCCATTAGATAGATTTACATTTTGTCCTTCGATCTGTATTTCTATATTGGCTGCTTTTAATTTGATTATAGAAAACGATGATTTGTGTTTTTATGATTTTGTTAAATTCCTCTGGAGATGTGATTTTAGCGTGTTGCCTCAAAACTGTTTTTTCACATGAGAGATGAATCAGCATTTGGTTTGTAAATTTTTAGTTTTAATTGATAATTTAAGAAACAACAAGCTGTTTTTTTATTATTGATCCATGTTTTTTAGATCTTTTGACCGTTAATGGAACAACTGTGGAAACACCTATAGATGATAATGCAGAGAAAAGCATAAACTCTACGACGAACCTTGGTCTGGAAGCAACTTTTATAAACCAAAATTTCTCACAGCAAGTCTTGAAACTCTCAGAGGAAAAAGAGAAGTTTGATAAACCAAATCCTTTCATTGCTGAAGATAATGAAGAAGAAGAAAAGGTGGCATCCGTTCGTTACAGGTAAATTGTTCTTGTATAAATATAGATTGAAGACTAAGATCTAAAAAAGGAGATATTGTGCTTTACAGCATGTATAAAAAAATTAGACCATTTAAAAAATGTCCAGCAAACTATCATTTCATCAACATCCATGTATTTTGGCATTGTCTGATTTATCTAAAAGTAAAAACAATCAGAAAAATTTATCTCTAAAATTGGGAGAGCACTTTGTAAAAGCTTAAATTTTAACTTCTTGCTCAAAGAAAATGAAAGGTTTGAAATTTAATTTAATCGACCTGGTGAAAGTTTGTCATGTGCGGTGAAAAATTTTAGAAAATTTTATGTTCATCGCGCAACATGTCAAAATTGTTGACATTTGTTGACATTTTTTGTGTTTCACTCCTTTTTAAAGTAAATGGTTTGAACCCGGGAGTATCGTTATATGTTTGTAAGTGATGATCGTCCAGGTTAATAAAGTCCTGAGAAGGACTGTTTTTGATGTTGTTGACTGACGTTTCGACAACCTTAGCGGTAGTCATCTTCAGAGTCAAATGAGGAGTAAACGTCAGGTTAGCCGTATTTATTGTCTGGTTCTTACGTCATTGTATTGTGTGTATCAGTCGTCTGCTGGTGGATTTGACAATCTGAATAGCCTCTTGTGTGTTCAACGGAGACTTAATTCTAAGTCCTGTCGGAACGAGACCAAAATCCTTGCAGCGGTGGTTGAACCAGAGTTGTTGGCGTATGCGTCTGACGTTGCTTGCAAAACGTATGTAGTCGTTAGCAAGTTGTTCGCTCTGTCGTCCAAATGATCGTAATAAAGTAAATGGTTTGAACCCGGGAGTATCGTTATATGTTTGTAAGTGATGATCGTCCAGGTTAATAAAGTCCTGAGAAGGACTGTTTTTGATGTTGTTGACTGACGTTTCGACAACCTTAGCGGTAGTCATCTTCAGAGTCAAATGAGGAGTAAACGTCAGGTTAGCCGTATTTATTGTCTGGTTCTTACGTCATTGTATTGTGTGTATCAGTCGTCTGCTGGTGGATTTGACAATCTGAATAGCCTCTTGTGTGTTCAACGGAGACTTAATTCTAAGTCCTGTCGGAACGAGACCAAAATCCTTGCAGCGGTGGTTGAACCAGAGTTGTTGGCGTATGCGTCTGACGTTGCTTGCAAAACGTATGTAGTCGTTAGCAAGTTGTTCGCTCTGTCGTCCAAATGATCGTAATAAAGTAAATGGTTTGAACCCGGGAGTATCGTTATATGTTTGTAAGTGATGATCGTCCAGGTTAATAAAGTCCTGAGAAGGACTGTTTTTGATGTTGTTGACTGACGTTTCGACAACCTTAGCGGTAGTCATCTTCAGAGTCAAATGAGGAGTAAACGTTTTTTAGATCCTCCGCTGCGACCTTCGCTTGTTGGGAAACGTTTGTTGGGAAATAGAGGACTGAACACTTGTATTCATTTTGATTATCTACCTTCATCACCATTGACAGTTCTTGGTCTGCGTTTGAAGCCTAATTTAATATAAGATCACATGCAAGTGTTACAATGGTTTTGTCGCCAGTGCTGTTGAAAAAAATATATGCAACTGTCGTTGTATTTAACGTGCAAGAAGTGAAAAAGTTGAGTAACCTGTGATGAATACAAGAAGGCATAAAATCTTTCCGCCTATTCACAATATTTTAAAAATTAGGAAGCTGGAGAAAAAAATAGGAACGTAATGAGGCACTTTGTGGAATTTTAAAATTTTCGTTGAGTTTTTAGTTCATGCTTGCTCGAGAGATATCCTACACGTTTATTGAGCTATGGTTAGGCAGTTGGTTCTTTTCTTTTTCGGTGCGATTATGAGCTTCCTATAATGTTGCATTAAATTTTGTAGAATGCAAAAGTGGAAATAAGCAATATTTCAAAACGTATCTTGGTCGTGCAGAACTTCTCGCTGGCTGGCAGGGAAGGTAGGATTCGAAGTTAGATGCACCTGTTATATATTTTCCCTTTCTAAGGTTTTGACAAAGCGGGTCAATTTATTCTTTCTCCATTTGTTGTTATCGTCGTGTATTTAGTATTGTCGTAAATACACAACAAAGATTGCCGAAGGTAGCGAGAATTAACTTTGCCGTTCTTCCGGTTTATGGGTGATTGTTCGTAGCTAAGTAGCTATAATTGTTAAAACCTGGTTTGACCATGTTCTGATTTGAAATTTCGATGAAGTATTTGTATTTCAAATATTTCCAAGTTAGATTCTAAGAAACAAAAGTTTGTTTTTTGTGTGCAATATTTATGCATGCTTAAAAATCACTCCAACAACGGTTGGTGATCGGCTCTTTTTTGAGTTTCAATCAAAAGTTCATCGTCAGAATCGTTCACTGCATAAGGGAGTAGACCAAAATTGAATTTGACAAAAAAAATACCTTTACAACTGTAGAGCTCTAATGTCGGTGTTTCAATTCACGATCCAAGCTGTACATTTAAATAATAAAAGCAAAGCTTGCGGACCAACTGAAAGTGCTGAAGTGATAAGACTATTTTAATATGTCTGTCTTCTTATAAACTGCTTATCTCTCAAAGATGACGATGTGCGCTCCGATTAGTGAAACTCGTTCCTCAACACTTTAATTTCAGTTTTTGTTTCTTTATCTTCCTTTGTATTGGTAAACGTTGGTATTTTTCTTAGAATTGCAATTAATATTTCAAACTTTATTTTTGAATCGTATACAAAGAAATCCAGCTTGTAGAGCTAAAACTTGTCATTTACATCAACAGTTATTAATTGTTTTTGATGAGACATATTAGAAAACCGTGACTCGTCATTAGCCATAAAACACTTTCGTCTCTTTTCCCGTCATATCTTAACATAACCTGGAGCAAAGTGAGACACTTTTTCATTCATTGCAATGTAGCTGCACAACGAAAAACATTGTTAAGACCAAATTTGGCCGAAACAATCCTTGTCATCTGGCAATTATTTGGTAGTAATTTTAAAAACAGAGTCCATCTTAAGGTCATGCTATGATCAAACTTTGCTGTATTAATCATTTCTTCACATTCAATGATTCTTAGGTGTCTCACTTTGTTAACAATTGGAAATTAAACGAGACTTACCTTAAATCGAAGTTTAAATAAAATTCTATTAGTCATTAGCGAGGAGTGCAGGAACTGTAGGAGAGAGAGTACTGCACATGAATTGACCAGTATTTAGAGCACGAGTATTGGTACAATGGCTAGAGTGGAGGAGAGGGGATGGGGAAAAATATGGGTGGGCCTACACGTCGACGCTTGTATGACAGCTCTAAAATTTACATGCACTAATAAGGCAACGGCATCAAAGAGCGTAGTCGTAATGGCGCGAAAGTCCAGCAAGACTTTGTCTCTCAGCATTTTAATTGGTCATCGACAGTAACTGAGAGAGAACTTGCGACACACACACTAGAATCTTGTAGAACTGCGGTACGCAAATCTCGCTGACGATGGAAATTTTTAAGGCTTGACCATATAAGCTCATTGAGTTTGGGCACAGTAAGTTTGTCGCAATTTTGCCGTGGCTTTTCAATTATTTTTCTGCGCTCCTCAAGCCCAATATTTGAAGAAAATTTTTCATTTGTAATCTAAGCTATTTTGGAATGAATCGCTGAGCAGCATGCATCAGAAGGTCTTAACTAACGTCAATTTCTTGCAAAAAATGAACAAACTTAAAAAACGAGTCATTCAACTTTGTAAATGTTTATTAATACTTTTACATTCAAATCTGAGCATCTTTACTGTCAATGTTGTGCATCAAACATGACGTCATCGGTACACAGTTTTCTGAATGAATGAAATAAAAACCACTATATAAAATTGCTGCTTTCGTATGACAGCTTATACCTCAAACATATATTTAAACTTTATATAATAGCACACAGTAAGGTATCCTACATTTTTATTTTTATCTTTTTTATTATTATTATTATTATTATTATTATTATTATTATTATTATTATTCGTAAACTGATACTTACCTTTGGCCTTACTTATGCGCACTTTAGAATTTCTACCGTACGTTTCCTAAGGCCTAAAGCAGTCACATTGGCTTGTGTTATTCTTCACAATATTTACATCGAACATGATCATTGCTCCTTGGTTATCCATTAAAAGAAAAGACCTACCTTCCATTATACTTACCTTCATATCTAAACAAATTTGCATTAAATACTTCGCTTCTTGAATTGCATTTGCTAGGGCAATATATTCTGCTTCACACGTTGATATTGCTACAGTTGTTTGTTTTTGGCTCTTCCATGATATGAGAGGACCTTCTTGTGAAAGCTGAAAATTATAACCTGTAATACTTCGTCTATCTTTTAATTATAGACGCTCCCCAATCTGAGTCACAGAAACCTGTAAGTTTAAGTTGTGAATCTTATTTTTGAAAGACTAATCCAACCTCTTGTGTCCCTTTTATATATCTTAAAACATGTTTGGCAGTGGATAAATCGGCTTGTGTGGGTTCAGACATTTTCTGAGATAGTTTTGTAATAATATAACATAAATCTGGTCTAGTTCCAGTTATCACATATATTAAGCTTCCTACGAACATAAAACGTTTCGATCATATCGACCATTTGATAATTTGTAGCCTGTCAAGAAAAATGGAGAAAATGATTAAAATAGATTTTTTACCATCACAATTCGTCATGTCCATGTCCATCACATGGCGCATATTATTTGTGGCCTGTTACGTAAAAAATATAAAAATAATTAATGCATCAATTTGTGCAATAATACTTAAAACTATGCTCGTTTAACTTCAATAATAAGAAAATTAGTAGATACATTTGGTCTTGCGAGATCGATTATGAACAAACAAAAAATGAAAACATTATCTATTGCACGAACGATTTTTTGTTGATCCTGTAAAGATATAGTAAACTACGCGCACAATAATAATTTCATGACACTTTTTGCAAATATTTTCCACTTATTATTTTATAAACAGATTTGTTTGTAAAAGTTCTACATTTTTTGCTTTTATCATATAGTGGAATGCTTTCTTTTTGCAACAACATACAAAGTTTATGATGATATTATACATGAAACTTTTATATCAGTTTATGGAAGAAAATGACTGATTCGTATACCAACATAGAAAAGACTTGTGATATATATACGTATATAAATTAAATCATAACAAGACCTACATTATCGCAAAAGTTAAATTGAGCGATTGAAAATTTAAATCGTCTTATATTTCTCTACTATAGAAAGCATGCTGCTTTGATAAATCAGTAATAAAAAATTACCTCCTCTTCATCACCTCCTCCTCCTTCTTCTGAATTATGATTGAAAGTAATAGGTTATACGCATTGAACAAAATAGTCACTGGAAATTGAGAGAAATCATTGAATGAACTATGATTGTAATTATCTTTATTTCTTTCCTAACCACATTAACTGTGTTCTCCACCGGGGCAATTATGATGCTGTGGGTTCTCATCAGTTCAAGCAACATGATAAAGTGATGCTTCTATGGCCTTAACCATTTCATTGTTATCAAGAAGGTTTTCCCTTCTTGATAACAATGAAATGGTTGAGTCTGTAACAAGCCTGTAAAATAAAATGTAAAGTCTGTAACAAGCTCATCCACTTGGTTGGGAATATTGCCAGAGTACCTCGATTGCAGATCGCATTGCAGATCGATTTGCGTACCTCGATGGCAGATCGCATGCCATTCCTGTTTTCGTTCCAGCGAAGATACAAGTTCTTCCGCGCAAGAAATGTGTTTTTCAGCCCAAGTTTAAGAAGGATTTTCCCCAGAAGCCATCCGACTTTCTGTAAGACTCTCTGTGGTCGCCAGACACATTTGACATGGCTGCAACAACGTGGCTGCGTGTATTTTGATGGACGATCCATACGTAATATCACAAAACATAACACAGCAGTGCGCTGTGTTATGTTTTGTGATTTTACGTGTGGATATATTTGTTTTCGTACCTCGATGGCAGATCGCATGCAATTCCTGTTTTCGTTCCAGCGAAGATACAAGTTCTTCCGCGCAAGAAATGTGTTTTTCAGCCCAAGTTTAAGAAGGAGCTGCCCCCATCATAATTGCCCCGGTGGAGAACACAGTTAATGTGGTTAGGAAAGAAATAAAGATAATTACAATCATAGTTCATTCAATGATTTCTCTCAATCTCCAGTGACTATTTTGTTCAATGCGTATAACCTATTACTTTCAATCATCAAAAAGAAGGAGGAGGTGATGAAGAGGAGGTAATTTTTATTACTGATTTATCAAAGCAGCCTGCTTTCTAGTAGAGAAATATAAGACGATTTAAATTTTCAATCGCTCAATTTAACTTTTGCGATAATGTAGGTCTTGTTATGATTTAATTTATATACATATATATCACAAGTCTTTTCTATGTTGGTATACGAATCAGTCATTTTCTTCCATAAACTGATATAAAAGTTTCATGTATAATATCATCATAAACTTTGTATGTTGTTGCAAAAGAAAGCATTCCACTATATGATAAAAGCAAAATGTAGAACTTTACAAACAAATCTGTTTATAAAATAATAAGTGGAAAATATTTGCAAAAAGTGTCATGAAATTATTATTGTGCGCGTAGTTTACTATATCTTTACAGGATCAACAAAAAATCGTTCGTGCAATAGATAATGTTTTCATTTTTTGTTTGTTCATAATCGATCTCGCAAGACCAAATGTATCTACTAATTTTATTATTGAAGTTAAACGAGCATAGTTTTAAGTATTATTGCACAAATTGATGCATTAATTATTTTTATATTTTTACGTAACAGGCCACATAATATGCGCCATGTGATGACATGGACATGACGAATGATGGTAAAAATCTATTTTCATTTTCTCCATTTTCTTGACAGGCTACAAATTATCAAATGGTCGATATGATCGAAACGTTTTATGTTTAATATATGTGATAACTGGAACTAGACCAGATTTATGTTATATTATTACAAAACTATCTCAGAAAATGTCTGAACCCACACAAGCAGATTTATCCACTGCCAAACATGTTTTATAGACATAGAAAGAGGGTGCGTTTGAAAGGTTCTTATTAAAAACAATAATATCGTCCATAATTGTTACAGTTTTAATTTCTAATTTACAAATGGTTTTATACCAATAAACATAATCGTTGATAAATACTATCTAACATTTTACCAAATAAAAATAAAGAATTGATCATTTTAAATAAATCTGCTTATGTTTTATTGATTCTATACTATAAAAATGTGATTTTAAAGTTTGTATGTTTACATACGACAGATATTATGTTGACTTAAGAACTGAGATTTTATCGTAATGAAAACTACCGCTGGCTTTCTTATTTGTTATATTTAATAGATTCATACATCATCAACGAAAATTTTCCTGTAACAGAATGAAACTGTATATCGTTTATTATTATCAATTTATCGATATGACGCAAAAATATGAAGATATTTATGGCTAAGTGGTGTTTGAGAAGTACATAATATGGTGTACATGGTCATTTGCCCGTGGGGAATATGTTTCTTAGAATGACTGTTTGTGGATATGGCTAGTTTTCTATGAAATTGTTTAATACTTTTATCCTTTTAGTAACTGGATATATCTACTAAAGATTGACCTCAACGTTGAACGAAAGAAAGCAACCATATTGTTATTATTGTTTTTTCATCATGTCTACCAATCAAATGTTCATTGATGATGGTGCAGTCGCTAAGAAATTTAATGGGAAAAAGTATATTTTACTGTCTGTAATTCGGCAGGATAGACACCTTGTGACATGTTGACATGAACCTTGTGAATTCACCTTAGACACCTTGTAATCATGTGACATGAACTTTATTTTTTCATTCAATTATCTTGATTTTTTTCTCAACATTTCTTTTGTAACAGATAATGAAAACAATTAAAAGCCCCATTTACGTTTCAATTTACTTACACGTATTAAAAAAGCTTTTTGTTTCTTGCTACAAAAAATCATTAAAAGTTGTTGAAACTCAACAACACGCGCGTCTTCTCTCGTTTCAGAGTGTTGGCTGTCACAGATTTTCAACCAACAGACGCCCGCAAAGCTTTTCCTTGTTTTGATGAGCCCGCAATGAAAGCGACGTTTACCATCAGTATTGAACACCGTAGTGATTATACAGCACTTTCCAATATGAATGAGGTTTCCTCACAAAGTCTTTCGAATGGACGTATTGTCACATATTTCAATAAATCTGTACCAATGCCGACATATCTTGTTGGAATGATTGTCTCTGACTTTAAAAGTTTGAATGGTACAACTAAAAACAATGTTACCGTAAGTAGTCTTGTGTTAATGAAAAAATAAGTTTCATGTCTGTAGATGTAGATCGTCCAGGTTGGTATAGTCCTGAGAAGTACTGTTTTTGTTGTTGTTGACTGACGTTTTGACAATCTTTGCGGTAGTCATCTTCAAAGTCAAAAGTTACTCTCGGGTTCAAACCATTTACTTTAAAAAATAAGTTTATGACATAATCTTCATGTGATGGTCTCATTGTCAAAGTGTCTCGAGTAACTACCTTTATGTAAAGATTCTTCATATGCTATTTTTTCAGATTAAAACTTGGGGTACTCCTTTGGAATATAAAGATTCTTCATATGCTTTAAAGATTGCCCTAAATGTTACAACATTTCTTGAAAATTATTATGGTGTCAATTATCCTTTACCGAAGCAAGGTGAGATTTTAAAATGAAGATATTTCTTTATGTTTGCTGTTTTCATCTTTGATTGATAATGATACAGTATTCAGATGATGTTTGTTGTGATTTTAGATATGGTTGCTGTTCCAGATTTTAACTCAGGTGCTATGGAAAATTGGGGTCTTATAACGTATCGAGAAAGTGCATTCTTTTATAAAGAAGGAGTTTCCTCAGAAACAAACAAGCAAAGAATTGCCTCTGTTGTTGCTCACGAACTTGCCCACATGGTATAAATTTATTTTATTTTATAAACTCTGACTTTCACTTGTTCTAGCTGTGAAGACCAAATAACCACAATGTGCGTGGACTTTGTTTCGGAAACGTTTTCTTTCTTTTCGATGTCAGAAACCAATTATGATTTGTCTTTAGCTAAATTCGTTCTGTAGTTTAACATGTTCGCCTTCCATTCATCGAATCTTTTGTTTTAATGTGACTTTTTATTTTCAGTGGTTTGGAAATTTAGTATCATGTCGATGGTGGAATGACATTTGGTTAAATGAAAGATTTGCCAGTTACGTTCAATATTTGGCCGCCCATGAAGCTGAGCCAGACTGGGAACTAGTAAGTAATGACGTCATTGTTGCTTTATAAGTTCTTGTCATGCGTAATGTATTTTAGCTGGAACAATTTCTTCTCCGTAACGTTCATCGTGCGTTTCGATTTGATGCTTTGGCCAATTCTCATCCAATCACAGTGAATGTAGAAGATCCAGAAGATATAAAAACTATATTTGATGTAGTCACCTATAGTAAGGTTGGGTAATCTCAATTGAACGATTTTTTCTTACGATTGAATTCCTTCAGGTGTCTTTTTATACACAGTTCGTTTACATGTTTTATGTTCTTTTTTTCAGGGCTGCACAGTCATACGAATGTTGTCCGATTTTCTGTCAGAGGAAACGTTCAGAGAAGGCTTAAAGGTTGGTGGATACATGGGGTAATTTAAGGAAATGTATGTTGTTATAGGTGGCAACATGTCTGCAGTGTTATAGTAAGTAGGACAGACAATAATTTGATGTTGTAAGTGGATACATGGGGTACTTTATGGATACTTATGTTGTTTTAAGTTGAAACATGTCCGGTTTTTTGAATGAGAAGGTTACCTCTGGTAGTTACGTGGAAGACTCGACCATTGCTGTTTTTTTTAGATATATTTGAAGAAATATAAATTTGGTAGCGCTACAACTCAAGATTTGTGGGATGCTCTCAGCCTTGTAGGACTTTTTGATTTGAAAAAAAATTTCGAAATTTACGTGAATGTAAGAATATATTTTCTTTTTTCTTTTTTATACATCATCTCTAGACGTCTGGGAAAAATTTAACAGAGTTGATGGAAACATGGATTGAACAAATGGGTTTTCCGGTTGTATCTTTAAGAAGGGACATATCTGGAAAGGGTTTTGCTGATCAGAGACATTTTCTTAATGATCCTAAGGCACATTTTACTGAACCTTCACGATTTAAGTACGGGCAACTAATGTTATAAATGATGTGTTATATTTTATCAATGACCGTATCATCTCCATTCTTTGTGTCCATGTAGTTATAAATGGATGATAAAGCTTACTTATGTCACCGAAAATGATTTAAATAACACTAAATTTGTGTGGATGAAGAAATCGACTGGTATGATAAATACTGGTGTGCTGGTGTGAAATTATTGGTGTGCTGGTGTGACACAAAAACAATCAAAAAAATTATGATGAGCAATATATATGTGCTTGTGAAATACTTGAAATTTTGTCGTTGTTGACTCAATGTTTTCTCAGAAATCGTTTTTTACTCCAATAAATCATCGTTTATTACGTAATTACGACATTGTCAAACTTTTACCTCTTGCAAACACTGAATGACCTTCTCCATGTACTTTATTTGACAATCGTAAGGCTTAAACGAAAAAGAAATTTCCACACCGCGAATATTTATCACTGAAATTTCGAAAGCTAAATGAAAAGGCTCACATTTTCACATAAATACGGTTTGTATGTCTTCGACTACAAAGAGCTTCAAAATTTACCGCCATTTTGAAAAACACCAAAGTTAGGTCACGTGACGTGCTTAAATAATTTAATAAATTTATTTAAGCGTATTTAAACCATTTAATTAAATAGTTCTATTTAGTTCAATGACTTAAACACAATTAAATTATTAAATAACCAGAAAACTGTTCGTTATATTTTGTAAAATAACCAGAAAACTGTTCGATAAGTCTTTCCCCATTTCCATCAATCCTGTTGAAACATTCTATCAGTATACGACCTTCAGAATAATTTATATAATGGATGACAATTTACTATAAAGGAATAACAATTTATACGTACCAGTTGATATTAATAACGTATTAAATCTCACTTCATGGTAGAGTTGAGTTCATTCCCCAATTTGAGTGTCTAGTGTCTACCTATTTTTGCTGCGCACATGACATGGATGAGATGTTTTTTATCGGTTGACTTATTTTTTGAAAAACACATACAGCGAAAAAAGTTATGTTGATTTCAAGGTTCTGTTGAGCATCGGTTCTTTAAAGTATCCTAACAAAATGGCCGCTTGGACGTTACACGAATGTTGAACGATTTTGAAAATAAGGATTTTCCTTATTTACAAAGGAAATTCTCATCCAACAAGGCAAAAATTCCATTGTTTTTCCACTCGCTACCCTCCCTATACATATACTTCCTAGAGCAGAGAAAAATGCAAAGAGAAAATAGTTGTTTATCGGTATGGTCTGATCATAGGTGGCCCAAAAAATCACATAGCTAGCTAAATTGTATAAATAAACGATAACTCTCTCCCATTTCATTGCAACAGACCGTAACATTGAAACAGAAGTTTGCGGTGCGCGGTCTGTTACGATGAAATGAGGAGAGTTTAATGTATTTGTTTAATCTATTTAGCTAGCTAAATGATTTTTTGAGACGCCTATGGTCTGATTGACCAATTGGAAAATCGGTCATATTACTAAGTACTATTTAATGCCTGACTGCCCTTCCCCCACCTCACCTCACCCCCACCCAACGGTAAAATACTTTTGCATTAAACAGATTATATCGCTTCAAATTTTAAACTCTATATTTTGCCATAGCATTATTTTCTGACTTTAATATTCCACGTGAGAAACATTTTTTACAATGTTTTCTTTACAGAGCTTTCATCGTTACTTTCCAGCACATTGCCATCGGATTCTTTGCCATCTCCTTTACTGGCATCATCCTCAGTCTTTTCCTTTAACTTTTCTTCTGTATGATCTTGATAGATACAAAAAACAGATGATATAAATCATACAACAGCATAGATAAAGCAATTTTGCCCACGTAGAAGCCGAATCGTTAATACGCATTTAATAAACATGACAACGAATATTTCAACATCTTGTGATGTCATCTTTAGTACAGCTGTAAGGCTGGAAAAAATTGCTTTTGAGGGAACTCTTTCCAGTTTTAGTAAAACACTACTAAAAATAGCACTTGAAGTTTAGAAAACATATAAATAGTTTAAGTCACAATGAGCTACTTTAGCGGAAGATGAAACTTCGTAGTCACTCATAAAACGACCCCACAAAGTGACGGACTAACGGTAACGTAGTAACGTACTTGCAAACAAAGTTATTCACAGCAACGAGCATTTAATGCGATGATATTACACAAGATACTAGCTTTAAAGACGTATAATAAAATAAGAGGTTTAATAAAACATCTATTTTTAATTCATCTGTCTCTCATTACTGTTATTTTATAAAAGAAACAAAAGATGTTTAATGTTACATGATTGTAAATGTAGATCGTCCAGGTTAGTATAGTCCTGAGAAGGACTATTTTGTTATTGTTGACTGACGTTTCGACAACCTTAGCGGTAGTCATCTTCATTTGACTCTGAAGATGACTACCGCTAAGGTTGTCGGAACAGTCAACAACAAAAAAAACAATCGGTCAGGAGGGGGGGGGAGGGGTGAGGAGTCTTGTTTGCAATGGGGAAGTAAAGAAAGGAATCATACTTGCTATTTATATTTCAACTAACAATGCTTTAATGGGATATTTTATTTGAAATCTACCATATCCGTGATTTGTTCTAGTTTCTTTCATATCTTAATATCATAGATATTAACATTACGTTGTTGTGATGTACTCAGGTATAGCAACAAGATAATCATTGTCTTCAATGTTCTACCAACTGAACTACAACAAGAACATTGGACTATGATGATTTTTCAAAACACAGTTCTAGTTTCTTTCATACTTTAATACCATAGATAATAACATCACGTTGCTGTGATGTACTCAGGTATAGTAACAAGATAATCATTGTCTTCAATGTTCTATCAACTAAACTACAGGATTAACTTGATCATTGTCTTCAATGTTCGATCAACTAAACTACAAGATTAACTGTGAACTATAATATTTATAAAGAAAACTAGTGCTCCAAAACAATGTATCGGACAATATTCGCCTCTCATACCTTTCCTCTACATAAAGCCAAAAACATCGCTCCTTTAAACTCGGTGCTTTTCACTTTTTCATAAAAGCCATCCATAGTCTGAAAATACAATATTAGAACTAATTATTAATATATTATAGCACATCTGAAGACGATCTGAACAAATGAAAAATCTATCACCTTTTATAGAACTTTACTTGCAAAGTAATTTTGTCTCATGTTGAGCTTGTCTTCCATGTAGCAATCCAGTATCAGACTCTCTTAAATTATTTGGTAAGAAAGTTTTCTGTATTCCAAGAGTTGTTCCATCCATCACCACCTTTTGGGGGAATTCTTCAACATAATTCACAAAAAAACCCATTGTCAAAATCAATATCAAGCAACCTTAATAAGAGAAAATTCAATAACTTAATAAAACAAGCGATCACTATCTCAATGGAATATTCATATTTTACAGCTGAAAATGAAATGATGCTTACCGTATCATGGCAATGATAGCGAGACGAAACTTGGCGTAAGTTATTTCCTTTAGGAAATTAAAATTACCCGAAGACACTTGCCTTTGTACATACGCAACATAATATTTGTACATAGGTAAACTGAACAAGAATAACAAAGAAAAAACATTCAAAAGAGATAGGGCGAGAAAATTAAATAATGGACAAACGTAGCTACTAATGCTTCGGCAAATTTTCATTAAAAAGTACCTCGACGTTATGAAAAGCCGAATGTAATCTTTGAAACATGAAACATGTCAAGCGAAGCAGCGAGATGTATGTTATTCAACAACATTTGCCTTAAAAGATGTTAGGTAGAGTGTGAAACATGTCAAGCAAAACAGCGAGATGTATGTTATTCAACAACATTTGCGTTAAAAGATGTTAGGTCGAGTGTGAAACATGTCAAGCGAAGCAGCGAGATGTATGTTATTCAACAACATTTGCCTTAAAAGATGTTAGGTAGAGTGTGAAACATGTCAAGCAAAGCAGCGAGATGTATGTTATTCAACAACATTTGCCTTAAAAGATGTTAGGTAGAGTGTGAAACATGTCAAGCAAAACAGCGAGATGTATGTTATTCAACAACATTTGCGTTAAAAGATGTTAGGTAGAGTGTGAAACATGTCAAGCGAAGCAGCGAGATGTATGTTATTCAACAACATTTGCCTTAAAAGATGTTAGGTAGAGTGTGAAACATGTCAAGCGAAGCAGCGAGATGTATGTTATTCAACAACATTTGCCTTAAAAGATGTTAGGTAGAGTGTGAAACATGTCAAGCGAAGCAGCGAGATGTATGTTATTCAACAACATTTGCCTTAAAAGATGTTAGGTCGAATGTGAAACATGTCAAGCGAAGCAGCGAGATGTATGTTATTCAACAACATTTTCCTTAAAAGATGTTAGGTCGAATGTGAAACATGTCAAGCGAAGCAGCGAGATGTATGTTATTCAACAACATTTGCCTTAAAAGATGTTAGGTAGAATGTGAAACATGTCAAGCGAAGCAGCGAGATGTATGTTATTCAACAACATTTTCCTTAAAAGATGTTAGGTCGAATGTGAAACATGTCAAGCGAAGCAGCGAGATGTATGTTATTCAACAACATTTGCCTTAAAAGATGTTAGGTAGAGTGTGAAACATGTCAAGCGAAGCAGCGAGATGTATGTTATACAACAAGATAATCTTCATACCTTCTCGTAACCTTTGAGTAGTTTCTGTACGTATTCATAAGATGAATACTGTTTAAGACGAGTAGGGAAATTCTTTAGTTGATTCAACAAAGCATCAAGAGATTGACGTATCTAAATTTAAATGAAAAAGCATACGTACTTTAAACATAAATTAAACATCTACATATCTACATATGAAATAATACAAACGTATATTTGAAGTAGAAACGTTAAAAAGTCATAAAAGCACAACATTACCACAACTGCAAAGTCAATCATTATCATTAAATTCAAATCATATTATATTGCAAGTGATCTACCTTGCGCGGTTGTACTGACAACCAAGGTTGCTCTTTCATTTCATCGATCTTCTCCCAAATCTTCAACAACTCGTTCCAAACTCCTTTAAGATCTTACAACTCTTCCAATGAAACCTGGACACGATCATCGCTGATCATTGTAACACCTGATGTTAAACAACACTATTGTAATGACACCTCTTTGTAGTGACATCGATGAAACCTTTACATTACGCATTTTTACGACTTGGTCATGCAAGATATATTAGGAAGAATACGGTAGAAATATGACACACTTCATAATGTAGGATAATGAGGATATAGTAGGAACAATACAGTGCAAAGATGATATAAACTGATAAAATACAAACTTTGCAATTGAACCTACTCACCAAGTCTGAGCACCACAACAGCGTTGAATTAATTATTGACAGTATATGCAGTGAGAAAGTTCAACGACTTTCTCTAGCATGCTATAAATACACAAAGAAACAAACCATACCTTGTTCCATTAACTCTAAGGCTTCCTTAGCTTTTTCAACATTACTTCTATCATCTTTCAATCGATTAAGCTTTCCCTCGTAAACAGCAAGAGATTTGAGAGCAGCATCCGGTCGAGTACTACCTTCAATAGGTTTGCCTTTATCTCAGTCATTCAGGAATTCTGTTGTTCTTGCTTCAACAGCTTGATCTTCAGCAATGATCTTCACTTGCAACATTGACACCTTTGGCAAAGAGAATCGTGTCATCGTCAACAAATACAATACACCATATTGTTCTTCAGTGGCCAAAAAATAATGTATTTTAAATAGCCATAAAAGTATATTGCATATTTTACCTCTTTTTGAATAGATATATCTTTACGATTAAAGATATCATTGAATGCTCCCCATTCGCCCTCTACGTTGTCGTAGTACAACCATTGTGATGGAAACTGGAATCTTTGCCTTTCCAGAATGAGCTGACCGTTTTTGTAAACCTACCATGATATAAATAAATATTAAGAGTGAATAAGTAAGCACTTGTGTGGCATGGAAATGAAGTCAGAAAGTCATAACTTGTTGAGATGGTTAGAATGGATAAGAGAAAATAAATGTTTTAAACAACTTTATTTATGAAATAAGATAAAAGGGGTGGACTTCACAACATAACAAGGGTGGACTTCACAAGACAACTGGGGTGGATCGCAATTATTTGTTGCTTCTTTAATGTTTCATTCTGTATATAGGTTAAAAAGATGGTAAAAGATTTGGTAAGCGAATCATGCTCTACTTCAACTGATAATTTCATCGAAGAAGAAATCATCTCTGAAACGATTGCAGAAGAACTCCCAATTGAAAACACTTTAACCTCCGCATCTAAATTGGCTGAAATCGATAAAATAGAACAGGTATTCTAGAACAGGTATTCTAAAATAGAACAGAATTCAGTTCAGTGTTATAAAGTGATAATATATTTTGAAGTACATGAATGCCTTTCCAGACCCATCAAACAGTTGGCACCCAAACATTGCCTGCAGATTGTGCTGGTTGTTACAATCTGCGAAAGCAGAACAAACGATTATCTGGGCAATGGCTGTCAGCAAAACACAAGTTAAAAACTTAGAAAGAAGGTGTATATTTATATATTTTTAAATATTTCAAAATATTTAGAATGTATCATGTTTCTCATTGCTCTGATTTTTTTCTCATCCATGCAGTTAAGAGGGACTTCAGCATTAACACTGCAAATACTTCATCAACATGCAGTGAGTTTGATCCTAGCTCAAACCTGGAAGATGGGGAAACAGACAGTGTGGATGATGATGATTCTGATGGTGGAACGAGTTCATTAACCAGAAATTATCTAAACAAAAAGATAAAATAACAAGATCCACTTGCCTCCATAACTTTTTCCCACTTTTTCAGTTTACGTTTTAAAGATTCAACAAAAGTAATAAAGCTGACGGTATCTGATGTTGATGATACTTCAACAGAATGTTGTTCCAAATCTGTACGACTCTATGAAGATGAAACGCAATTTTATTTCATTCTCTGCGAAAAAAAGACGATCTTTTTCAGAACTGATTTCAGAAAGCTAACTGCTAGGGAAGTCGACAATGAATAAGAGGTTTGTATAGTTGATCAAAAATAAAGCAATATTTACAATACAATAATTTATCAAAGAATTCAACCTGTTTATAGTCTATAATAAACTTTCCTAGAGATAATTGTACAAACCTTGGTAATTGTTCCATAAAAATCATTCATATTCGTGCAAAGCATGTATCCAAATTTGCTCAGCAATTCTTTGTGCCAGCTGTCATACTTAAGATTTACTTTAGATTGAACCTAAAAAAAAATGTAAGGAGTCGAATTACATACGATTGTTTACAACAAACAAATTAAATGTGAACACAATATTGGGTATGTTGAGGGAATTGAACCATTCATGAATATCATTATTAACTGAATAAGGGTTGAACCATAAACATCACAGACAAAACAGTTGTGAAATCATAAATATAATTATTGGTAGAACAGAAATTGAACCATAGAGATAATTATTAAAAGAACAGGAGTTAAACCATGCATTATATTACGAGCAAAGTAAACGTCGCAATGAATCACGAATTCTTTCTTAAATTTTAACATACCTGTTGGAAGTCAATAAAAATAGGTCCAAATTCCTTTCTTGTTTCTTGTGTATCAAATGTAACACGGGACTTTCTAAAAGTAGAAATTAACAAATTTACTATCAATATATCATTTGTTCTATTCTAAATTAGCTACGTACCTGATATTCCTCAGTAGAATGATCCATCTCTCTAGACTATTATCAAGTTTGCTATAAATGAGACCAGTTTCCATGTCCCACAAGGATTGATAACGTAACCACACTTGAACATATTTTTCCTCCTCTCCAACTTTCTTCTCGACAGCCTCGTAAGCTCTCTCTATGACTTCGGGACCATCCGGAAGTATTGTGAGAAGATTACGATAGCTTGTGTGGCATTCCAAATCATCTGAATCAAGGCCAACCTAAGCAAGAAAACAAAGAGAAACTCGCAACATCATTTTCCACAATGACTTCTATTTAAAAGTTAATGATAATACAACTCGATGTCAAGACCAAAACACAACATTACAGAAGATAACCAATAAAACAATAGTGGGAATAATCTATTAAAAAATAAATACATCACTCGGTGCAAGTCGATTTTCCAAGACGTTGATGACTACGTAATGTTACCTGATATCGGGAACTCTGAATTCTGGGTAACTTGAGAATGACACCCAACCATGTATGAAGCTGCTCAAGAAGAAGACTTCTAACAGCTTCCACAGGAGGATAAAGATACAAGATTTGATTCGTGATTCGTACTTCATGACGAAGAATCTGAAGAGATGAAATAAGTATTATAAAATTCGCAAGATAATGTACACACGGAGAACGAATCAAAGTTAGCGTTTTACAAGTCATACGCAGAACAAAAACTTGAAAGACCCATTATTATTGTTATACTTTATGTATCATCTCTATATCATTGACATACAAAGTGCAACTTATATCTTTATTTACCTTTATTTCAAGATCTCCACCAGGTTTATGCGAGACCATGGGGTTTGTGTCGGAATCAAATTCCATTTTTCTGCCATCGGCATTGTAATCTTGGAGGTATTCAGTCCATGTAATTAATCCAGCTTGTAAACGAACGGAAAGTTTCTCTTCGACCTAAAAAAACTCTCATGTCTTAGTTGGACATAGCAAGTACGCAGAGAAATGAGTATTTTCGGGAGGAAAATAAATCATTTGAATGAAAACTCACACTTTTGTCAAAGCTAGCGACCCACAATGCCAAATTTGTATAGGAATACAGATTCATTGCATCAACCGATTTCTGAATACTTGCTAAAACTTGATGGAAGGTTTCAGAATCATAACTACATGATGCTAACGATTTAACTTCCTTCAATTCTTTCAACATTGATCAACAAATCATCAACCTGCAATAAAACCACATAACGAGAGTCTAACGTTTGTCGTTAAAACCACACGATTTATTCATAAAGAGCTTGTAACCTTTTCGTGAAAGCTGATGATTGCATCTGCAAACTTTTGCACATAAGGATCCAGTTTGTAAGATTCCCAGGTGAGACCAATACCCTACGAAAAAAAAGCATTACATCTGTTTCATTAAGAACGTTACTGACAAACGCAAAATGGTCAAAGATTTCCATTACGACCGCAAACATCTGTGTTTCCAGTAAATTTTTCAAAAAATTACTCGCAGGAGTGTTCCTAAACATAGTGTAGATCAATGGGCCTGTTGTGTCTAAGAAGCTTCTTTAACAGTAAAAAAATTCATTGGTTATTGGTGATTACAATCAATAGCTATCAGTGCTTGAAATTTTTAGTCAATATAGCAATTTTTTCCGTTTTAGAAATTTGCTGGGGGAGAGAGAAATATTTTATCCATGCCTTATCTTCATCGCCACCAATTTTTAGGTATACGAAAGGTGAAAACCTGTAGGCTGAAAATTTATATAAAGTTATTACCTCACTGATCAAGTTTTGAATATCTCTTTCTAGACCAGCAACCAAAGGTTTTATCGTCTTCTTGTTTGTAACCTAAAAATTACGCAAATAGTTTACATACACTTACATCTGCAATTTTTATTGACAAAAAAGTTAAACTGTGAATGTCGTGAGACTATTCCATACGTTTTCTACATGGAAAACTTTCGCCAATCTTTGTTGACAGTTTATCAACTTTTTACCTTTTCTCAAGCTGTTTCGTAGGAGCAGACACTCTCAATAAGAGAAATGGCAAATGGATACAGCTGATTGGCTTGATGTGCTTTGTTCACAATAGCAAGTGGCACTCGAAATCCAAGCCACTTTAAGTTACGAACCTAAAACATAATTTGTCAAGAAATAAAATTATTGTAGGTTTAAAAATGATTTAATTCAGTTCAATATTCATAATGAACTGAATGAGTATTGAACTTCATTTATAAATAATTAATCAGTTCATTTTGAAGTTGAAATTAGCATTTTCTTCTCTACTTTTATTAAACATGTGATGTAGTCATAACAAACCTGAACAAAGGAAAAGTGAATAATGGATGACGTGGAACAACAAAAGACGGTATAGGCACAGTACTTGGCACAATGCCCCATGCTGTCATGATGAACATCACCTGCCAGAACAACTGATCCACATTCTTTAGTTTTTCAGCAGTTTCTGTTGGTACTTTCTCCAAAATATAAATATTGATGGGAAAAGAATGTTCTATAAATGTAATTTAAAATATTAGTCACCCTTAAAATCTGCAGCTTAAACCAAAAAACATGCCATACTAGCTGATGTCTAAAGTATGTTGGCAGTGAAATAACTTGCAGTCCCATATGCTTCATTGCTTGAAATGTTTTGATAGCTGAAGATCCCGCCACTAAGACTGCAAATGAAAGTAGAAAGTTTCCAGCTGCAATCTTAGTACCAGGCATCAATGGCTGACTTTTCCAAACAAATTCTTTATGACAATCAACATTTTTGCACATGGTTTTTATGGTCACCATTGTTCCACTTTGACAAACATGAACCACAAGATTTTTTCCATGAAAAAACATGCATGTTTTAAACAACAGAAGAAGCTGTTTTAAGAAGACAATGTATTTCTGCTGCTTTTGCACATTGTCAGAAGTGTTGATTCTAAAGAATAAAGAAGTAACACCAAATACTAATTAGTGTGAAGCCAACGTTTCTATTTAATATATATCTTACATTGGTTCTGAGTATTCATCATCATCAAGAACACTCTCACAATTATAAACAAGATTTTCATCATCTTCTGTGTCATCAGTAGTTTCCATTTCAACACATTCACCTCAAACTACATTGTTTCAATTTGGTCTTATCAATGTTCACATTGATAAGGTTTCTCTCCTGTATGTATCCTAACATGTTCATTCAATTTAGAAAGCTTTCTAAATGTTTTATCACAATGTTCACATTGATAAGGTTTCTCTCCTGTATGTATCCTAACATGTTCATTCAATTTAGAAAGTCGATTCTTCTTCTGAATTATTAGTACTTTTAACTATATTGCAATTTGTTTTAACATTTGTTATGTTGTATTCTTAGAGGGGTAAAAAAGTCTGATTATATCACAAGAAAAGATATTGTTACAAATGTGCGTAATTGTTGACAGTTTTTGACACTACCCAGTTTTTAATAAATCATTTTATGTTTGAATGAACTCAAGACAATCTAAAACTGTTAAATTACAAGTCTATTCAAAAGTATACGTTCAATGTACTTCGCAATACAGAATGAAAAAAAATGGAAATCACAACAACAAATTTACATGTCAACGGTATCTATGAAGCATTTCATACGTAATTCAAACAAGATGCCATGAAATACCAATAAAGACATAATATTTTAGCTAGCAATAGCTGCTCATCTCACCTTTATAATGTCTGGTCATTACTTCCATACATGTCCTTTTTAGAGATACCAATTTTCGTTTCAAGCTACATGGTCTTAATTTATTTCGGCCATATGCCATGGTCTTAGTGTTTTGGGTATCCTCACGGGGGATGCCCAAAACACTAGTGATTTAAGTACGGGGATACCCAAAACACGGGGATACCCATATCACTGTGACACCGACCATGCCGACCCTGCGAGTTGCCCTTCTATATATTCTCTATTCTATGGTGTCGTGATGATGAAGATGCTCAGTGAAAGTAAAGACGGATTTTGAGGTAACATTGGAAGAATGTAGGGAAATATTTGTCGTCGTTAAGACTTCAGGTATTTGTTTTGATGAATGTCGCAACTTTGCTATTGAACCAGATGATTTAATTTTTATTGTAGTTGAAGTATAAACAATCCGACAGGCTGTAACTGTTTATAATGTCACATGGTACACTATATGATCTAAGTGAGCAAATTAAAACATAACAAATATTTAAAAACATTGACAAATGTCAATCGTATAGCTTGAGATTGACTGCGCGCCTTGCTCTCGTTGACATTGTTTGGTTAGTACTTTATTCAATTTTCTTCGTTTGGTTTGTACTTTATTCGTAATTGCTTTCTTGTCGTTAAATGTCTGAAATTGAATTTTCAAACTTAAAACAACGTGGATCAATTCGTTTCTGTAATGTCTTTTAACCACGTTATGTTTATTCGTAAGCATTTTAAATGCCCATTTATCATTTTAACTTTTATGTTGCGCAAAATGATCGGCAAAATGCCAGCTATGGACAATTTATAATTCCTACACTCTCAGACAATGTAACTGTATTTCTAATTTATAATTCCTACACTCTCAGATAATGTAACTTTTATGTAACTGTATTTCTAATTTATAATACGTACACTCTCAGATAATGTAACTTTTATGTAACTGTATTTCTAATTTATAATACGTACACTCTCAGATAATGTAACTTTTATTATACCTACACTCTCAGGCAATATTACTGTAAATACTGTCAAAATAATGAGTAATTTTACCTTCCAGTGAAAATGTTTTCACATGCTGCAATGGTAAGGTTTTATAACAATACCATTCCTGCTGTGCATGTCATTCCTGTTCAAGCTCAAAATTTATTTGCAAATGGACCAAATAACTGTGAAACAGTTTACAAACAAGGTAGCTTTCTCCAACTGTTTTGAATTAATCATAGAAAATGTGTAATACAATCATGATACAGTGCGCTCATGTAGATTCACCTTATGGAAGTCACGCCGAAAATTTTAAGGTTCTTGCTGAAAGAAATGGAATTAAAGTTGTTGATCCTGAAGTTCATCCTAATATTGAAAATGGACTCAATGAAATGCCTGTGGTTGCACTGAGTATGTTTTTTACAATTTACATGTACAATTTTTTCTCAAAATTTTCAATGTTTTTTTTTTGATGTTGGTGATCAATTCATGTTGGTAGGAAATATTTTATTATCTATTTCATTCTGGGAAAACAGAATCATAGTAGCAACTTTCCCTCACAGTTTATGATATTTTCTCATTCTTTATGAGAGAAGAATTTTGTGAATTTATCCATTGTTTTTGCTATCCAAATTGTATTGATCTCTGTTTGTAGATTTATCTGCTGATGCTGCTGAGTTTTTTCCAAGATCCCCAGCATCTTTATCTGACGAAATTGGTTTACATGGTTCAAAACTCCAAGAAGAGCAGAAACTGCAGGCTCAGATATTACAGGATTGCATAAATGATTAAAAAGAAAGTTCTTATGGAAGTCACGCCGAAAATTTTAAGGTTCTTGCTGAAAGAAATGGAATTAAAGTTGTTGATCCTGAAGTTCATCCTAATATTGAAAATGGACTCAATGAAATGTCTGTGGTTGCACCAGTATGTTTTTACAATTTACATGTACAATTTTTACTCAAAATTTTCAATGTTTTTTTTTTGATGTTGGTGATCAATTCATGTTGGTAGGAAATATTTTATCATCTATTTCATTCTGGGAAAACAGAATCATAGTAGCAACTTTCCCTCACAGTTTACGATATTTTCTCATTCTTTATGAGAGAAGAATTTTGTGAATTTATCCATTGTTTTTGCTATCCAAATTGTATTGATCTCTGTTTGTAGATTTATCTGCTGATGCTACTGAGTTTTTTCCAAGATCCCCAGCATCTTTATCTGACGAGAAATTGGTTTACATGGTTCAAAAACTCCAAGAAGAGCAGAAACTGCAGGCTCAGATATTACAGGATTGCATAAATGATCAAAAAGAAAGTTCTTATGGAAGTCACTCCGAAAATTTTAAGGTTCTTGCTGAAAGAAATGGAATTAAAGTTGTTGATCCTGAAGTTCATCCTAATATTGAAAATGGACTCAATGAAATGTCTGTGGTTGCACGAGTATGTTTTTACAATTTACATGTACAATTTTTACTCAAAATTTTCAATGTTTTTTTTTGATGTTGGTGATCAATTCATGTTGGTAGGAAATATTTTATCATCTATTTCATTCTGGGAAAACAGAATCATAGTAGCAACTTTCCCTCACAGTTTACGATATTTTCTCATTCTTTATGAGAGAAGAATTTTGTGAATATATCCGTTGTTTTTGCTATCCAAATTGTATTGATCTCTGTTTGTAGATTTATCTGCTGATGCTGCTGAGTTTTTTCCAAGATCCCCAGCATCCTCATCTGAAGAGAAATTGGTTTACATGGTTCCACAACTCCAAGAAGAGCAGAAACTGCAGGCTCAGATATTACAGGATTGCATAAATGATCAAAAAGAAAGCGAGGCAAAAAATGCTAGTCTGCATAAAGAGAAATCCATGTTGCAGAAAGCATTTAAAGTAATGTCATATTTAATACTCCAGGACAACACAACTAAAATGGAAAGCAACACATACAACAGCACATACAGCAACACACAGACCTACACAGTGCAACACATACAGCAACACACAGACCTACACAGTGCAACACATACAGCAACACACAGACCTACACAGTGCAACACATACAGCAACACACAGACCTACACAGTGCAACACATACAGCAACACACAGACCTACACAGTGCAACACATACAGCAACACACAGACCTACACAGTGCAACACATACAGCAACACACAGACCTACACAGTGCAACTCATACAGCAACACACAGACCTACACAGTGCAACTCATACAGCAACACACAGACCTACACAGTGCACACATACAGCAACACACAGACCTACACAGTGCAACTCATACAGCAACACACAGACCTACACAGTGCAACACATACAGCAACACACAGACCTACACAGTGCAACTCATACAGCAACACACAGACCTACACAGTTCAACACATACAGCAACACACAGACCTACACAGTGCAACACATACAGCAACACACAGACCTACACAGTGCAACACATACAGCAACACACAGACCTACACAGTGCAACTCATACAACAACACACAGACCTACACAGTGCAACTCATACAGCAACACACAGACCTACACAGTGCAACTCATACAGCAACACACAGACCTACACAGTGCAACTCATACAACAACACACAGACCTACACAGTGCAACTCATACAGAAACACACAGACCTACACAGTGCAACACATACAGCAACACAGACCTAAACAGTGCAACACAGACCTACACAGTGCAACACATACAGCAACACAGACCTAAACAGTGCAACTCATACAGCAACACACAGACCTACACAGTGCAACACATACAGCAACACAGACCTAAACAGTGCAACACAGACCTACACAGTGCAACACATACAGCAACACAGACCTAAACAGTGCAACTCATACAGCAACACACAGACCTACACAGTGCAACACATACAGCAACACAGACCTAAACAGTGCAACACAGACCTACACAGTGCAACACATACAGCAACACAGACCTAAACAGTGCAACTCATACAGCAACACAGACCTAAACAGTGCAACTCATACAGCAACACACAGACCTACACAGTGCAACACATACAGCAACACAGACCTAAACAGTGCAACACAGACCTACACAGTGCAACACATACAGCAACACAGACCTAAACAGTGCAACTCATACAGCAACACACAGACCTACACAGTGCAACACATACAGCAACACAGACCTAAACAGTGCAACACATACAGAAACACATAGAGCATCAGATAGAGACAATTGCATAGAGACAATTAGTTAGGTCTAAAAGCACATGAAAAACAGACAACTGACCCTTTGTGATTTGTACACTATCATACATGTAATGGATTGATCATCAAAAAGAAGTCAGGACCATCATTGGGCAGAGCGACTAAATGTAATTATTGCAGTACGGACAATTTTTTTGTTTATTTGTCAAAATTTAGGCAGCGACAGATGAATTAAGAAAATGTCAAGAAAGAAATACTATGTATGGGTTATGATTGATGAAATTCAAACATAAATATTGTTGACAGCAATTAGACTTTTTCTAATCGCTAGGCTGAGCAAGGAAGTCAACGGTTTGGCTGACAGACTTCTAGAATCCGAACAAACAAATGCCAGGTGCGTGCATAATGTTAAAGGTATAAACATTTAAGCTTTTCAAAGATTTCCCATGGTGGGATTGGATTTCTTGTGCGCTGAAATCATTTTCTCAACCTTCATAGTGCTTTCCAGCAAGAATTTTTTACCGTGTTGAACACGGTATTTGATAGTTTCACAAGTTTACAGTGCAATAAATTTGTTACACGGAACTAACATGCTTTCTTTCTTTCTCGCGCAAGAAACTATGGACTTCATATATCAATTCCAATCAGTATAACGCCATTTATACAAACGAATTTTTAAAACTTAACTTTATTATGTTGTACAAACGCTTTCTCTTCTCTCGATTGCGTACAAACTTTTGTTACCCAGTCTTTGCAACTATATCTCTTTTTGATCCACTGTTTCTGTTCATATTTTATCTTGTTTAAACTTAGCGTACATAATAAATTACTTTTGTCAAAACTTGTCATTCTCCCCTACGATGTTTGCTGATTAAAAAGCAAGTCGAAGCTCTTCTTGAGAAATGGAACAAAGTAGCTTTTGTAAGGTTCTTGAGTTAAAATTATTGTTCTATTGCCAATAAGGGTGCAAGTAAATGCAATGTTATTTGCAAATGTGTAGTAGGGAGCTCATTCATCTTACAATCTATTCACAGCTCATCCCTCATCAAACCCATAAATATATCTATATTGTTTCCATGAGGCTGAGATTTTTTATTTATTTTCCGCCGCAGATGTATTTGATCGTTGCATTGAAACATCAATTTGGTTTTCTTCTCATTCCATAATTGCCGTTCTCATTTTTCTTCTTTAGCGATGAAGTAATGATGTCATGCTCGTCTAAGGAAATGAAAGACGTCAATTCTGGAAAACAAATGTCAGCAGTTACAAGTTTTTTTGACGGTTTATTTTGTTCATCTTTTAAATATCTTGTATCATATGCAGGATCATAGAGGAGGATTATGAAACAAACGCTGAAGAAAAAACCTCTTCTTCATCAATTCCAAAGAAAAATGAAACAGAAAGAGGAACCATAATGGATATATTGGATGATGTAATTTCTGACTCAAACATTGAGAATGAGTATAGTAACTGGACTGTGGCGAAGAAAAAATTAAAGGTTGTACAGCATCGAGTAAGTCTGCTTAACCGTTGCATACAATAAAGAATAACTTTTAAGACAACCTTACAGTTTCGATAACAACATGAAGCAGGGCTGGATTAACCACTGGGGAGGACTGGGGACCACCTTATGCTGGATGGCCTTTTTTTAACACATTGTTGAACGTCCTTTGCACCTCTAAAAGCAAATAGACATTCATTTCACTGAGATTATAACTGGCCTCTGTCCAAGGTCTGGCGCTGGTCGTTGTTCAACACCATTAGTCCATTCTTATTACAGACATTGGACTATTTCTCCTGTTGTCGTCACTTGTATTATCAGTAAGCAATTTGACTAATCAGGTGGGCGATCCCTTTTCTCTTGTTTTGTTGGTGGCCAAGGACCCTGATCTATTATGTCCCCTTAATCCGGCATTGACATGAAGCATATATGAATTGCACTAGCCAATTCTCTAATGGTGTTTACCATAAGTTAGAACAAAATCCAAAAGAAGATACTGCTCAACATAGAAATGGGAACTAATAAAAATCCAATTCATTCTTCACGAATAGCATAAATCGATGAATTGTGAATATAGCTTGCTAATTTTTCATTCTTAGATACGAGCAACAAGATTAAATCTCTAAATTAATTAGATGTTGATCAGCCAAGTAAAATTAATACAGAATGCCGTGTCAATTTTTTCAAATCACTACTGAGAATATGTCTGGCCCAATTTGCTATACAATCCATACTTTCACCAAAAGTTCGACTCGTTTTTTAGATTCTTGACCCAACAGCATGTCGTGAAAAGTCAAAACAAATCTAATACTGCCTAAACAAACACTCCAAATCAACTATATTGTGAATCCTTCTGGATTTCTTATCAATTCCTTGAATATCAATTGTTCACCTACGTCACTTTTTTATTTCATATAGTCCCACATAAAGACGAGGAGAGAAATGTTTTGAAATCAATCAAACAAAGTAATATTGGTAACATGGCACGGACAAAGATGACTCAAGTCCCTTTTACTGTTGATGAACAAACTGTCGCAGACATTTCCGTCGAAAACGAGGCAAGAAAACAACCATTTTTTCATACGATAGTCCTTTTTCATCGCAAGCATTTCAATTTTGTTTCGAAATTATCTATATCGACAATACGTAATTGACTGTCTTAGAGAGGAACTGGTCCAGTTGTTAAAGGTAGCCAAGGAGACTTTCGGAGATAAAGGTTTTAGAGGAAAGAAAATAGAAGAAATCGTTAAGCGAGTTAAGAAAATCACTGTTTGAGTACATAAGCAGGTATGATTCAATCTTCTACAATGATTTGTAAGCGTTTAAATATACTAAGACTACGTTTACACTACGCCGGAGCGAAAAGGTGACTGCAAAATTTGACTGCTTTACACGTTTAAATTCCGCTGTCAAAATTCGTTAGTTGTTTGTGAAAGATGGCGCCATTTCTTATTTTCATATTGCTAGATGTTTATAGGTCAAAACAATGATTTGTAATAATTACAACGACACCAGTCATTAAAAGCTTTCCAAAACATAAAATGTTCCCCATTTTCAACTATGCGCTACCACACGGGACAAATTAAAGAGAACTGGCATCTAAAGTGTAGCGAAATATTAACGGTTTGCTGTTTACATGACAATGCTTAGCGCTCCGTTTTCGTTCGACCACGTTTAGAAAGTGTGGTTGTATCGCTCCGGAAAAAGTAACGTGTTCAAACAATTCCGCTCCAGTGCAGTATAAACGGAACCGTGTTCTGTTACTTTTTTGCGCCGTCTTCAGATCGATCCGGAGTAGTGTAAACTTAGTCTAAGTAGACAAAAGCTGCACTTTCAATCATCCTTTTTGATACTTACGATATAACTGCTAAAACATGAAATAGACTATTGCTAAAAATCGACCAACCTAACACGAGCATATTCACCATTAAAGTTGCATACGAGCCAAAGAAAATTTCCCTCGAGGATTAACTCGATGAATATTACGTTGGATATCGAATTTTTCAAACCTTTTTTAGTTTACGCAGGAATGCAAAACACGGATTGTTGTTTATATAAAAGCCCATCTGTGTAAATCTTTAGTTAAAGTTGAAGAACATGTTCAAAATTAAAAGCGACGGTCATTTTCCTTCTCTCTCTCTCCGTCCTACATTGATGTTTTAACGATACGCTCTAAGTGATCCAAGAATATCGTCGTGGTTTACAAGAATTTTCAAAAGGGGTCATGAATTATTAAAGTTTGTTCAGACATGTGCATTGGAAGATAAAAGTATTTTTATCGAGTAACTGTATTTCACTTTTCTTTATATCAAAAGTTAGCAACTCTGCTTCATGTAATTTCAAATCAAACGGACGAGAATATACTCGAGTATGCTGCATATGCATAAGAATAGAGAGGGCGGTAAAAATGCTGTTCTTATATTGAAGACATGTCGTTTTGCAGACACGTTTACGCTTAGCGTACCTATTTTTCATTATCATATCGATATCTAAAAATTTTGTGGTAAGCGTAATCGCGAAAGCTTAGAATTCAGACGCCATCTTGAAATGATTGATTGATAATTAGAGGGCTTATGACATCCAAAGATATTTCATCCTTTAATGACATGCATAATATTCAGGTATCTCTCTGTTCTGCTAAGTGATCATACGTGATTAACCATCTTTTTTGGTTAAACATTTTTCAGAGGTGTCATGTTTCGCCCAATCATGTAAATCTTACAGACGAAAGTGTAGCAACCGCGATTAATTTGGCGAGCCTGGCATGACGGTCCACACTCTTGACTGGAGATGATTACTCTACAATTGCTATTTCATCTAGCCATAGCTATAGATCATGTACTTTATAATTTCAGTCATACGGTTTTTGTTTGCCCAGGCCTGACGTAAGATTGAAATAAACTCGGCTAAATCATTGTTAACGGTTTTTCTGCGCAACGGTTAAATGTGACCTTGAAAATGCCATAGGAACTATCGAAATACAAAAAGATAGTAGTAGAATAAGCTTCGTGTAATCAAATAATAAGTCTTTATAACACAACATGTACCTAAAATTATTTCATTTGATCCGATATGATCGCTAATATTTCGACAAGGCTGACGGGAAGTTTTATCAAAGCGTTGTAGAAAGACTTTTAAAAATAAGTGAACATACTTGGCGTTCATCCTATTGAACTTGTTAAGCTAGTGTGTAGTAGCTACTGTTGCTAAATAGCGTGTGAAAAAGGATGCGTTGTTAAATGTTACTAATGCTCATTTTTGTTGCTTCGTTTTAATAGAGTCCGTGGATTTATGTCACTGACAGATTGGCCTAAATTGAGAGACACTGAAAGAAGAAATGTCCAAACAGCAAGGAATGCTACTTTTTAGCTGAGTTCATTATTTATTTACTGGCGGTTGCATGAATGATGTTTTTTGCGTTTTTGTTCACTTAAAGTCCATACAAGCTTGGCAATCAATAGATGACTTGTCGTGTTAGACGTTCTGTAAGGCTAAACTATTGCTGTATTGCAAACCAAAAAGGGAAATTTAAATCATAAAAACTTTACTAGAAAAGAAAGAAACTTCTACAAAACAGACGGACGTTCTTGAAAATTTGTTATGTGTTTATATAACTTAGTTATATAACATAATTTGTTAAAGATTATACTGTTTGCATTAAGTTGTTAAGATTATCTATTTCGTTACTTTCGTCGTACGATACCTTACATCAAAGGTACGTCTGAGACTATCTCGCGTATCTTACGACCATACAACATACGTGTCGCACATAAACCAATCACAACGTTACGACAAGTACTAACGAACATAAAGGACAGAGAACAACCCAACGAACGACAAGGTGCAGTTTACAAAATAAACTGCTCCGACTGCCACGCCTCCTATATCGGGGAAACTGGCAGGAACTTAAACATAAGACTTACTGAGCACAAACGAGCTACTAAGAAACAAGACAAAACTAATCACATTGCCGAACATCACCGAATCACAAAGCACAACATTGACTGGGACTCGGCAAAATGCATCACTTACAGTACTGACTATAGACAACGGCTTACATTAGAAAGTTGGTATACCAACTTGGAACAAACCCCCCTGAACAGATCACAGCAATTACCGGCACCTTACAAACGACTTATTCACAATACAAACAAACGATCAACTAAAAACACTACACTTCAAACTAATACACAATTGACACCCACACATTACAACTAAAAACATCACACCTAAATCACACATCACAACTAAAAATAAAATATTTCACTTCACACTAATCCACAATGACAATACACATTTCCTGTACACACAATACAATGACGTAAGAACCAGATAACAAATACGGCTAACCTGACGTTTACTCCTCATTTGACTCTAAAGATGACTACCGCTAAGGTTGTCGAAACGTCAGTCAACAACAACAAAAACAGTCCTTCTCAGGACTTTATTAACCTGGACGATCATCATTTACAAACAATAGACTGGATATAGCTTCTACAGGTATCAAAAGTGAAGCCTAATTATATCTGCAAACTTCACTTCCGGGTACCACGGCGAGATACACATTACTATAAAAATGTATGGCGGATAACGTTTACAAACATGGATTTTCGAATATTTAAGACCTTTCGCGACTCCTTACTAACCTCAAGTATTAGTCATGGATAAAACAGGTTATGCAAATCGATTTGACATCAAAATGATTCCTATAGCTGTAAAATATCGACGTTAGTGTTGATTTAAAAGTTGTACATGCGAGAAGGTATTTTGTCCCATCGTTGCCAATGCAAGATAGTTCACTGCTCGCTTTCCAATTTCTGAGGCATTTATGATCTAGTATACGTTTCAGTTCTTTAGAAATGAGGTGAGTTACTTTTTTATCATTCTTTCTTTATGTTGAGAGATTGCTAAAATAGCAAACTTTTTAATCGAGTTTCCCTTAGATAAAGGTTTGTCTTCATACAACGAGAATGAAATGTAAAACAGTCATTTGCATGCACCCATAATTATAACCCCATATGATAAATAATATGCACGAATTAAACTGTTTCTTAGTTGATAACCAGTGTTGCTAGATGGGTAGCCTGCAAACCCGCCTGAGCTACCTTTAAAAGTAGCCCATAATAGCCCAATTATATTTTGCAAGAAATAGCCCAAATTTTCATCAAAACAAGTAAAAACTAGCCCAAGTCTGTTGAAAATATTTAATTTAAACCAAACTACACATTGATATCGTATATCGCATCGTTTACGTCTTCTGTACTTTCATACATTTCTGAAGTAAACCTAGATATCATTTGAGGCCAAGGAGTGAAATTGTTGCAGCAAATTTTTTGCGTTGCCATATATGATTTCACGTGCAAGAGATTCTCTAGTAGCGATTGTCTCATTCGATTCTACTTCCTTTATTTGTGTAATTACTTCCGGAAGTAGCAATAGTAAATGGCAATAAATAATTAAATATGGCAACTTTCACTTTAGGCAAAAATTTTTCTCCCATAACTGTCATAATATTTGACAACTTGAAATGAAGCTCTACCTCAACTAGAATTCAAATAGAGTTCACCGTCGGTGAACTCATATATGCAAGTTTTTCGTAATTAAAATCCTTTGAAATCAATTGTTTGTCCCCCTACCTAAATAATCGAGCTGTAGACGCCACTGTTCACGGGGCAAACCAAGTAGAGATTTCGTGATTTCAGCTGCGTCTGACACAGAGCATTTATATAAAATGTCATTTTTTAAATTTTAAGACTTTTTTCCACACGTAACATTTCATCGAATATGTGCAAAAATAGAGCGGTTCTTTGAGGAGTGCCACTCGCAAAAAAGGTAGAGTAGAACTTACTAACATACTTACACTTGCTAATTTTGTAAAAGAGTTCTAAACCTTATGTTATTGTGTGACATGTTGAATGTCAATCTAGTCTTCACAGAGCAAATAACACACGTCGTTTTTAGTGTATAAACGTTTAAATATATCATACATGCATAGCATATCCTCACATCTTATACATTCTCATTATTGAAGTTTGACATGTTTGATGGCAAAATAAATAAATATTGTCTTGTTAAAAAACAAACTCGTAAAATAAAATGTCGCAGTTCGTTAAAAATCTTTTTTTCACATTCGCACGATTTTCTTACGTGTGTACTAAGAATCTTTTTTGCCCTCCATAAAATAAAAGACTTTCTAAGACATCTCCATTGTTAAAGAATATTCAAAGCCAAGGATGCCACGCTGGATCCATACGACAAAGATTATCCGCACTCATTGCCGCCCCAACTAAAGTACTAACTTTGGTTTCTGCGCCATCAAATTCTGCCAAATCTGCAATAAAAGTGATATTATATACAAGAAATTATGACACTCTTAATGAAAATCAGCTGTTGACAAAAAATAGGAAATATTGTGCTTTGATACAATCTTCTCTTTTCATGTAAATTTAACAAAATGAAAGTGATAAAATATTAGCTTACTTTGGAGACGTGTCATAACAGAACCGACAGCACTATTCACTAAATTTATCAAATCTTCGTTGTCAAGTTGTTCTGATGTTGACTGTACATTAGAATGCATGAGACTGTCGTATTTCTAAAAAAAAAAACAAACAAACGCATACATCAAAGATTGCTATTCAAAAGCAGTTCACAAGAAATTTCACAAAATCGAAGCTCGAATTCCATAATACACTGAGTAATTTCTTCATCAACTAATGCAGACACATTGAATGGTGAAGTGAGTTTTTCATGCTAGTAGAGCAGGCAATAAAATAAGTGTGTTTTAAATACTTTGTGTCTTGTGAATCAGAAATGTGTCCTTGTAAATGAAATTATGAGTCCTAGCTATTAAGAAAGAAAAATTAAAATATATCCAAGTGTTCTTACAAAATGGCAGTACTGTTTTTATCGTTTGATTTTGGCAGAAAATTAGGAAAAATGACTGCGAGTAAGCTGCAAGTTAATGCAGGAAGCCAACTGAAACAGACTGGAAAAAATTCTTTATTTTAATGCCTTTAGCATAGTGCAATAGACAATTTGAATTCTTAGTCGATATCGAAGTATCTCCCAAAAATACTGCCTTTACTAACAGTTTTTGTACAAAAACATCGTTTTATATTAATTAAAAAAAATAATCTACCAAATAAGACAAAACAATAACCTTTTTGTGCCATGAAAGTATTTCGTCCCGCAAAATAGCTCGAAGGATGCTATCAATACTAAACTTTGGATCAACTAAACATCTTGCTGCAGCAACCATAGATGAAGTAAGAACACCACCAATACCAACTGGCGAGATGAATCCACTTATGTTCGGAGTAAGTCGAAATGGGACAGGACGATTGGCATCAAGTTCACCTTTAAGTATAACAAGAGATTACAAACGATTACCTTCATTATGTAACCTAATTGTCATAAACTTAATAATTCACCTTTGCTTTCGTCGATTTCAAACTTATAGTAAGTGACGTTTAACCTTCCATTATCACGAATGATTTGTAACATTTCGGGAGACAGTTTTGACAAATGAAGAGTGAACTCGGCAAACTGTAGCAAAGCAAGTTGAGCTGTAAACTAAAACGAAAGAATACAGTTGTTAAGTTAATGTCACGATTCATTCTTCATTGGAAAAATAACTTCTTTAAATTCCACCACATGTGTAAATAACATTATATAAATTAATTTCACTATAGTTAACACACGCAGGGTGCAATACAAGCATCTTCAAAGCTTGAGTAAACTCTCAGCAGACGAATTGTTCTTACTTGTTTTCTAAAAGTCCAGTAGTCCATTGCTTGTCTATAAGTGCGTTCTGCCCATTCTTTTAAAATAACTTCGGGAGCTATTGTACTTTGAATCTAAATAGAAAATGAAGGAGTATATAATAATCTTAAAATATAACCAGGGAGAGGTGGTGTTTGGTTAGAACATTTTCAATCTTTATTGTTTACGCTGCAGTACTACTGACACACCCACCCCCAAACGCGAAATTTTAACATTTTCAAACAGCATAAAAAACAGGATGAAGAAAAACAGTAAAGATAATTTCAGATTCAAAGGAATAGATTCATTTTTGCACGCAATGAGTTCAAAATAACATGCTTTTAAAAAAAGAGTTGATTATTTATCTCCACTCATGAACATATCTGGATACGTGTGAACATGCAGGTTCCAGAAACTTACCTCTTTAAAATGTCTCTTAAAACCTGATGTGTACTTTGTTCTCCTTTTGCTTGAACAGCGGCTAATTTTTCATAATAAAGAGCAACTGCAGTATCTTCATCAATATCTTGTGTTGAATAATGCTAAAGAAAAATAACATAGATAAGCCGACATTACTCAAAACATCAGTAACATATGCATATGAAATTTATGTACACGAAAGACGCTCAATATATTCGACCTCTTTACAAGATTGTTCATTGATCTTCAAACAATTTTTATCATGACCGTAATGATACTATCATAATACAGACACGAACCTTCTTCATAATATCTTTAAATGAAATAGACGATGGAGAATCCTAAATCACCAATTTAAAAATACATTAAAAATTATCGTCATAATAACTACAAATAACGTCAACAGACGATACTGTTATATATTATCATTAAAAGTTGTTTACTTATAAATTATCATTGTACTCATTATAATTATGTATCAACAGTGGTCGTTGTACTGGGGCCGGTTGCAAGAAGCCTGAATAGCTTTATCCAATGGATAGGAAGTTTTTAAACTTTTATAAAACCTTTTAAAAGCAAAAGGTATGAGCTTCGAACTGAACAATCACTGAAATAAAACATTGTTTCGAAGATTACGAAATTTCTTTGTCGTAAGAAAAATATAAACACCTTTTTACAAGTTTGAAATTTTCGCTATCCAATGGATAACGCTATCCAGGCCCCAGGTCATTAAGTCATTTACCAAATAATGTTCATCTTATAGTAATAAAGTCAATGTATAAATCACATGTATCTTGGCAAATGATAGAAGAAAAACAAAATACCTGAATCAATCGCATTTGAGGAGAAACAGCAACAACTCTAGGTACAGTGAATAAGAGATGTCTTCTACTAGACTCCTATAAAATGTATAAAAAAAGTACATTAATTCCTAAATACCAGCCAAAAATAAATTTCGTACTAGAGTATAAATAAACTATACGATACCTTGCGTTTTCCAAGTAAAGATTAAGAATTCTTAACAACTGTAAAACCCTTTCTTCTCTTCGTGAGTCAGAGACACATGCATCATTAACGACCAAATATGGATAAATCTACAGTTACATATTATATTGTGTTGGAGAAAATGAAAGGGGAAAAATCATCGAAATTAATCAATGTAATTCATACAAATCAATATTTAATAAAAAATACGATTCTTACATGACCAAATTATATGCTACTAAGAGAGAAATGATGATTGGTTTGTGTTTATTAATAATTTCTATAGCTTTACTTACTTTGCCATTATTAGCTCGGATATACAATCTTCTAGCAGACATGTTATGTTTTTGTACCAGTCCAACACGAGGCATGAATTGAGCAATACGTATGGAATAATAACTATGCTAAAATAAGTCATAAGAATTAACGATTAAATGTAATGTCACATTACTAAAATATTATATTAATATAATATTCTGAAGAATTATAACATTCTAATATAATGATAATCTGAAGATGTCTTAAGTTAAAGACGAAACGTTATTATTAAAAAACCTTTTATCTTTCTTTATTGTATTATTGTGATGGCTTTTTTAAAAGTCTTATGTTGGGCTGTTATGTTCATATTGAATATTAGATTAATATTGTAAATTTTGCTTAAAAATCTGAGTTGAGCTAAACTTAGTTTTAAACAAATAACAAAAGCATTTCAGTGTAACAAGTGTAGAAAAAAGAAGCGAAAATGAATCTCAAACAGCATAAACATACGATGTTCGATTTGGGCATTAAAAATTCTCCTGGAAGTTCAACATCGGCTGTGGCGATGGAAAAGACACTAAGATAACGACAGCGCTCTTCAAGCAGAAAAGAACTACAAAAATTAGAAATGATATACACGAATGTTATCTGCCGAAAAAACACACTTTTAACCCAAACCTCCACACACCAACAAATAACAAAGCAATAACAGAATTAAACATTTCTTGTAATATGGTTACCCTAAAACTATTGTTGATATTTTCATTTACATGCTTTGCAAAATTACCTAGATAATAACTTTGTCTTTGCCTCCAAAATCTTTATCCATTTTTCAATTTGGCAATTAAATAATGAAGACCAAGTGAGCAAGGGGACCTAAAGCACAGAACAGACTGTTAAAGGAGCAAAGTTTTGCAAATCGCAAGTCTAAATACAACAAAAGATTATTATTTCTGATAAAACAAGTAGTTATAAACTAACTTAAAATCAAAATCAGCAGTAAACTGTTCTTTTAATTTTTGAAACATGGGATCCTGCACAGTGGCATGCGCTCGTCTTGCAAGAGACTCTGAACCTGTGGAGCCACTTTGCTGCGATGTAGCACCACCTAACTCAAATCCCATTCCAAATGTACTGACAAGCTTCTTCACATAACTCATCGTGTGAGGTGTCACTTTCGCATTGGAAACTGCAGATAAATAATCAAAAAAATATTGTTTGAAATTTTAAGGAATAAATTGAACGCATGTTTCATGGGCAAAACTAAAATGTTTATTGACCAGGTGGGTGCATGTATAAGTAGTTATATTTTCAGCTCTGCCTGAGTTTGAACTTTCAAAAGAAATTATTATGGCACAGCTAACGTCCTTCAATTATAGCGTTCTAGCTTTGCCGCTGGCTGGTTCAGCAACTGGCTGGCTGGCTCAGCAACTGGCTGGCTGGTTCAGCAACTGCATGAATATTACACTAACCATCTGTCCTTGTTTGAAAAGCGACTTGATAACATTTTGTAAGTACTTGACGTAACTGTCTTAAAACTTCTTCATGCCAGCACTCACGAAACCATGTCATCTAAATTTAACCAAAAGAAAGAAAGAGAAAATGAACGAAAAGCCAATCATTCTTTACAAAAATTACTTAATGAAAGAGAACTAAAGTATGACACTGATCTCATAAATATTTTCACCATACACGCTTGGCATTAATAATCGTCAACTTTAAAACAAACTTTTTAATTTTTCCTCTAACAAGTATTAATGATTGATTTGCAAATTCTCTTTGATTGATTTAATTGATTGAGCGCAGATCGGTTTTCACAGACCCAATGACCGGACGCGTTGAATTGTTTTTATTTTATAATTACATGTGTTGTGCATTTGCAAGTCTCGGGGACATTAGTGAGAACTCTGGACGAGATGCAAACCTCTATGCAGTGATCAGCTCTCTAGTTGTCCAAAAGGTCTCCTCAAAGCTAGTGTTAACACAGTAAACATCTTTTATTTCTAAATTGATCTATACCTGATCAACAATGCCTTCAAGAGCAGCCAGTAAAGTAGGATGTAGGTCACGTAACGCATGCATTATACGACTGCATAACCGCATTGAAGGAGTCACACGCATTGGTTCTCCTCCCCCCTGACCTACAGGAAGTAAAAAATAATACACTAAATATTCAACAGATGTGTCTTGAGCTCACATTCATCAAACTAGACTAGCTAAACAGTTAATCATAGCTATGTATTATATGTAGATATGAGGGATCAAATATGTACTGAGAACAGAAAATATGCAAAATTTGAATATTTTAACACGAAACTCGTCACTTGCCTTGTAAAGCAGCAGAATTGGAAGAGGTTGTTGAAGTGTTACATTCATTGGGTTTTAAAGCGCTATCTGAGCTGCTTGTTGAGTCAACTGATGAACTCTGGGACTAAAATATACACAAAAATCTCATGCAGCATTTATGTAGAAGTTTCCCTTGCACAAAGTTTAAAATAAATCGGGTAATCACTTATTTGGTATAATTACTAAACCATTTCAGCAGAAAAAGTTACACTTGCAGACCAAACATAATTTTCTCTTACCATTGAGGTCTTGTTAACGCTAGTTGCATTCTGTGTTACTGTTGAGATAGATAAGGTGGCTTCAACTTTGGTATTTTGTTCATCTGTAGGGTTAATCATTGTGGAAGTAGGTAATATAGAAGCAGTTGTCATTGTAGTTGTAGTTGTACTTGTAGTGGATGTCGTTGAGCTTTGTTTACTGGTTTTATTTGCTCCTGTGTTATTTTCATGTTTGTCTGAAATGAACAGAAAATGATTCTAAAATGACAGCATGCAGTTGAAACAATTTTGATTAAGAATAACAACATTTTCAAAAATAGGAACACTTTGATTGTTACTCTACATATACAGTGATTGTATAGAAATGGAAAATCGATGATCAGAAAAAAGTTTGTAAATATATGTATATTTGCAAAAAATATTTCACCACGATAGCCAAAGATGCATAAGTATCACTTACACTTTTCTAGGAGGTCCAGTTTTAATGCAAGATACAAAGTTCTGATAGGGAAATAAACAGCCTAACGAAGATAAAAAAACATCTTAAATTATTTGAAAAATAAACAATCATTAAAAAAGCTTCTGTCACATCAATTAACTTCGTTCCCAGGAAAATTCCTGAAAGCTCACAACAAAGAAAATTAACACTTTGAGAATGATATTGAGCACCAATAATCTGTGGGGAAAAAATCCCTACAACCTTTAACTTTGTTAGCCAGGAAATCATCATATGCTAGATTATAATCCCTATATAATAACATAGTAAACAAACCTGTGCGTGGACTCGACCAATTTGAAGAAGTAAGTTTGAAACTTTTAATCCATCTTTCCGCGTTAAGCAAGTGAGAAGCTGAGGAATCCTGAAGATGGAAAACCCGCAATATAGAAGAAAAACTTGACATGTTCATGCTGCGAAAACATTTTTTGTTTATTTACAGGAAAAACAACGAATGAAACATATTTTTGAAAGAAATGAATAATTTTTCAAAACAAAAAAATCTCAGGCTTTCTTCTCCACAACTTATTTCATTTTCATAAAAAAACAATGGAATTCTTTCACTGTAAATACATCAAAAAGGACACGGTGTGATAAACTAGTACAAAGCAATTTATTATTTTGTACAATTTATTATAAAAAACACCACTGTTTGAGAGTGGATTTGTTTTATCAAGAAATAACAAATTTTTGATACATAATCAAAAGTCTTAAATTACAATTTCTTTTTTTATCCATGTTTCTTTACATAATGTGAAAGAAGAAGTTTCAATTTCGTGAAAACGAGTTTGATTCAAAGAACAGCAACAAATTCATGATCGTGAAATGACGACATATTGTAAGAAAAGCAACACTTTTGTAAATTTTAAAATATCTATCATGTTTGCACGTCCCCGCGATAGCAATCCTCTAAAGGATAGTTCATAAATATATCTTACCATGGTAACCAATGAACAGGAGGCACTCCAACACAGTACTTCTCCAAAGCTTCTCCAAGGACACCCTACGTGCATATCAGTATAAAGATATATTCAATTATACAAACACATAATGTATGGTCCTTCTACCACTGTCAGTTTTAGTATCAATGAAAATCTGACACTTGGTCATTGTCATTGAGCATGAAAAAAACGAAATACAACAAACGAGAAAATAAAAGATATGGACTATTCATATAAAGCATGCAACTAGTGCAAAGAGTATTAGGTAGAAAGTGCTCAAACAGCTCAATGTTTTCTTCGACAAAAACTAAAGTACCTTTTCATCATCATAGGTAAGAAGCCAAAGAGTACGAGCGAGATACTTGCGACATTTTGCTTCGTTAGGGTTTCGACATGCTTGCATATAGCAAATGATAACATAAACTCCCAGTGTCATTGTTCTATACAAATAATTTATCTTTAGTGTCAACATATATTTATCATAATAGTTGAACAACAGTGAAATAATTAATTTGTACAATTGTATCTATTAAATCTAATAAAAAGCGTGACGGAAAAGAAATGAGAACATAAACAATAAAATTGAAATTTGTACAACGAAAATTGTAGATTTTGCTTATTTTCATAACTTTTCTCTTATCCTCTCCTGACGCGACCCTCGCTCGAAATATTGTGTACTTAAGGCATTCGACAAAAGCTGCTCAAATTATGTCATATTTCTGGTTGTATGACCAATGATGTAAATAAAGATTTTACTATGAAAAAACATATTTGAAGGTTGACTTTTACATCAATCAGAGAAATATAAAATTCCCAAAACGTTCAGTATTTTACCTTATGGTGTAAAGACAGAAAAGCAGAAATTGGCAAATAGGCTTTTGTCATTTCTATTTTCGACGTTTCTAGATAGTTTAACAACAATACCAGCATACCTTTCTTTCAGAAATATAGCAGCAAGATAGTCGCCCCACAGTGCCCATCCTTTGATCAAGTTGTCATGCATCTGTACGGCCTGTGAGAAGGCTTTATTTGCATCCTCTGATCTAAAGATTTTCAAAAGATCAAAATCTATTTCAAAATCTCCTTTGTATAGTTCAACAATGGTTGGCAAAAACTTAAAAAGATAATCGTTTAGTCAAAGCAAAATAATCTCGCCGTTGCTACATAAGAATACTACTAGTATAAAAAAATAAATTGCTCGTGTGTATGAAGAACAATAGATATTGTTTGAAATCCTCATTCGAACAAAAAGAATTATTTTCATCAACTGTATGGGGCATGTGCATCCGTAAATTTGATAAAAGTTAGTTGACATGCCAGCAAACGGCATTTTAAATGCTTGCTACGGAGTAAAAAGTACATGAACATTGGTCTTTCAAAACGAGGAAAACGTGCACAATAATTTCAATTTACCGTCCAATCTGCGCTAAGAAAGTTCCTTTTAATGCATAAAATTCAGCGGTCATTTCCTTTGAAAAGTACTTTAAATTTGTGCTTTCGATAACGTCAAGACCCTGAAAAAAGAAAAAGTTAGACAACCATTCAAATATTAACAATAATGGAACATGATAAATACAATATAAATATATTACCACAACACATGGAAACATAAATCTGACTTGACTATTTACCTCCTGCAATTCTTGTTTTCTCATTGTACCAGCCATCTGAAGATAGCATTTGACTTGTTGACGGATTTTTTGAAAACAATCAATTATTGGAACACTTGGGATCGTGTGAATTCTACGAGAAAAAAACCAAAAACATATATAAAAAAAATGTACTGAGCAAAATATATTGTTGAACAAATATTTTTCTACTAAGAGTCAATAAAAATGTCATTTCTATATGCGACGAGTAACTTTGTGCATGGTAGTTAATACATAAAGATATATCAATATTAAAACAAAACAACATTTTACCAGGACGTTTTATCAAAAATATATTCCCAGATTGTAAATTTTCCCACCTGCTAAGTGAATCCAAACAAACACCAGTTAATGATTGTTTCCTTGCAATTTGACCATAGCGAATAATTGACCACGCAGATGCGTGAACACCCTGCATCGAATGGTTGGTCTGAAACAAACAAAAAAACAACGTAATACAAGATCTTAAGCATATAATATTGATATGATTATGTTCATACAACACAAGCAGAGGAATTGGGTTGGAAACACTTATTAATTTGTATATTTAAAATATAAAAAAGTAGATAATGTGCACAGTCTTAAATGATGCAAAAAACGTTTAGATTTACATTTTTTATCAAATTTTCTGTTTTATGATAATGTAGACAGGCAAGATGAGATAGCCTCTATACATTGAGGGTTACATCAATTATCTCTCGATAAAGAAAATTTTTCAAACCTGATCATTTTGAGCTTCATAAGCACTAACAACAGCATTGTAATGATGATGTCGCCAATGAAATATGTCACTCCAGTGACTTAAACCATCAGATATCATCGGTAAACGGTTCCTACATAAATGGAAATCACAAGCATGACTTCAAAAGAAACGTCACATGTAGGTTGCTCACATTGGCGAAGGCTATATTAACACAGCTTAAAATATATCATTATGTAATGGTGAGATGACCAACTACGAGATATTTAGGTAGCTCTGTGTTGGAGGAAGCTTCAAAAAAACAAAGAAAATTTCATGACATAAGGGTGAAATTACTAACTTCCAGGTCTTAATAATTGCTTTCATGTCATGCAGACTGTTATTCCGACCAATACTTTGAGGTTGTATTCCCGTTCTGATTTGAGAAGCTTCAAGCAGTTCAACAATTTGTTGTGAAGCCTTTAAATGAAATTTGCAAGGAAAAAGCAAAATAAGCATGAATAAAAATACACTAGTACATCTTCTATTGAATTTTCCTTTGAGTTTATATCTTTTAAAACTCTTAGTTTTGTTAAACGAAAACTCTTTCGTTTGAAAATTGGCAATTTGTTGTACTATCCAATATATCAAAATATAAAGATAAATGATACTAAACGACTAAAATCATTATTTAAGCGAAGTCTTTCGTTTTTAAAACGAAGCAGATATTTTGAGATTTTAGTAATTCCCAACAATCATTCATATCTGAGGCAATGAATTGCTATCAAAATCATCAATGGATCAATAAAAAGTTTCCCTACCTGCAACAAAGGAACGTGTTGCTGTGATATAATACTTGGTAAGCGTTTCCACAGCCGTATGGCCTGGGCACATGAATTCTCAACAAATTTTTCCACATCACGTTGAAGCTTTGTAAATAATTTGGAAAAGTGAAACGACAACATGTTTTAATGTCTTAAAGTTTAAAACGAATAAAATCCTCAAAACTTTGTTCTACCACTTTTGGATGCTGCTGATCTTCGGAATTGCATATTTCAATATAGGCTCGATAAAGATCGTGTTTGTATAAAATAGAGTCAGGAAAACCCTTTTCAACCTAAAGATACAGTTGACCACTAGAAGTAACGTTCATCTACGTATGTATCAATGGCTGGCCAATTGGCATACTTTTAAAGGGGTTATTGACTGTTTCTTAACAAACCTGAGCTAAAGCTTCCTTCATCGATGGCCAATCAGGGACTCGCCAACCACTTTCCAAAACTAAAATGAATTTTCAAGATATTATACCAAGTTTTCATACATTGTTCGTAAAATCCAGTGCATTTCAGCTTCTAAATATTTATTAATTAAAAAAGCAAATATTATCATATGTTTCTCAACTTGGGAAAACCGATGCTCGGCAGATATGCTTGCAGCTAGTAGACAACGGGCATGTTATGGTTTCAAGGAGTTTCCAAAACTTTTCTCGAAATCCTTTTATCCAAACTCTAACAAATCTATACGTGTCACTTTTGCCTTCACTTCTTCCTTATTATTTAAGATGCCAAAAATTTTCTTTCTAAATATCAGTCTTTTCTCGTCTACCGACAATTTATCTGTTTCTAAGATTGCGAGAAATGTCGATCTACCTTGTCCAATGCTTTCATTTCTTCTCTGTCACGATTCAACGTGGTGTTTTACAAACTTTCATTTCTAACTACGTGAGGAACGTTGATATATTGCTGGATTGGTTTGTCTTTTTTTTACAGTTCTCGAGAAATATCTCTTCAATCAGTAAATATTGTTCAGTTCATTTTTATTTTCAACCTATTTGTTCATTTGGTATAAATAAATTGCCTTCCACTAACCCTAATATGCCTTCCATGTTTAAAAGATTAGTTCCCTCATCAGCATAGTAAAACTTAATACTCCTTACCCAAGAATGGATTGTTGTTTCCTTTTGATTTACCAAATTCCATAAGAAGATCCCATTGACCAAGTTCTTGAGAACACCTTGTAAAATACAATAATGGAACGTAATAATGTAACTCGTGGGCCGTAATAATGTAACTGGTGAACAGAATTTGGGATAGATAGTACGTACACAAACAATTTGAAAAGAATTGATCAAAACATAATTCACATTTCCTTATATTTCGACTAATTAATGAAAGAACTTTATTATCAAGTAAAATTATATGGAGGAAATCTCAAGAAATCTATAACAGAGAACAGTCGTTCCTGGGTCGTTTCATCAAACACGAAATATAATGTATGATGCAATGGTGGGAAACTAGACGCAACAAGCCGGTTTCCTTAATACATGCAGCAGTAGTAAAGTGTGTGAGTACAATCTTACTTTATCCAATGATCTTCCCAAAGTTTGTATTCTGGAAGAACATTAGCTGATGCAGGATTTCTACTGTGCGCGTCGCGGGCTTTCGTCATAGCCTGAAGGATATTGAATTAATGTTCAGTAAATCAGTAAAGACACACATCTTTTATGATAATACAGATTATTAAAGAATTTATTTAAATTAAGAACGTTTTCATGTCTCTTTTTTACTCACTAGTTCGTAAGTTGTTTGTGCTTGCTCAAAAAATCCCTGATTTTCATATGCAATTGCTGTCGCAGTTTCCGGATACCTAAGTTATTTAAGATCTTTTACAGAAAACGGATAATCACTACGACCAAGCGATTGACAATAACAACATGTAAAGATGAATGTTGAAAAATGGTTATTGTTATATTTTAACATCGGTGTTTGTTAATAATAAACAATAAAAGTTGCTTTAGTATAATTGGCACATTGATGAAGTCGAAGGAGTAAGAATATATGGAAAAGAGAAAAGAAAAAGAAGAAATAACATGATCAGCAGGAAGGGCAACTTAAAATATTATACAATGAAATATAACCTTTAACAGTTATATGTCTTATACAATGTAAACTATACAAGTTGCTTAGAATGACGTAGTCCAACAAAGTAAATTGAAAATATAGTACCTAGCCCTTCTTAACCAAAGTCCAGCCCACATATCTTCTTCATTGATTAGTGAATACATTTCAGCAAGAGAATCTAACGTTTCCTAAAGACAAAACGAGCAACTAAACTAAGGGTAAACAAACTCAATGTTGAGCAAGACAAAAATAAATTATCGACAGAAATAAAAAAATTAAAATGTAGCTGCGTAAATTGCGGCTGCTGAAACGGATAATATAATTACATGTCTTGCGTAGGATTAAAAAGAAAAACACAGCTTGCCCAACAATGTCCACATACCTGAGAATTAATATCGGAAACATCTTCTTGATAAACACTTTCCACCAGAGACGGCGATGGGTCAAGTAATGGTGGACTAACGTATTCCTCACATAAAGTAACATAATCTTCAAGCATTAATGTTGATAGGTGCCATTGATTGTGAGATTTGCCAAGATACTAAATAAAACGAAAATAAAATAAATGCAGTTGATATAATCCAATGAAAGGTATTTGTTGATGCTTGACTTTAGTCAAAAGGAGTTTGTCACATCTTGTATTTTAAATAAAACTTATAACTTCTAAAGCTTCACCTTAAGAATGGATGGTCGCATGGGAATCATAGGTTCACAACGAAGTATTGCTTGAAGCATTGTATGAACAACACTAGGATGACTGTCAAGTTGAACACAGTTTGTACCGCTGCACATAAAAGGACTTAACTCTCCCGCTAGAATCTAGAAAGTAAAATAATACACATCACAAAGTATGTAACATACAACAACAGGAGCGTATTTTATATGAAAAACGCAAACGAAAGACTAAAATTAAAGTAAGATACCTGCTGTTGTTTTTCGTTGAGAAGTTTCCAAAGTTCAGGGAAAAGGTAAGTCCATACTTCATGAGAAAGGGATGTATCACGGTGACAAAGCTGAGCCAAAGCTCCAAGAAATGGCGTTGACTGAAATAAAAATGATGATGGAGAAGGACTCTTCTGACTAGATGCTTATATTTGTGGCTCTAATTAATCATATTCGTTAGTTCATTCTTAGGTTCACACACATACACTAAAACTAAAGATTCAGTGACAATGCAAAGAATAAACACACTGCCTTACAGACTTGTTATTTTGAACCAATCTTAACATAAAAACATCATGAAAAAATTGGTATACCTTTGTATTTTTTTGTTCCGTTAAAAATTCATGATGTCTTTTGAGTAATGTCTTCAAAGCAAGATCACGATGGTTTGGGAATGCAAGATTAGCAAGGTATGATTCATCGTCCATGAGAGAGTAGATTTTCTAGTATAACATACAACAATTCGAACTTATGATGTTTAGTAAGACAATGATAATAACGTGATAAAGCATGTTATAAAAAGGAAGATAAAATACAAGCAGAAATGAAACAGAGCAGTATACAACACTAACCTCAGAGCATTCCTGTACAAATAACATGTTCATTTCCTCAGAAGATCCTACTGCCATGGGTTCTACTTTCGTAGGATCTGAGTCATTTTCTTTACACACTGTAATTTCTTTCGACAATGCTTTTAATAAATCTTTAGCTTCTTGTTTGCTGGATCTTTTCAAAATGCTCAACAATGAAGGCAATTTGTTAAAAGTACTTGACAAATGCAAGCGTCGTTCACACATGGCGGCAGCAAGAAGTAACTAAAATAAACTAAAGTCAATTTATCTGTAAGTTCTAAAGTACTTATAAATCAGGAAACTAATGGTTGCAGCTTGAAATTAAATAATAAATTCTCTCCAAAAAGCAAATATATTATTTATAAAATACAATGGAGTTTTGTGACTTTCATAAAAACTTGTCTAAGACTTCAATCACAAGCATAACTCAAAGTGTACAATGCGATACACCAATCAAATTACCTCAATGCATTGTTTGATCCAGAAATGACTTTTCATTGATTCCCAATTCTTAAAATGATCGGATGAGAAAACATAAACAAAAAGAGAAAATTGATAGAGAGATGCCAAAAATTTTTCTCTCCACTTACCTGTGAGCAGAAAATGTACAACAAACGTTCGTAAAGTTTCTTGCTGACAGTTAGATCAAATATCTGAACCATAACAAAAGAACATGAGTCATGTAATTTAATGTAATTTCAGCAATCTCTTTCGAAGTAATTCTACTGTGTAGTGGAGCATGTCGGGAATGAATTCTATTGTCTCGAGGAGCACGTCGGGAAAATGTAAAATCAATTTTCAGATATCGCTTGATTAAAGCATTGAGTTTTTCGAAAAAAATTAAAGTTATCTTAGAAATCTTCATGTGTACAAATGAAAAAGCGATGCAAGCAATTTGCTTTTCAGCACGTACAGTATGCTTGATTTTCAACAATAGAAATATTTACACATTTGCTATCTCAACGATACACAAAAAGTTGACCAACATTATACTGATGTTAGAAAGTCCCGAACAGTAACATACCTCCATGAAGCGAGACCTGATCTGAGGTTGAGTACACTTCAGTCCAGACATGAATGCAGGCTCAAGTTTAGCGACTAATTCTGTAGCAAGTAAACTCTCGTCCCTAAAAAATGTAACTATTTCAAACGCTACATTTAGCTAATCATAGGAACATAAAACGAAAGTTGAATTAGTCATATGTTTTCTTGGGTACATATTGATGAAGAAGGTAGAGCAATCATTGTGTATTTACTAAAAGCAAAATTACCTGTAGACGTAATTTATGAGCTCAAGATATTGTGCATGAAGTTCAAAATCTTCAGGAAAACGTTTTTCATAATTAGGCATCATACGACAAAGTAGTATGGCTTTCTCTCTTAATGTAGGGCTTTGCGGTGTCTATGAAGAGATGCAAATGAGCAAATTGCTTTGATTATAACGAACTGTAGTTAAATCACCTAGAAACACATGGTAAAACAAAAGTATTTACTTAACAAAACAAATTAGTTGGCGTATTTTTTTGTCAAAAAAGTATAGATATGAACCATCGTTATGAACATGTTTGATAGACCAAAAGTAACAAGAATGCCCTTCACAAATGATACATGCAAATATGTAATTATACAGAGCATTTTTCGAACACTTACAGCTCTAGCTTTGATCCATTCTTCCGTAACTTTAGTTATTCCTTTTAGTAATTTGGCATCCTTTGGTATATACAAGTGAACAAAAGAAATAATGCTATTGTACACTTTTTTTCTCAAGAAACTCATAAGTGGACTATAATAATCAGTGAAATGGGTTGTTTCAATATGAAACACAAGATTAATGAAACACCATTTAAAATGAGAAAATTTCAAATCCTTTTCCAAATAAAAACGGTCTTGGCATGGTCAAAAAAGATCATTCTGTGGTCGAGCCTGAAGTATTTGTTATTAATTTACATTAAATAAATATTTTAAATCTTTTAGTTTAAAATAATCAAAAGTGAATTCCATGCACAGTTATGGGTGCCAGATCATAAAATAATCACGGACCTTGGAGTAATTATTACATGAGTATTGTAACAACACGTTAAAAAAACTTACAGGCGATTTCTCAATAAGTTGAGCAAGAATGAAAATGAACAATTTTCTTGCTTCTGCATCCATGGAACAAAGACGAGACTTGACAAGATCAACACATGTTATAAGCATATCACCTGTAACGACAAGAAAAAACAACTTAATAAAACACACCAAAGTAATTGCAAAACATGGAAGAAACGATTGCGAATCATTGTTTTGCTAAAATTAAACAATATGCTAAATCGCTAACCATACATATACACGCTCTCACGTTATCTATTCAAATTGATTGGCAATAAAACCAGTGATACTTCGTCTTTATTACAAAGACATTGGTATTTTTCTTCGTAATAAAGACTCGATCTGTTCTAATAAACACGTTATCAGTTCTAATTGGTCGGGAATGTTGCAATATCATGGCAGACGTACCAACTGATGATCCACCAATATGATCCTTATGCATTTTCTGTAAAGCTCTTATACACGGATTGATAAGCCTGAACATTGAAACAAAATATCCAATTAACATAATTTTAAAACGTTTGTTGCGTGTTTCTTGTGGACAGATTGGACAATTCAAAAGCATACATACAGCATACAGTATATACAAATATGTTCTCTTGGGTATTTTAACTTTAGCAGAAAATTAATTTTCATTGAACGCATACCTGTCTATGTAAGACGGGCAGCTCGAAAATGCAGCTTTAAGAAACAGCAATGGACCTTGAAGAGTGGATGTAGCTAGCAACTTGTGTGGCAGACCTGTTGAGTACGCAAAATAGGATGAATAGTTGAGTACGCAAAATAGGATGAATAGTTGTATTCAACTTTGTACAGTATTTGTTCTGTGAATCCACGTACAACTGTTTAATGCTCTACAATTATTATAACATTTCATTACATTACAAAACGTAATTTCCAAATACATTGAACAAAGAGTTGTATTTCTTTAGTAATTTTCACAAAAACAAACGAGCGAACATACTTGGCATAATTACTCAGTCCTTCATAAATAACCTTCCCAAGGTTTGTATATAACAACTCAAGCTCCTCGTATTTGTCGGTGTTCGTTGCTGTTAAAAACGGACACAAAGTGAACCTAAAATTTAAATGACAAGACAAAAATACCTCCAAAACCACAGAATAATTTGTTTACCTGACTCAAGGGGAAAGAGACTTGTCAATTTTACTAAAAATGTATGAACAGCTCTGATAACTTTGATATTTTGACAAGTCATACATGCCACAACACCACGTTGTAATGGTTTAAGTAATTGTAGACAATGCTCACGAGGCTAAAATAAAGAAATAGAGAATTCTCGAAAATATAATTGACTGTTTATTTCATCAAAGGTTTGTCAAAAGTTTTAAATTTTAAAGAAGAATAAGATGTCTCAGGATATTAATAAAATAACGAGTAACAAATATTAAAAGGAATTGATGGGTTTACCACAACTGTAAGGAGATATGTTAGAACTTCCAAACCAGTGCAAACATTATTGAAATTTGTTCCAGGAGTTTGATCCTAAATATTAAAACCAAACATAACACATTATATATGTGATATCTTATACAGCCCATGACCATGAAAGATCACACAATGACTCTCTTCATTTTATATGTTGTATACAGCATGTTTTTTAAACAAACCAGTTTAACAATGATTATATTCAATCAAATGAAAATAGATCTCTTAAAGTCAATCTCAGTCTTCTAAAAGCTTGAACAATGCACTGACGTCATATACTTACCAATGTAACGAACAATTTATCAAGCCACGCTAACTTGAGATCACTCCCTTCAGAGCAAAAACACACAATTACAATTATATTCTATAATGTCGAAGGCAGAGCAATATCTTCTCTTGCACTAAGCTATCCCCTTACACAATCCCGAGATCTAACAAGCACGTGATTTCAAAGGTGCGCTCGGGGGTGAAACATATTTTATACATATTAGTAGCTTGAAGAAAGACATCAACTATGCCAAAAACTTCACCTTGCCAAAACCCAGGCTTCAAAGCAGTTTTCAAAAGTAAAACACATCTCTTTGATAACGCTTCTCCTGGAGAGCCCACGGTAGTTGACGACTCGTTCACCTATCATTAAAACGTTATGTAACTACCATTTCACAAATTGCCAATTGTTTTCTAGAAACTCGCGTACATGCAATATGCAAATCTTAAAGATCACCTACGTGACAAGCAACTCGAAGTAAAAAATTGACAACAGCATCAGCATGATGTTTTTCAACAGGAGCACGTAGAGATGCTGAAAGACTTCCGTCTTTTGGTACAGAAACCTGAGGAGAATACATTATATGTATTAGGATATTTTAAGTCGCAATAGAACATCCTAACATGCACATTAACCCTGCGTGCACATTTTACTATACGAGTATATTTAGACTTGTCTTCAGCATCAAAGTTAAATGTGTAGCTCTACCTGTGTTGTTATCTTTGCTTTTTTTGCTTCTTGATTTTGAGCAGTTTCCTCTGCACTTCGTTTCACTGCTCCCTTAAATGAATGAAATTAAAAAATGCTCATCACAAGAAACAAAAATTGATCATTCAATATTGTACATCAACAAAGAAAAAAGAAAATCATTCATATAAATAAACTGTGCATAAGTCTTTACAGTTTGTCAACACATACAGTTGGAGTTTCTTTTTCTTCCACTTTCCCTACAGCATCAGACACAAAAGTATGATTGCAAGAACACTTTATACAGAATTCAAAACAAGTTCACTTGTAAAAAAGCGTGCTAAAATAAATATTTACCTCCGTAGAATCTTGTTTTTGCTCTTCCTTCGTTCGCCTTATCTCCCACTCAATAATAACGTTAGCCAGATCAACAGCAAGTTTGCGATTTTCTATTGTAGCCTAAAGATAAGTAAAAAGGTCTCAACATACAAAAACTAGATTATGTGTAATAACTAAATAGATCCTCACACTGCTGGTAAATCCAAGCTTCTGCATTGCAGAGATCATGTGTTGAATGAGATGATTTCTTACAAGATAGTAAACTTTATAATGACGCACTAGGAGCTGTCTAAAAAACAACAGTACGATAGTTTTTAAGCACAATTTCCGATGGCCAAAAATTTCAGTTGTATAAAACATAAATGTGAGCTAAGCCGTTAAAAAAAAGTACTCTGGAAATCATTAATGGTTATTACAATATTTCGTTTATCTGAAGACAACTGAAAGATTTAACTCAACCAATCTCACTTTTTGTTAATGGCACTTCAAAAGACGCAATACCAGCAAGGGAAACGTCCGTGTTCATTAAAAACTGAAACTTTACACATTTCAGTATCGCAATATCAGTTTACAAAGTAAAATCGTGTCTCTGATTTAACAAAACAATGAAAACAGTCAAGAAACATACAGCATGTGAACAAGTTGAGGTAACGTATGTCCATCTTCAACAATAATCTTTTTCGTCCAGTGGGCTAACATTTGCTATGGAATAAAATACAAACAGTAAGAAAACAAAGAGCTTGAATGTTCATGATCGGTAAATTTCAATCATCTAAATTTTCCATTTAAAATACACGTAGCTAGTGAGTTTAAAAAGAATTTAGTTCAAGAAAAAAGCAACAGTGTCAGCCACTTGAACAGACAAAAACGTAACGGTTTGTTTCCTAGAAAAAAGAAGTAAACAAAACAAAATCAACAATTCAAAATCTTTCTTACATTTCCATCATCCATTCTTGTAGGTACAGCTGGAGTCAAGATAGCAAGAGCTTGACGAACAACATTACGAGCTTCTGCTGCATGAGCTTTTAACAAACGATGAAATACCTGCAAAACGATTTCCAATGAATTAAATGATGAGGCATTCTTTGCTCAAAATGAAAACTTAAGTACATATGAAGTATCGAAACATTTTAACTGTCTGTAAGCAGCAGTTGACATGTGTTACAAAAGCGAGTGAAAAGTCAATATTAAAAGTATGTAAATCAAGAAACTGGTTCATAACTCGAATGTAGAAAGTACATATTGAAGGACAAGAAAATATATTTATTCTTATATTATAGTGATGATATCTTTTGAGCGTCTTTTGAAAAGAAACAAACTTTTGCTGTAAGAAAAAGAAATAAGAACTTAGAATGACATATGATGTAATATTTATTCAAAGACATCATCAGACTTATGAGTCGAATAAGTCTGATGATGTCTTTGGAATAAAAACGAAGTATTACACCATCTTTAGAATGACATGGGTATTGGGGATATTCGAATCGTACAGAGATGAAAACAGGGATTCTTAATTATGAAGTTTGGCTCTTATAGAGAAAAAACTGTTCTAACTTAAAGCAAATTAATATTCGGGGAAAAAAACTAACAAATCCTGCCTTGTTTTTCTTCCTCTTTAATCCATCCTCTTTCATTCCTAAAAAGAAACATTTATTTAAATGAAAATGATCAAGTTTGAAAGTTTTAAGTGGTAGTTAAGAGATTACAAGAACATGGGTATTAGGCAAAATTAAACTCATAGTAAGACAACGGGATGATTACTAGGATAATTAAATCTCAAGGAGATGAAACAGGGATGTAAAGTTGGGATACTCAATCTGGCAGAGACGAAACTGGGATGCTTTATTGGGAAGTCCGACGACTCTTATTGAGACAAAACTGTTCTAATTTTAAGCCAATAAATATTTGGGGAAAAAAACTAACAAATCCTGCCTTGTTTTTCTTCCTCTTTCATCCATCCTCTTTCATTCCTAAAAAGAAACATTTATTTAAATGAAAATGATCAAGTTTGAAAGTTTTAAGTGGTAGTTAAGAGATTACAAGAACATGGGTATTAGGGAAAATTAAACTCATAGTAAGACGAAACGGGGATGATTACTAGGGATAATTAAATCTCAAGGAGATGAAACAGGGATGTAAAGTTGGGATACTCCAATCTGGCAGAGATGAAACAGGGATGCTTTATTGGGAAGTCCGACTCTTATTGAGACACAACTGTTCTAATTTTAAGCCAATAACTATTTAGGGAAAAAAACTAACAATTCCTGCCTTGATTTTCTTCCTCTTTCATCCATCCTCTTTCATTCCTAAAAAGAAACATTTATTTAAATGAAAATGATCAAGTTCGAAAGATTTAAGTGTTAGTTAAGAGATTACAAGAACATGGGTATTAGGGATATTAAAATCGTAGTAAGAAAGATGTTTAGTAGGTAGGATAATCAAATCTTAAGGAGACCAAGGAGGGATGTAAAGTTGGGATAATCCAATCTTGCAGAGCTTAAACAGGGATGCTTAATTGGGAAGTCTGACTTTCATTGAGAAAAACAGTTCTAATTTAAAGCCAATAAATATTTCAGGAAAAAAAGTAACAAATCCTGCCTTGTTTTCTTCCTCTTTCATCCATCCTCTTTCATTCCTAAAAGAAACATTTATTTAAATGAAAATGATGAAGTTGAAAGATTTAAGTGTTACCCTTAGGGTTACCCTTTTAGTGTAAGATTTTATTCTATTCTTGCTGTGCTTAAACAGGGATGCTTAATTGAGAGGTTTGTGTCTTGTTGAGGGAAACTGGGATACTTTATAGGGAAGTCTGACTCTTATTGAGACAAAACTGTTCTAATTTAAAGCCAATAAATACTTGGGAAGAAAACTAACAAATCCTGCCTTGATTTTCTTCCTCTTTCATCCATCCTCTTTCATTCCTAACAGAACAGAAAAAAAACTACAAAGTAGAATTTTTTAAACTTGGCCATATTATAGATATTCATATTGTCTAAAATATATCCAAAATCTGGAGAGCGCACAAAAATTTAAAAGGAATAATACTCCTTGAGAATGTACTCTGGTATAAACTGTGAAGTTGGCACCACTCTCGACAAATGGCTCTATAGTTAATTATTTAAGATCATATTAAGCGTATTCGTGTCATCCGACTTTGTTGATGATTTTCTACAACATATAATTATCTATATATTCTGGCCAAGTTTCAAAAAATTCTACCGTGCAGTTTTTAAATTATAGGCTGCTAATTAAGAGAAATGTAATATAAATCTTAGTGTTTTCTTCAATTTCTTGACTTTTATACATTTTTTTGTGATGGTTAACGACAGTAAAATAATAATAAACAGTTAAGAATTTTTTTTTACTGTTGTTTTTGATGGAAAACGTGTTTTAAAGACGATTTTTCAATTTATCATTTTAAATAAATTTTATTGGAATGTGGTGCCTTTTCACGGTAGTTAGTGATTTGCGCGCCATTTCATTGTATTCACCATGCTTTCAAAATGTTTTTCTCCCCTCCTGATTTCAATCAACGAGTATCATTTCAATATTAATAATATATTACTTATATATTTAGTCTTCATGAAGTTCAACAAATGAAATGAATAAAATGTGAAGTCATTCCCCTATAAACCTGTGAAATATGTTCATTGAAACTTTCACTTGTTTTATTTACTAACAAACACACACCGACGACTTTTTCTGTCAGGTGTAAACAAAACAAACAACTGAGAAAGAAACAATGTGAAACATGGCGGCGTTACCTTTTTCTCCTCTCGTCGTAGTCATTTTAAATCATAGTTTCGCTTCTGCTTATAACTCTCAGATGCACACTTTTTAATCCGTCCTCACACTTCACGACTGAAGTAATATTGCGAATTTTTCTTAATATCAACGCAATTCAGCCTCAAATTACACCTACCGAGCCATTATCAAACGTAGTCACAACAAGATGGCCGCCATCTATTTATTTGACATCCATTTCATCCCCGACTTACACGTTTATTAATGCTTCAAACCCATTCTCTGCTTGCTTATCTCAATGTTCAAACCCCTTCCTTGCTTGCCGCTTTCCCTGTACTGCCTTCGCCCTGACTTACTGCCCTGTACTGTCTTTGACTTACTTTATACTGCAGATATTATAGGTCACCATATTCATCAAATTATACAAATTATTCAGTAAATATTTAAATTATTCATATTACTTCAAACTTATTCGGGTTCATTATGATCATTACAGGAGTATTATAATTACTTTAAACTATTGACAAAAAGACAATTTACAATATTATTTTATCGCATTTATCTATCAAAATTGTGTGGGGCAATTTTGACAGACAAAGCATTTAACTTAAACTTCATCTAAATAAAGTAGGAAGGAAGGGGAACTTCCAACTTTATTTAGATTGACAATTATACTTATAGTGGAGCCAAACTATAATCTTAACTATATTACCATAAGCAAATTCACTGAACATCAATTCTGGGCTGGTTTTCCTTGAACAATTACCATTAACAGCATTATTATCATCGTTTCCTTCAATTTCACTTGTATCGCCATCTGAAAATAGAATGTGTTTCCAATAGATTTTAAACACAAAAACATATATTAAACATGTTTCATTTTGATGAAGTAAAAAAAATGAAGATTTTTCATGTTTAAATTGGGTTGTAACATATACAACAAATTGCTCATCGTCGGTTTTCAAATTATGGCAAAAAAGAATGTTACTAAAAGAATGTATAATCTTTGAAGATGAGTCATCTCAAAAGCAATATCTGCAAATTACAACCATTTACAACACAACGCTTCAATAATTGACACAACAAAGTCAACTCATGGTTTGAAGAGTTCCGCAGAAGCCGCATTGTCATCAAAAACAAGCATCGTAAGGCAAAAACTGCAACGAAATTTTAGATGGAAAATATAACGAAGCAGCAAAAATCGACGCAGAATTTTAAAATCATCTCAAACGAGTGTGCCGTTAAACGCATATCAATTAACAAAACATACCATGTTTGTTGTCCATTATCTGCTGACATAACGTGCAATTTTTTCCCAATTACTCCATTTGCAGCCAGAGTCCATTGATTTTACTTCTTTTAACACACTTCTTTTGCATTTGTAGCGCACCAATGTTCATTACATTGAACTCCACTGCTTACAATCTTTGACGATGAGTCATCTCAAAAGCAATATCTGCGAATTAAAACCATTCGCAACAACGCTTCAATAACCTGTGCGAGGGAAACTTAAACAGAAGTTCAATTCTTGGTTTAAAATCGCATAAAACACTTCGGAAGAAATTCTTCTTTTCTCAAAAAACAGGCATCAAAACATAACCAAGAAGCGAAAACGTCAATCATGGCAGCGACTGTCGTACTTAAAAAACATCTGAAGAGACAATAACAAAACATACCAATTCTGTTTTCATCTATAGTCCATAATCTCTTAAGACTTAGCCCAGTTTCTTCCCCAATAACATCAACATTTCATTGAAATAGTAATTTAGTCCAACTGCTGAGATGTTCACAGATGCTAAAACAAATGGACTAAAATACAGATGAAACAATTCACTGTATTTTAGTCCATTTGCTTCTTGTCATCAACGGGTAAATTACTCCAGATTATCGTACTTTTGGTGAAAATCACCAAAAATTCAACAAACATTACAGTCATAAAACACATATTTTCGGACCAATTTATAAAAATTCCTGGGAATTTTTCAAAAGTTAGAAATGTTTTTAAAAAACATGTTGAAATGAAATAATTCTTTCTTCAAACAGTACATAAGCTGCTAATAATTTCTACACGAAAAAAATATCACTGAAATAAATTCTCTGGAAATTTTCCATAATATTACAACAAACTAAGAAATCTTTGTACGCTTTTGTCAGAGTAATTTACCCCTCATTGTCATTTAGCTCCACTATTGATTTGCATCACAGCTTTAGTTGCTTTCATATCTGAAATGATTAAGCACAGAAAAAGAAATATCATCTCAAGTATATTATTCATGAATGTAAATAAACTCATATAAACAATTACAACAACAAACCAGTTTTGACGTTACAACTCCTTTCATTTATTGCAGCATGTTCTTCTTTCTTTTATGGGAGTCCACACACAAACGAAATCCATCACCTTCTTCATTTTGCATGAGCTTAAACAAAAAGTGCTTAAAGAGACAAAATACAATTAGGAAGAAATCAAAACAGTCATATAATTGAAATACAGAAATAACAACTTCCTTTTATTCTTCTCTATCTTCTCGGCCTGCACGATAAGGAGCCTATTCCGTAACCTAACTAAGATCGGGATCGAGAGAGGTATATCCATAGTCCGGCGTGTGACAGTACCACCTCCCCTCGTCGTGGCCCCGCATGCCTTATGTTTTTATGATATACTTTCGAAACATGTGTTAAAAATGAAACATTTTGGAATTATATGGTCAGAAGTGAAACATTGTCGAAATATGTAATCAAAAAAATTTTAACATTAAATTTTTTTAACATTGTTGAGAATTTTTTCTTTGTCAATGAAGAATTTCCTACCTAACCTTGAGTATTACAATTTGTTACTTACTCACAAGCAAAACAAAATAATACATACAATGGCAAAATCAGAAATTGAAATTGTTAACTAAGCACTCCCACAAATGCTTAGTTGCAATTTGACCGGCTTTAACTCCCCTTCTGTTAAAGAAGTTGACATGCACTTTCATCATTGTTCAGAAAAATCACAATTGTTAATAAATCTTTTTGTCATTTTGGTACAAGTAGTAACAAGTTGTAATGCTCCTTACTTGGTTGGTACCAATACTCCTTCATGCATGCACAATCATTCTTTTTTTTTCAGTTTTCACATAATGAAAATTCAGGGAAGTCATTGGGTAGCTGGGTCGATGTGCGGTGACGCCACCCAGCCAGCAGAGCTGAAAAAAAAAAAAACAACATACAATTAACGATAATTAATACAGAACTGCAAACAAGCAAACTTACCTCAGCAACGCAAGTTTCTTCCATTGTTGCTGAGATGGAAGTGGGCTTAATGGATTTGTTGACGTCTTGGCAAAGATACATGTCCCCGTATTGACCTTCAAGTCTAAGGTGGTTCCTCGTCCAAACCTTATCCAAACATTTGTAAACTCACCAGCTTAAACCTTACAATGACACCAACTACACACAATAACATAGACCCTTTTATTTTGCTCCCTCAGACAAACAAAGGAACTTTTCTTAACTTAACTGCTTGACTTAATTATCTAAGAATGTATCTTTATCAGAAAATTTCATTGCGGGAGCCTAATGGGGCGCTCTAGTCCGACATGACCACGTTACGTTAAAGCGAGCTCCGAAGAACACGCAACCCGTCCTTTGTCAGGGACCTTCTCTCAGCGCACCTAGCTAAAGGGAGGGAAAAGGAGCAGGCCTTGTACCACACGATGATCATCTAAAGCAAAAAAGGAATGAGAAAAACATTTTAATAATTAAGAAAAAAACATTTTAATAATTATTCCCACCGTCGATAATCCTTGAACAGATACTCAAGCTTTTCATCAGCTTGTCACCTGAAACAATAATCAAAATAACAGGAATTAAAAGCGAAATAGTATTAAATGATATGTTTCATTATTAACAATCAATTAATGACCAACAACAACAGTAACTGTTTCAAAGTGTGTGTATTTTATTACAAGACAACATATTCTTAAAAGCCTTCGTTTTGCTCTTTATAGTTCAAAACAGAAAAATTAACATTTCATACATACAATGCGACATGTACACGACGAACGACACTTTTCGCTTTATTACAAAAACATGGCAAAACGGCAAATCATTCATATTCATTAATTCATCATATAAAATTCAAAATTTTCAATCCTTGCCACGCCCAACAACGGCTTTCCTCCATTGTCAAGTTGACTTTTTGTAAAGGAATGATGTGTGGTTAAAAGAATGTGTGCCGAAAACACTAGTTTTAATTAAAGTCATGAAAGCCGCGTTTGATGATGAAATCTTTGTGACTATCTATAAACATCTTTACACTTTTCAAAGATCACATTCAGTTTCAGTTTCAAAATACAAATTTCTTTCGTAAATATAAAGCATTGTGTAAATGTTTGGCTTTCTGCTAATAAATAAGTAATAATGAGCAAACTACTTACATCATGTGGCTTTGCGCTTCGTAAACATTATTCTTCATGTATGGCGGTGTCAAAACTAAAACGAGAATTTCTTCTTTTAATGTATATTGCTCTATAAATGTATTTTTTGAGGATGGAGCAAGAGGCCGCTGAGAATCTGTCCATTGTTGCATATTTCAAATGGTTTTGAATAAATGTCGGAAATGTCGACAAAAATCTTCCACCAATAATTAAATATAATAGATTTTTACGAGATGATTTTCATCACAATACCTTTTTTAAAAGTATTCCTGACTCTGGCAAACGTGAAAATCAAGTTGTTGTTGATTATATCCGCTAAATACGATTGAAGAAAAACATCAAGCCAAGAATTATCTAAAGATTATATAACATAAACTTACCACCACATCGCTTTCAACTTTAAAGATAATGGCTTCTTCACCAAACTTCAACGAACGAAGTGTAACATTGCCTAAATATAAAAAGAGTTATTTTGCAAAGGAAGCAAAACGAGAAATGAGACAAACAATCAAACAATCATAATTGTCACAAGAAAACCACCAATACTTTGCATAAATTATCAAATTCACAGTATACTTTGAAATCACAGTCCAAACTTACTTTATTTTACAAACATACAATGCGAATTGTACAGACGACGACGACACTTATCACTTTATTAGAAAACACGTCATATAGAGAAAAGAAATAGCCACCGTAAGGTTGCTGCAAAAGTGCAACGTCAATTTAAATTTATTGCAAAACATCAATCAAATTCATTCATATTCATTGCACAAGTTTAAATTCATCATATAAAATTGAAAATTTTCAATCCGTACCACGCCCCAACAACGGCTTTCCTTTAATCTTGCAAGTTGACTTTTTGTAAAGCATTGATGTGTGTTTAGTCTCTTTTACCGAGAATTTTCTTGTAGATGGACAACATTTCCAATTAGACAGAATATTTCACAATAAAAAAAACCGTGTGTGAAAAACGAAACTTGTAAAATTGTAGTTGTTCATTTCTTTTTATGCAAGAGAGAAACCGCATGTTATTGGCAGCCTTACAGATCTTCTTTCTCAATCAGTGTAAACCATATATTTTCTTTTACTGCTCAACAATCTTTTAAAGAAAAGAATGTGTTTGAAACCAGTTTCAGATTATATTTTAAGCCATGAAAGCCGCATTCAATGATGAAATCTATAAACATCTTTACACTTTTCTAAAGATCACATTCAGTTTCAGTTAAAAATTTATATTTTTCTCGTTATTATAAAGCATCATTTAAGTTGCGTTATTCATAACAGCTTAGCTTTCCGCTAATAAATGAGTAATGAACAAAGTACTTACAACATGTGGCTTTGAGCTTCGTAAACATTCTTCGTTTGTGGCTGTGACAAAACTACAACGAGAATTTCTTCTTTAATGTACATATTATTACTCTATAAATCAGTTTATTGACGCTTAAATAATCGCGATTATTCTTACTACCTTGAAGCAATTGAATGAACATTGATGCGAAACGCAAGGCGCCTCAGAGTATTTCTCCTTGTCCATATTTCAAATGGTTTCTTTCAAATATTTCAGATAAACGGAACTTTCAATGAACTGAAACAGCACCTGGTAGAAATGTCGAAGAAAATCTTCCACCAATAATTAAATACAATAGATTTTACGAGATGATTTTCATCACAATACCTTTTAAAAGTATTCCTGACTCTGGCAAACGTGAAAATCGAGTTGTTGTTGATTATATCTGTCTGCTAAATACGATTGATTAAAAACATCGAGCCAAGAATTATCTAAAGATATAGAAACATGACATAAACTTACCATATCGCTTTTAACTTCATCGATAATGGCTTCTTCACTAAACTTCAACGAACGAATTGTAACATTGCCTATAAATATAGAGTTATGTTTGCAAAACAAGCAAAACGAGAAATGTCCGACGTCAATATATATCACATTCCAAATTTACTTTCACGTTTTCAGCCAAAGCTCTTCCTTGTCTTCATCTCATCAGGCAAACAATAATAATAATTTTGACAGCAAGGCGCATAAGAAAACCACCAATACTTTCCATAAATTAACAAATTCACAGTTTGAAAACGGTCCCTTTCTTCTCTGCCAATTGCTTGTTAGAAGTTCATCAAACTAAATATAAAAAATGTTATGTTCAAAGTAAGCAAAATGAGACATGTGGGAAGCCATTATCTCACAGTCCAAGTTACTTTACACGTTTTGCTGCAAAAGCTGGTATTCATTTTTTCCTGTCATACATACATAAATAAACAAACATAAAAAAGTTTTCTCAACGCTTTCCATTAAATTAAAGATTCGTGGTTTTTACTTGGACGACAACATGCTGCTAATCCGAGACTATTTTTCTTCAATCAAAATGTAAATTAAACAATGGATTTCTGTCATGTTTTGCGTCTCACATGATCATATAAAAAGCATCAAACCTTCTCGCCTGAAGAAAATTGCGGTGAGTTTGCTTGCTTCTTTAATTTAATTATCACACAACGCTTACGACGACCGCCCACTTGCACAGGCACCGTTAACGAAGCCAAGCATTGCATATCAATATAAATGATTGTCATCAGCTGTCAAACTTGTCATTTTCGTGGGTGTAACTTAGGCCTGTTTCAAACGTCGAATTTTGCATGTGTTGAACGAATACAATAAGCAATTTTATTAGACCAAAATGCAAAATTTGATCGTGGATTTCAAACGTCAAATTTTGCTGGCGTTCAATGCAATTATTACCCTTCGCTTTATCTCGTTCCAGACTTTGTTGTGAGTGAAACGCGAGCCAAATTGTATTCGACACATGCAGAAATTGTATTCCTTCGTTTAATATGTAATTGTGTGGGTATAATTCTCGGTGAATAAAATTACATTACTGCATGTAGGTCAAGAAATTAAGACTCGAAATAATAAAACAAAAGTAAACCAATCTCAAAAAATTCCATAGTAAATTTTCAGTTATTTGTGATAATTTTCTATTGTTCAACCGCAAACAGCAAACGTATATTATTACTCACTTTAAAAGATTTTTTTTTAAGACATTTACCATTATGTGTAATGCCCAATAACAAATTAGTACATAGTTCTCTGCGCTTGATAACATGAAAGTTGTTCTATCTACTACACACTTTTCTAGTTAGAGTTCATTTTATATTTCTACAGAGATTCGGCTAATATTCATAATCAATCAATTTCAACAATCAATATCACAAGAGATCACTTTATCTCACATCAACTGATTTCCGTCATTCAGTCATTACTATCAATTATACATCGCAAGTCAACAACACGAAATTTCAAAATTTTCCGATTTGAATCGAAAATCGGGTTAAAAATTAGGTTAAACTTATTCCTTTTTAGATTGTTTAAATAAAAATATATCTAAACAATGAAGTGTAACTGAAAACATTTAAGAAAAAGTAAAATTCCTGAGAAAACACAACAGACAAATCAACTAATTGTCTTCACAAAAAATAATGGCCTTTTGCTACATAAATACAACAAACAAAACACACTTACTTCTCTTGCAGACTTCCGACCTACTTAACTCCAAATTTCTCTCTCAAAAACAAATCACCTTTTGCTACGATCGTGACTAAAACACCACACGAGTACATACGAGTACATACGAGTAACATACGAGTACATACGAGTAACATACGAGTACATACGAGTAACATACAAGTACATACGAGTAACATCAACCCAGTCTCTTCCTTAAATTAACTCTATACGCTAATTGTGAAAATACCCTCAAATTGACTCTATAAGTCAATTTGAAACGTCCATTCAAAAAACAGGCCTGGTGACTTGCCTGCCTGGTCGCAACCACGCAATCCATCATTTACCGCAATCTACTATCCCGCGAAGTTTTGGATATCCTCAATCGTTTATTGTAAAGTGTATGCTCTTCTGATTGAATTTTTTTTTAAAATTCAATTTAAACTTTAATATTAAGTTGCGTGGTTCGCATTATTGCTGAAATGGAAGAAAACAATGGTAGTGGTAAGTAATTTTACACATTACACTTAAGTTATAAAATTACAAATACTGAAATACATAGGCCAATCCAGTGGCTAATTTATGTATTGAAGGCTATATTAGCTTTTAGAAGACGTATACTTTTGCTTGCTTTTTGAAAAGATAAATAAGAGTGCTTATCCATTCTCTTTTTGGTCATAAATGCATCTTAATGAGCAAACATCAACTCTAGTACACTATTTTACAGATAGAAATTACTATACAAAACTAACAATAGCATGCACATATGAGTGATATGATTTAGCTTAGTTAGCTACACCAGACTGACAGAAACAGTCCACAAGTTAAGGTAACCTTGAGCGAATATTGATTGTATAAAACAAATAAGCTTCAAGATTACAATGTTTTAAATACTAAGTAACTTAAGTTTGTCCAGAAGACTTATATTTTGAAAAAGAAAGTTATTTCAAGTTAACTTGAATAGCTGCCAGTATCATATTGCTGTGATCACCTGCAAAATACATGTCAATCTGATGTTGTACATATTTTTTCTTTGACAAGTTAAATTATAACAATTTACATATGTAAATGTGTACAAGACTTTCCATCTGGCAAGTTAAACTGTAAACTATTTACCATCAAAAAGAAGGGTATTTTCATGTTCAATGTAAAAATTATATAGTTGGACTAAAACCTTTGGCATTGTTACCTTGCTGTTCCTCAGTATGTTTTTCTCGATATCACAAGCTCATTTATTTGTGAAGTTTGTTAATTAGTAATTACAATATTTTAATTTTTAAACATTATTTTTTATAGGTTTTGATGTACTAGCTTTAGATGATACAGAATATGTGGATGTATCTTCCAAAAAATTTGTAGGTTCATCAAATATTTATTGCAAATGAAATATGAGAAGTGTTATAGCATCCTAGAGTCATAATGATTGTGCCCAACAGTGATATAGCAATCTCAATAGTTTGGGGAGCTGGTATTCATTTGAGTGCTTGTTATGCCATGCTAAGTTCTTAAAATAATTGTTTCTTCTGGATTAAAACATGCATTAATTTTTTACTTCATTGTTGGCCAAGGTTTCTTAGAGCTTACATATACAGAAACACAAAACAGCTCAGCAATATAAATAGCTTGTGCACCAACTTTCATTGATGCTTTCAACATGCCTAATTTTGCAGTGAGACTAAAAGTGGAATACCCAGCTTGTAAGTTGTGATCCTGCTCCATAAATTTTAGAGCATCATTATTTCATTTCTATTGAGATCTATTGTTTTAACTGTAAATGAGAACATAGGAGTTAACATAACTGGACTTAAGACGTGGGGTGAATACACCAGTGATTTTTATGTAAATTTGCTGTATGTATGCAGCATATCCACTGTGTAAAGAATAGATTTCAAAAGAAATGGATATTGATAAGGTTTGGAAATTTACATTGCAAGAGTAAAACTTGCAAGCTTGTTATGCTATGCTACCTCTGCTAACATTTGATTTGATGGTTATCAGTGCCATCCTGGACATTAATGAGGGGGGGTGGTGCTGATTTATTCATACATTCACTTGTGCCCAAGTGGTTTCTTTGAAAACAATTCATTTATAGAATTAAGCATTTTACTGTAAAAACACGTTCAGGCACAACTGAACTTATGAATAGTACACATTCCAACCAATTTGCATTGTCGAGACAACTCTGATGATTGCAATTTTGGAAAATATGCATCTGTGAGTCATTCTATTTGAAAATTAATCAGCATATTAATTTCACAAAGAACAAAGTAAAACAGTATATGGTAGTTTCCTTGATGTTTGAACAATTTCATGCACAATTGACTTTTTCATCTAAGGTGTGTATAAAAAAGGGGATTTGCAATTTGCAGTAGCATCAATATATATGTATGTATTATTGTATATACTTTCAGGTTTTTGAGAATCAGCTACTGCTGAATCATACAAATTCTAAGTGTCAGCTGATTATAAATAAGCAGTTTTTTTATACACCCTATATATACCCATTGCTTTCATTCAAATATGCATGAATCTAATTTTTAAGTAAAGAACTGATATTTAAGAATTATGTTAAAACTAAAGGAAATTGAAATGATGACCTGTTGTTGTAGTTAAGAAATTAAAAGCAATTACTTTGTTCAACAACTCAACAAGAAAACATATAAATTAGTTAGTACAATGCAGGAATACTGTTTATTAGGTAAGGCTCAACGACACACATATAATTAATGTTCTTGTGCTATTCTACCCCCTCATCATTATCATGTAGCAAATGTTTATCATATATCAAACGTCTATGAAGTGTACACTGTGTATTAAAACTGTGTTTTGAATTGTTGCTTTTATTGTGTTTAAATTGTGTTTTCAATTGTATGCATGTTGCTGAAACTGGGGATTAAAAATACACAGTTTTCTTGCACTTAAAGGTTACGTAAATAATGTGATTAGTTTCATGTTTGAAGATGTAGATCGTCCAGGTCAGTAGAGTTATGAGAAGGACTGTTTTGTTGTTGTTGACTGACGTTTCGACAACCTTAGAGGTAGTCATCTTCAGTCCTTCTAAGGTTGACTCTGAAGATGACTACCGTTAAGGTTGTCGAAACGTAAGTCAACAACAACAAAAACAGTCCTCAGGACTCTACTGACCTGGACGATCTACATCTGCAAACATATAAAGATATTCCCGGGTTGAAACCATTTACTTTATTACGATGATTAGTTTCCGTAGTAAAGGAATCACACAACTTGTTACTGCTTGTCTTGTATCTTCACGTCTGTAGTGTTAC